ATTTAAGGACCTTTAAGATTTCCAGTGGGACTAGGTGCTTATGTTCTACAAAGACTAGTTGATGGTTAATTTTGTAGTAAAGTGCAAATAAATACTTTCGTTTCATCACTTTCGAGAAAATAAAGATCAAAAAGGCGAGGCAATGTTGAAAATGTCATTGTAAATGAACCTAACTGCAGCTCTCCGAGCACCTTCAACCTTAAACACAAGATGGTTACCAGATTAAAGGACAATATAATTCATTTTAACATAGAATTTGAAATAAAATATATATGTAACATTAATTATTTTTTGAACATAATATCTTAACGTGAATAGATAATAGATAGATAATTTAGATAGATAGTTAGCTTTAAAAGATAAATTAAATGATAGCTGTTTTTTAAATTATTATTTCCCTTTTTACAATTTCAAAATGTGATTAAAGCAAGTGTTTTTTCGAAATTCTAAACTTTCACATAAGTAACTTTTACTTTCACACTTAATGGATTTATTTACTAGCCTAGTTTCTCTGTGAAAATGTATATATTTTTTATCCAGTTATCTGATTGTAAATCTTTTCGAAAATAGTATGTGCTGTTTAAAACAATTATGTCTTAGTTACGCATGTACATATTTTATTATATAAATCAGTAATAAACGATCTATTTTACTAAATTACGTTTCTTTTACGCCCCAAATGTGGCGTCTATTACCGTAGACGTCTGTTTGGTACGTTTACGTCATTTCCTTTGTTATTTATCATATTAACTGATGAAGCTTATTAAAGCGAAACATGTTTTGATAAATTGTGTTGTTTTTTATATATCTTTTTATCCTAAATAGAGTGTTTGTCATTTATGGAACCTCCTAAACCTTTTGGTTTGATGTTTTAAAGTTTCTTTTAATAAAGCGAAACTAGTAGTTTGCTTTGGATGTTATATTGTTTATGTTACTTTTCTTAAAAAAACATACTGTACAGTAGTTTATCAATTCCTTTAAAAGTATTGTAAGTGACGGTGTATATATAACATGTTTCGGTTTTATAGTCTTACCTTGCACATATATGTGATCATCTTTGTTTAAGATTCCGTTAGCCTTTTGAAATTGGGATCAATGTTTTTTCACAACTATCGACCCAGTTTGTGAGACTTTCACCATTTTCGTGTTTAATTTATGCCGAAGTCGGTGCTAGTGGGGCGCGGATGGAAACTTGCACTTTCCAGTACCGTCCATAAACGGGCTCAAACAAACCTTTCAATTTTGTCGTTGGTTTTGGACGTTCTTTAGGGATTCCGTTTTCCTCTATTTAATTCTTTTAGCCATTCACAGTTTGATATCTAGATGTACAATTCATGTTCAACACTGAATGTATACTTGAATAGAATTGTATTATGCCAGCCAGTATTTTTCAACTAGTTCAATTAACTTTGTAATTAAGCTGCACAAATGTAATATTATATTTATCAAATATCTAAAATAAGAACCATTTAAGGAAAAAAGATTTACTTTTTATTGACGTATTTTGTGGTATACTAACATTTTGTCCTTTTATTAAATCATATGATAAATTTAGTTCTGATTATGTAAAATATAAAATAAAGGACATTAAAAATATTTTCTGCAAAGATGTTGGTCAGGCTATGTTTCCTATATGGAATCTTTAAATATTACAATCTGGAAACAAAGTGATCCCTCGGAAGCATTAATCACAACAAAATAACATGAAAATTGCATACTCGGTTTAATCGAGTATGTACATGTAAAGTCGTGGATTGGATTTTTATCTCTAACTGTTTGGTAGAATCATAAGTTTAAGATAAGTGGAAAATCCTTTACTAATAATTCTTACCTTAACAGAGGGATAATATTTATAAATGATTTTGTGACTTTTATACTCTACAGGAATTTCAAAACAAATATATCTTTACCACAAACTTTTTACGATATAATAATATCATACACTCTTTTAGATCATATTTAGATTCCTTAAGGATTTCCCATAATTCAATAAAAGAATTAAATCCATTACAACCCTTATTGATTAAGATTAAATGATTTATATCAAGTAAAAGGTTGCAGAATATTCTATTGAACACTTGTGTATTAAATCCATTAACATTTTTCTAAATCAAAAATAAGTTAAGAGATTTCTTTGAACACCAATCATCAAGACTGGGAAAAATATGTTATAGAAAGGGCATCGAAAACACGAGGCTATCTGATTTGTTCACGAGGGGCGTAGCCCCCGAGTATTAATCAGATTGCCGGGAGGTTTTGAATGTTCTTTTCTTCTTTTGTTAAATCAATAGTCAAACATAAAACCCCGGTCCCTGTTGTTCCGCAATATGAAACCCCGGAAAAAGTAGCCAAAAATGAAACCGAGCATCCGAAAAAATATGAAATATTTCTGTCGCTTTCCCCTTTTCTCTGCCGTCACAATTTAAGTAAATCCCAGCAAAAATGAACCAATCAATGGACATGCTCTATAGTGCGGGTAACTAATACCTGCACTCCAGTTAACGCACTGTGCATGTACATGTATATGTATACGATTTAACTATAAAACTAAATTACAATAATTTCAATATAGGATAAATCACAGCATATTAGGCACTAATAAACTTTTGCTTAAAATGGGATTACGACAAGATGACTTGTGTCTTCTTTTTTCACACAGCAAGTGAAACTATACCCCCACCTTTTTTAATGAAATTTTGGCAAAATATAATGACTGGCAGAACCAAAAAATATGATAAACAAGATCAACAAGGACAGGTGGCATTCAATGAACGCAACCCCCACACGATCAGCAACAATCGTCTGTGGCAAGGAGTCCAGGGGAACCCCAAACAAAAACAGGACAGGGCACAAGGCAAAGCATGGGCAGGCCAATCACTAAAATCACACATAAAAGAAATAATTAGTAACTAATGAGGAATTCGAAGGAAACAAATAAATGATTGAATAATATGCAGATAAAAATCTGGAAACCCCAAAGTGCTCCCTCGGAAAAGCATTAAAATCAACAACAAAAAATTAAACAAGAGAAATGCGACTCGGTTTTTAATGAGTCTGTACAGGAGGGATATGAATAGGTACAACATCCCCACGCCCCTACACCGGCTTGAGCGGTACTCAATTCTCAAACACTAAGAAGAAGGGACCAGAAAAATATAACAACAATGAAATGAAGTACAGGGCAACTTTTTACAGCTGCCAAAGGGCACGGGGGGAGGGGACAGGAGACCCGGCGAAGGGGGTAAATAAAAGAAATAAAAACTAGGGGCAAAGGGGAAGATCCTCTTCTGTGGTTAATGTTGATTGGTCTTAAAACTTGATATCATCCTGGTAATATCAAAACAAACAAATCTGTAATAACCAGTTTATCATACTAGCTAAATTCTATATATATCAAAGTTGATGAAAATGACAGTACCTGATTCAACTATTTAAAAAAGCATTTCTTTTCCTATTTTAAAGCAGAACATTTGGTCGCTGTCCTAACTTTCTATCTAAATAAGTTTAATAGACTTTGGGCCCCACTAGCATCACTTACACCAACACAGGACTGGTAGTACATTGTTAACTTATATGCTTTATATAACTTAATGCTGTGATTTTTGTCTAAATCATGGTTTGCATCATCTTTTAAATGTTTATTTTCCGTTCAACAAGCTACATAAAAAACATCCACCTGACACTCTTGAACCTTTATTTTTTCCTCTTTGTTTTTTTTTAGTTTTTAACATTCTAAAAGACTATATTATTAGAACTATGCATTTATTGTTAGAACTACGCAAGAATAGTAGCTGCCTACCTTAATTTTATTTAGATAATTTCAAGATATAAATAGAAACCTTAATGCATATGTTTTTTCAAAGTTTAGTTAACACTTCTGTTTATAAAAAAAAATAATCTGAAATAACAGGCTTTTTCTATAGTTTACTTAAACTTGTATTTTCTTCTTTTTTCCTGCAAATGGAGGTAAATTTTTCTTTCGCTATGTTTGTATATTTTGTTTTTTATAAGTTGTAAATATATATTCAATTCTTTTGTTTAATTGTCCGTCCATGTGAACTTGTTACAAGCTTTTAGAACATGTTAAATTTTCTACATATTCAGAAAATGTTACATTGAATATTCATGTGAACTTAGACATGGGTTATCACATATTCACAAAATGGTTTTATTGCCTGGTTATTTGATCTTTAAATAGTTTATATGAACTTAGCACTTGTAAAAAAATGCTAATGAAAAAAATCTTATATTGTCTTCATGAACACGTAGCGTATAGATAAAATGTTTGTTTAATTGAAAATTAATATTATTTGAGTATAATATATTAAAGAAATCAATTTGGTGTGGACTTGTGAGTTTATTTAAAAATCTTAAATGTGTGAAGAGGAAGAGGCATATAAACCTGGGAAATAAAATTTGTTAATCTGTCGTCAGTCTTTAATCCATTCAGGGAGGAGGTAAAAATCAAAGAGTTGGACCTAATTTTAGTTTTAATTATCATTAAAACTCCGATTAATTAAACATTAATTGAATGTTTGCAAACTTACCTGTCTTTGTAAGTTTTACATCCCAAGCTATGGCACTTGGGGTTAGAATAAGATCAAAAATTTAAAACGTAAAAAAAGAACGTTAAATTTTATTTAATATTTCGATATCCCAATCAAATTCATGATTAATTTTAAACATTAAAAATACTTAAAATTTAAAGACATTGATTTACAACATAATAGTGACGAATAGATCGAACGTAGGGGACGAGTTGACCATATTAGGGACGAGTTGACCAAAAGTAGGGGACGAGTTGACCAAAAAGGTGACGAGTTGACCAGAGGACGAGTTGACTAGGGGACGAGTTGACCGGATTGCCTGCAGATCGCTATTGCTATATCATTTTCTTCGTTTATTTCAAGAGTAAAACATCTCGTTTTTTTGGTAAATATTTGCATATTATTATATGTATGTTACTCTTTTGTAAATACCGTTTTTGTATTCGAGGTAAGAGAAATGGAGAGGGAAAATATTTAGCGTTCTTCAACCATTTAAGGGAATTAATTCTTACCCGGAAGTGAAAAAATAAAAATGGCCGCCATGTCTGAACCGTTACACTTGGACAGAGGTATTTCATTGAATTTTACACAATTTACATTCGATATTGTGTTATAATTCATTTATGCACAGTCTAAAACATTTAAATTATGATTTAAAGATGCTAAACACGAAAATTAAGTAGATCTAACACCAACAAGCAAACAATGATTTCGGATTATTTTTTATTCTAAATAATTTTGACATTTCTTATTTCTAAATGTAAAATAAAAAAATTAAAATTTGTCTTTGGTTAAATGGCCACCGTTTTATATATCTATATTTAGCAAACAATTCTTTATTAATGGAAAGATATGACCTACAGACCTATACCTTCAGAAATCTTTACTTTGGGTGGCCACATATTGACATTCCACTTTCAAGAAATGATTTAGGATTTCTATCAGGAAACATTAAGGTCAAATCAATAACCAGATGTTAGTCAGACCCCAGCTTGCAAATGGATTGTTTCAGAAATACTGCAGGGCTCCTTAATTTCGAAATGCCCTAAAGTTCACTTTTTTTTCTTGCCACAAAAAAAGTATTAGGATCTTTGTACAACAAAATATATTAAGCAGTGTCACTTTTAAATAACCGAGAGTATTCCAAACTATTTACAATTATGAAATAACATGATAAGTTTTGATCCATGTTATGATTTTTTTATTCATTGACATGTAAATTTATCAATTTTGATAAAGCATGTTTTTCTATGGTTTAATAAAAAAGTCATTATTTTATAAATAACACCAGGATTTATTGTATAATTTCAGACATCAACAGAGCTATAGAGCTGCTAGATGCTTTGCAGAAAAGTAAGTTTTTGGGGAGTTTGTAAAAATAACATTTTAAGATACGGGGTTCAACTAATTTCAGTCCCATATAGCCCTCTTCTCAAATACTTTCAAGTTATGCTGAATTAACGATAACGATACATGTAGTTACACTTGTCTAGTGATTTGCATGTGCAGTTTTAATTAATGATACAATTGATATTTCTTATCAGTGTTTGCCTGTTTGCAATCAGATCTAAAATTAAAATTTTTCTTCCACTTGCAAAGTTTTGCAATTCATCAATTAAACAAAAGAAATTTATGAATTTGCACCTTTTGTTAATCATATTCCATTAGTGCAGGCTTGCCTGGCTCTGTTCCAGCAGGTTGAGGGCGGTGTTGCATCTAGAATTTCAAAATAATGGGGGATTCCCCCCCCCCCCCCCCCCCCCCCCCCCCCAGTGAACTGAAAAATGTGGAGGATTTGAAAAACAAAATGTGCTCAAGAAGAAAATAAAAAAATTAATAAGATATAGTCAAATACTTGCAAAATGCGGAAATAAAACCGTCAATACACATGTGAGATGACCTTGCCAGCTGCTTCATGCAATTTATTATGTATTTAAGTCATTACTGCAAGTGAAAACAAACATGGCTGAAGCATTAAAGATACGATGAAGTTGAAAAGAATGTCTGATTCGCGACATGATGGCAATCATGCAATGACTTCATTAATGATAAAATGCGCGATTTGCAAAAATGTGTGCAAATCACACATCACGCAGCCTAGATGCAACACTGGTTGAGAATTTAACAATTGTACTGCAATAAATGCAAAACAAGTTGAATCCATTATGGCAAGTGAATTCATGTGAACATTATTATATTACAGGTGGTCAGGTACCTCCCCAGAAACTTGCAGCCTTGCAGCGTGTATTACAGAGTGACTTCCTGAATGCAGTGAGAGAAGTTTATGAAAGTGTGTATGAGACGGTAGAAATCTCTGGTAATCCTGAAGTGAGGGCCAATGCTACAGCCAAGGTGAGAAGAAAAGAGAATTAAGTTGAAACAAACTGAACTTTTCTTATACCAGTGATTTTCGTCCTTATATAAGTGAGGCCTATAAAAGGCCTCTTCCCAATTGAAATTTTCTATAAAAATCATGCAGTTTTCCCAAAAATCTGAACCAACCCAGTTTATTTACTTCCTAAATGAACATTAAGCTATAATTTTCCCTTTAAAATCAAGAGGCTTAGGCCTCTTCCGAATTAAGTGAGAAAATTCTTTAGGTTGTGAATTCCTACTGTAAAAATCTTATGCTACAAATTCAGGAGATTGAATCAAGATACCATATATAATAAAATTTGCTTAATTAAAGGGTATAAATCTTTAACTGGTAAAATATTCTAATACTATAAACGTCTTTAGGGCTGATTAATCATAGTGTTTCTAAATAGCAAATACTCAGTTATTTAACTCACTTAAATGATGTTTCTATTACAAAGTCTTGTTGCTTTATTAAATGTAATTTTAACATAAGAGCAAGCTAGTGTGATTGTCAGACTAGATTCTAAAATATTTTCTATGAATTACATCAATATTCATTACATTATACCAGTGCTATGTAGCAAATAAAGATTCTTAATTAATATGGTCAAGGTTGAATTGCAAGTTTTGTATATAAAAAAAAAATAAGGTACTAGTGAACTTAAAATTTGTTTAACACTTAAAATTTTTAATATCTGCATTGAAGGCAACAGTGGCAGCTTTTGCCGCGAGCGAAGGTCATGCTCACCCTCGTGTAGTTGAGCTGCCGAAAACAGAGGAAGGTCTCGGCTTCAATGTTATGGGTGGAAAAGAACAGAACTCGCCAATTTACATTTCACGTATTATACCTGGGGGCCTGGCTGACAGACATCAAGGTTTGAAGAGAGGTGACCAGCTCATATCTGTTAATGGAGTGGTACGTTAATATTATCTTACCTTGTATATTCAGTGATTTTTTTTTCCAATTTTCAAAACAACCTGTGGCTTTCTGGAGGGGGAAAATGTAGCGCGATAAATCAGAAAAGGGGGAAAACCTGAAATCAAATTCCAACAACTGAAAATGAAATTTACCTTAACATTATATATATAAAAAATAATTCAATTCAATTTAATATGAATGGTATACAATGTATAGCAGGGGCTATCTATTTCAGACAGATTTCTGTCTTCTAGCTGATGTAAGTCAGATGCTGTTAAGTCATGGTTCTGGTAAGGAAGAGCAATTTTTAGAGCATGAGGCATTTTAGGGGAAAATATTAGCATTTATAGTGGAAAATATACCTATTTTGGGCCTTTATTCAGCTGTAAAATACAGTGAAAGAAATCACTGATATTATAATTGGTTTCAAAACAGTGTCAAGATAACTATTAGACATAAAGCAGATAAAAAGATGGACTTGTCCATTTAATTTTTTTCTAGCCACTTGCCCCTCACTGCTATTATAATTGGTTTTAAGGCATAAATGTTTAGGTTACATATAGAAATATAGCAGAATGAAAACTGTATAATAGAATATATAATAAACTTTACTTTCTCTTAGAATATTTTAAAAATAAAAACATTTTAAACCAAAAAAAAAAAGAAATTGGAGGTCACTAAATTTGTTTTAAGAGTTACCTGCTCTAGAATTCTGCTAATTGTCTATATGTAACTCCACTTTTTTTTTCCAGCATGTACATTATTATTCATTCCCATATTTTACAACATTTGGTTCAAATTCTAAGGCTTTAGTTATGTGATATAGACAGATTTATTTTAAGTATTAATTATTCAGAAACTATGGGGAGCTAACAGTGACATCCTATTTATTTTAATAGACATACAGCTAAGAAATACTAATTTATTAAAGAATTATGGTGATCAATTACGACCTTCTTGTCTTTGAACACAAATTTATGGTACATGATGATTAAATATTTCAGAGTGTGGAAGGGGAACATCATGAGAAAGCTGTCGAACTTCTAAAACAGGCACAAGGTAAATATAATACAAAATTACTGTAAACTCATTAGTTTTTGTCAGCATGTATTTTTAAGTGCCTTTGTCCAGGGAACAATTAAGTTTGAAAATTTTTCGTTGTAAAGATTGTTGAAGATTTTCTATGTAATATTCACATAGATATCTTAAAAGTCAAGCCAAAAGTGTACATAATGCAGGAGGAATTAGCTGAAAAAAATTTCTGAACCTACTTGATTTTCGAGTGCTCAGCCTTTGCCATCAGTATAGAATCAGACTTGCCCACATAAGCTCTTTATTGTTAGTACATGTAGCTCATTTTATGTACTTTGATAATAAATCTGAGCAGGATGAATCCATTGAGAACAAGATCAGCAATATGGGGGTTAAAGGCATTTATTACATGTTTTTTGGCGGTAGTTTATTGAAATACATCAGAGAAATAAAAAACTGTTATTTTACTGTTTCAAACAGCGAAATTATCAATTTGATAATTTTCACTGTTTTAAATTTAAGCCTGTTGCGTTGTTTCAGTGAAAAACCAGCGTGCACAGAACTGGAAACCAACTTACTCACATGACGTTGTAAATGATGTCACATTGTATTATTATTTGGCCCGCTTCTCATTTAGTATTAGGTCAAAATGTCTTTTTAAACGTTATTTGGCATATAATGAAGAGAACATTTTGTTTAGTTTTGTGTATGAATTGATCGAAATATATTTCATTTCGTGAACACCAAAAGTTCATATTTCACTTGGTGCTATATAATGCCTAGAAAACAGATAAATATTTCCTTCTTTAGAAAGGTTACAGCATTAGAACATGTTAATGATGCTTTAGCTTAACATTTCACAAAAGTAAAGGGGGATATTTAATTTTTTGTTATAAAGGTAGCAAAATGTAAACAAACTAGTATTTTGTCTTCCATACAAAATACTTTAAAATCACTTACAGTGTACCAAATAGCAACAGGAGCAAAAGACTGTTCAGATAACTGGTGAGTGAGTAACTTTTTAAAGAATATGTCTCAGTAGCTAAGGTCAAGGTCACATATAGGGGTCAAAGTTCATATGAAAATGTGTATAAGGACCATTTAGTCTACATAATAGGACACCAAAAATAAAAAGAGAATGAAAATAAAAGCTTTTCTGGCATAATTGGCCTTTAAAACAAAGTTTTTTGTTGTTTTATTTTCAGGCAAAGTTCGACTTGTTGTGAGATACACTCCTCGAGTGTTGGAAGAAATGGAAGCCCGATTTGACAAAACTAGGTCATCGAAAAGACGCCAGACTCCATGAACAATTAAATAACTTTCACTGATTCATTAGTGTTTCAAGTCTAAATTTTATACAAAATTTGGTTTGTATAGATAGTGTGTTGTATCACAAATCAGAGAAACCTGTTCTCCTATAAAATCAAAGTTGGTTACTGGTCTATGCTTTATGTCTTTCCTATAAGATAACTAATTATACACATATATAAATTATGATATAAATTTTTATCTTAACATTAAGATCTGGACAAAGAAAAAACCCAACAATACTAGGTTTTCTTTTTCTAAATTTCAGACCAGAAACACTAATCAATCTAAAAGTTTGTTTCAATTAGTCAGTCAGATTTTTTTTACTATAATTATATTAGGATATGGAATAAAAGAACCAGAGAGCATTTGTGTAATATGTCAGAAGTCTTTTTACTGTTTTGTGTTAAAAAAAAGCTTCGGTTGTGAATTTTATGCAAATAAATGACTGAATAAGATAAAGGAAAGGAACAAAATATCACAGGCTGGGGGGAAAAAAGCAAAATTTATATATATATAAGAGTAATACAAGTACATGTATATGATTTTCACTGCCATAGGCTTGTAACTGAGAATGAAAGGTGTTTTCCTAGAATACATGTATAATAATGGTATGTCTCTTATTATATTTGAATGTGTTTTTCATATTTGTGTTGTGTTAGAGAATTTATATTAATATTTTAAGCATTCCATAGCTAGAGCACTATCAGATTCATTCATTCTTTCAATTGTCATTGTTAGTAATAACAAGCTATATTTTGATGCAATATCAAAAATAAGTAAAATGTTTCTTTTTATCTCCTTTTTCATTTTTTTATATCCTTTTTTGAGATTGGTTTAATTTAAGAAAGTTATTTCAAGACTGGTATATAAGCAAGGAAATTAATATTTTACACTCAATGATAGACTCATTAATTAACAAATAGGTGTAATCAAGGTCTTCAAGCAGTTTATACTAAGATTCTTTTTTATTAATCAGTATATCATGTTACAGAATTAAGGCAAAAGAATATGTTTGCAAAGGTGATAGCCTGTAGTATAAACCTCAGAGCATCTTATTTGGAAAAGTGATAAAAGAATTTTAATATGATAAAGAAATAATATTGATAAAAAATGAATGCACTGAATTCTACAAGATTGTTATTGAGTCACATCGAATTTTGCGCTATTGGTAGATTTTTAGCTCACCTAAGTACAGAGCTATATTAGCATTGTACGACCTTGACTGACTGAAGACCTTCTGCACTATGGAAATTACTTCCTTTGCCAGCAAGTTCTCAGGTGAGCAATGTAAAGCCATAGACTATTGTGGTCCTCTTGTTTCGGACTTTCCACTAATTTTTTTAACAGAAGTAACGCAGATGACATTTTGAATTATAGTTATACACATTTAAATAAATTTTACATTGAAAGAATGCATGTAATTGACTAAAGCAATACATAGTATATCATTTATCATATATTTACCATTTTTATTGTAAAATTTATCAATTTATTGTACAAATAAAATATTTACAAATTTAGAAGCTGTTGTAAATGCTTACTGTCTTCCAACATGTTTATATAGAGATAAAATCAACAGGAGTGGAAGTTTACTGTGAAACCTGTACTGATGACCAATGTGGAATAAAAATAAATGTCCGTTTCTAAATATAGAATATCGGGAAACGAATCGTCCGCTTTACTAATTAAAATAATGAGAGCTGACCGGTAGATTAGAGGTATCGAGGAATTTCCTTATTGTTTATGTATTTTATCATTGGCAAATTTCATTTTCCACCTTAATTCTTTTGATTTCGCAATTATAGGAAACAATTTATTTAAAAATAACATATTTGACCTTAAGAAAAGGTGAAGGCCATTATAAGAATGTTGAAATGTTTTGTTTACTCATAGCCTATTGGTGACGACCAATGCACCAGTCCAGACAACGATTAGCCCTGTTCATGGTCTGCACTGTTCACTTTATGGTCAGCTTTTTTTATGGTTTTGTTCAGATAAAAAGATGGACAAGTCCATTTAAAATATTTAGCCACTTGTCCCCCAACGCTGTGGGTTAGAATTCTATCATGGTCTTTGGATTCTTTCATGTAAGGAAGCAATCCAGCTAGCTAACAGAATTTCAGTGGTTCTACTCGCGTGACCGTTCGTGACTGAAATAATGCAATGCAAGGAGGACCTGAGGCGTTCCTCCAACAGTAAAGCTGGAAAGTCACTTGTTGATCTATATACTGTGTTGGATCTATACTGTGTTGGTGCTAGTACAATCCAACCATTAAAAAAATTAAAAAAGTAAGCAAGGTATTGTTTAATCTTTAAAACAAACAATATTTCAATATAGTTATTATGACATCTTCAACAGAAATCAACGCCAAGGAAAGCGCATGACGTCAGACAGCACAATTTTCCACAGACTGAAAATTGACGCATGCTATATCAAATGTAAATTTTATCAAATGTAAATGTAGACTCAGAATTCATTTTAGATCTTATTTTTCGAAGGATCTGGGTAATCATCCAAAGGAATGCACCTAGTCACGTTGACGTCACTTGTGCTCGCGCCCTCACTCGACTGTACAACCTGTTGGTTTTTTTGTTGGCAAGTGAAATGTTTGCGGTTGAACATTATAAATATTATAGGATTGCAGGCACTGTTGAGTGGGTATAGACAGCCTAATATCAGGTAAGCTTTCGTTTCAATCGTACCTGGGTGATAAATGCTTATAAGCATAACTAGGAAATATGGCGTCCAGCAAATAAAAAAGGCTGAAAAATAAATATATACATTTATGTTATTATTATTATTATACCGGGAAACATTTCAAGAGTGGATTTCTTTAAGCTTATTGATAATAATTTCACGAAACATTGCATAAATGTATATTTAAAAAAACCTTATTCTCATCGTGTATTGAATATTATGGGCCGATAAGCTTATATTTTGATAATTATGTTGTTGATGTCCATCGCTCGACAGACACATATCAAAGAAATTGAATAATAGACAATAACTATATATAACTGTTTCTATAACAATTATGATAAATTTCGTCTCATAAAATAATTGTAGCTTTCATAAAAAAAATGGTATTGACTGTTTGGCGGTTGTCCGGTTTTGTTGGCGCCCCAAACCAGTATAGTTATAAAGATTCAAATCATGTTATAGACACATCATTCCTCCGAAATTAATAATATTTTAATTCTTTAGAAAACTCATACTTGACATAAATAATGATAGAGCATGTTAGATGTTACACAGCTGAAGAAAGTAGTGATGGTTGTATCGTAAAAGTAGCAACATGTAAACAAAGTATATAGTGTTTAGAGGGTAACCGCGTAATAATCTTGCAATTTACAACATACCCAAACATACAACCAGGGTCATTTTGATGCTCTTTATCTTCGCCTTTGAGATACGTCCTTTGATCTCTGATCTCTCACCCGGAAGTTTGTCTACAAATGCATGATACAACAATAAAAATACGTTTATACACAATTTTTTTTTTACTAATTTAAAACATGTCTTACTGCAGTGACAATTTCTATTAAGCTGATATTCGACATTTATTTCTATTCATGTGAATTATATTGTACTGTGAACTCTAAGTTGTCACTTCTGGATTACATGTATTAATTTATTGGAATACATTCTAAAGTATATTTCATTACGGTAAATTCTTAAGAGTTAATTTAGAAACGGGTGTTTAATTATTATAAAAAATAGCCGATTTGAAAAATATTTGTAATTTTGTATGGATTAAAATCTATAAACTATCTTTCAAGAAAGTTATTATCATTAAACTTTACTTTTTAGTATCTAATAACTTTTATCGCAGATTTATAATATAAATCCGTGATTTTTTTAAAGGGGCACAACTTAGGTTACAAAGCCTAAACATATAAAATTTGAAATCCTTTACATAGGTCAAGTGAAGCACAATATAAAATCATGCTCAGAGTTAAATTAAAAATCGATTTTATTGTGTCCGATTCTTAGCTCGATTTGAGTACACTTTTAATTTTTAAGATATTTTGCAAAAGAAAAATGATGATTCTGGAAAAATGGGAAGAAGACGGAATAGTTAGAATGACCTTAATGAATTTTGCACACAAGTTTTTGATTCAGACCTATATCAAATGGTACACAAATCTCGAAAATATATTTCCAGTCCATTCAAAATAAAAAAAGAATAAAAAAAACTCAGTGGAGTCCCTTTAAGTACTAGTAATCGAATATTAAATACCATGTGTATTCAATGTGTCTTACCGCTGCTTCCAGTCGTGTCTTTCTGTGATAAATTAAATCTTGAGCTCCATTTCATCCAGACAGCACATATACCTATATAACATACGGATATACCGATCGTAGGTAACACGTAGATTGTAATTGCAACTGTTAGACTATATGGCTGTAAATATATGTAAAAAAATAAAATGCATATTTTTTTAGGGTTTGGGTTTCTGCAATATGTTTTCTTACCAAAGTTTAATCAATTTGATAAAAGCGATGGAGTACTGAAACTTCGTTATTTGAGCAGCGTCATGACAAAATCAACATAGTGCGTTTGCGACCAGCATGCATCCGCGCAGTCTGATCAGGATCCATGCTGTTCGCTATCAGGTTCTCTACTTGTAATAAAGTAATAGAGTAATAGTAAGCGAACAACATAGATCCTGATCAGACTGGTCGCAAACCCTCTATGTTGGTTTTGTCGTGACGCGGCTCATTTGTTAGATGTAGTTTAAAAACGATTTGTATTCCCCTCTTTTAACCCTTTACAATATTAAATGATAAAATGTTTTCCCTTCCACCACGGGAAAGGGCATCTCTAAAATACCCCCCTTTTTTGTTCGTTAAATCATCAGCGTCTGGATTTGCATCGACTCCTGTACCGAGTGGAAACATTAAACTTGATACCACAAAACTTAAAAGCCATGCTCCAAAAACCATACATCTGTCAATACCTACAAGGATAGATTTATAAGCATAGTTTTCTTTGAATTTTAAGATTCCATTGTTTCAAATACATGATTTAATTGATACAAAATAGTATAATAGTATTCTCTTAATCCGATATATCTGCAGATTCCCATCTACTAATGATTAACATCCCTAGAAAAAACAACAACAACAAAAATGTACTGACGGGAAAGTAGAAACCAGTTATAAATACAAACTTATTTAAATTTCTTACTTAGCTTTGAATAAAATTTTTTCCTTTTAAGGAAAAAACAAAGCTGTGTTTTTAAAATTTTTGAAATGGTTTTCCCAGCATGTCAGGGCCCAAAAAAATAATAATAAAGGTTTTAATAATTGTTTTTTAAAAAGAATTTAAAACGTAAAGGGAATTTGGTTTTAATTGTTTTCCCAAATTCAAAATTTTAAAATTTAAACTATAATTTTTTTGAGGGCCCCTCAAAAAAAAAATTTGCAGAAAATATCAAAATGATTCATTTAAAGGGTCATTTAAGTGAGTTACAAAACATCAAAAACTGAAAGTGTGTCTGAAAGTCTCGGATGCCCCCTCTATAGGACACCGAATGATGTCATAATAGGACAGTAGTTGGTATTTCATCAAACGTTTTTGCAATAACTGCTTGCAGGACTTTTTAAAGTCAGAGGACAGATGGCTGTTGATAGAATTTTTTTGATGAGTAAGATACAATCTGAGATCTTCTGTAGATCTCCTGCCTGTGGTGCTTCTAGATTGCTGATCGACCTCCATCATCAGCATGGTGCTCGCCGTCATTGATATTTCGGCCCTTATCCATGTATATCTGCTGGCGAGTGGGCCCACCGTCTTACGGTGTTGAGGTCGATTGCTTCCAGCTCTTCTCCTTTCGTCTCAGCCACAGCCAGCTAGACGCACGCTCGGCAGCTTGGCTCAGTCTCTGGATTGTCCTACGTCTATCCCTTCCAGTAGTTCCTATCGCTGTCATCAGTCGGCACACAGATTGTGAACAGAACACTCTCACACCAACTTCAATAAGAAACAGCCATGTATGCCAGCCTCTCTGTCTACATTGGTTGAGTAGCTCTGTATACTTTCTTCCTCTCGTGGGCCTCTTCACATCTTGTCTCCCAAGGTACTGTTAACTCAATCATGACGAGTTTCTTTCCTTTTTCAGACCACAAAACAATATCTGGTATTAAGTTGGTCTGGAAATACTTGGGAAAACAAGCTTCTTGCTAAGATCCACCTCCATGTTCCAACCTGTTGTGTCATCTAGAATTGATGGTTGATGTGGGACTGTGTCTTGGCAGTTTCACCCAGTTTCACAAAGTTGATGTGACAAAGCTTGGGGTTACTCCTTCGTTCCTTTTCCTTTCACCTCCAAGACAGTCAGCCACCTCCCTGAGGACGTTGTCATGACGTCATCTGTACCTTCCCTGTGTCAGTGCAGTGGAACAGGAAGAAAGGACATGCTCCAGAGTGCCAGGACGATCGCACAGGTCACATGCTGGGTCCGTTGTAAGTCCCCACAGGTGGAGATTAGCTGGGGAGGGTAAGAGGTCATGAACTGACCTGATAAGAAAGGATAACCGTAATTGTTCATACTTTCATATGTCTTCTCAAGTCAGCTTCCTGTCTATGGTGTTCCATGTGGTCCATGCTCCCTGTGCTCCCATCTCTACTGCTCTAGCCTGTCTTGCACTCTCGTCTGACTTCTGACTGAATCATGGCACGTCTCTTCTTCTGGTCTGCCCGGTTCCACAGAGTTGTTGTGGTAGCACCAATTCCCTGTCGTTCCACAGCGGTCATTCCCACAATGACCTTGAGCTTCAGTGAGCTTTCAGCCTGGTTAACGGTCTCTGATGCTGACCACTTTCTGCCTGTACGGGTAACAATCCCTGCTTCCCGAATTTGCTCATCTGGGGAATCTCTGAGGGTGAGCACCAATCTTGTCTTCGCTGTCTTGAATTCCTCTACCAGTGAAGAAAATGGGAGTTGATGCTGATTGCTCTTTCCATACAGTCCTACACCGGAGAAACTGGGTGGTATTCCTAACCACTTGCGGAGGTGTCTGCTTGTAATCCTCTCTAAGGCTTCAATTTTTGAGCTTGGTATCTCATACAGCATCAAAGGCTAGATTGGCCTTGGAAGTAAGGCATGCTGGTATAACCAGGCTTTGAACTTCCCAGGGAGATTGCTTTTGTCTTTTTCCTTAAGCCCGTCTTCCACCTGGTTTTCTAGCTTCTTGACATTGTCACCATCTTGCAGGCTTGCATCAAACCACTTCCCTAGGCACTTGATTGGACTCTTGTGATTGATGGGATATTCCTCATTCTGTGCTCGGAGAATGAACCTATCTGTGGTTTTGCCATTCTTGATAATGAGAGATCTGGATTTCGCGTCCTTGAATTTCATTCTAGCTCATGAAGCGACATCTGTCAGGGCTGTAAACATCCATCTCGCCTGTACATGGGTGGTTGTGGTGAAAGTAAGGTCATCCATGAAACCTTGCCTGGATGGCAAATGGCAAGTAAATCCCTGAATCTGTCTTTCGCCCACGAGTCTCTCTAAGAGCAGCATTGATGAGGAGATTCATTCCCATGATGAAGAGTACCACGGAAACTGTACATCCGGTTACAATACCTTTCTCCAACTTCTGCCGCTTTGTCAGCTGGTCACCAACAGAGAACCGGAGTTTGATGCCATCCAAGTAGCTGGTGATGATTTTCTGCACATGATTTTGGACATGGTAGTGTCGGAGGGCTGTGTAGATCAGCTGGTGTGGGATGGAACCATATGCGTTATCTAGATCAAGCCAAACTACTGTGAGGTTCTTCTTCCATGCCTTTGCCTCTCTTATGAGCTGTGAAATAGCACTTGTGTGCTCTACACAACCTGAAAACCCAGGCACTCCTCCCTTCTGGATGAAAGTGTTGATGTACTTGTTGGATGTGAGGTAAGATGTAAGTCTTCTTGCAAGGAACTGGTTGACATTCTTGGAGTTCCTTTCCTTGGAAGTAAATATTCCCTCTGATTCCTTTTGATATTTCACCTTTCCTCCAAACCACCTTGAGAAGCCTCCATAACCTTTTCAGTAGAAGTGGGCACATCTTATACACTTTGCAAGGGATGGCGTTAGGTCCAGGAGCAGAACCAAATCTTGCTTTTTTGATGACCTCTTTTACTTTTCCCAGTGTTGGCTCTGTAGTTAAGAGTTCAATCTCTGGAAGTGCTGCGGGGTCTATGCATTCACAGACACCTAATGCATTGTTTCTACTAGCATCGGAGTGGGTCTCATGAAGGTATGTATCAACCTCTTCCAGCGGAACTTCAAGAACACCCGATCGCTCTTTGTCAAGTAGAGTTCTTGCAAACTTGTAGGGATTGGCTGTAAACGCCATTCTCTTCTCGGCTCTCTCCCGGGCCTTCCTCCTCGTTTTTTCGGCTTTCCGCAGGGATTTCAGCTCTGCTTGTGCACGAGCTTTGTCTCTCAGCTGGGATAACCCGAGTCGCTCTTACGATGAACTCTTCTTGTATCTTTGCTTCAGCTGACGGAGTTCCCTTCGAAGGTTCACAATGCGTAACTGCCGTCTGTTAGGTTTTGGAGCCTCCTTTCTTACCTTTACTTGCTCCACTCCAAACCTTTCTTTTGCTACAGAGTAGACTAAGGTAGAGATGGTGTGTAGCTTCCGGTCCACTGGTCATTGCATGGATGTCTCGAGGATAGTATCTAGGTCACCGTCTAGGAGTTTCCATACTGTCTTGTCTGATGCCTTGGTCCACATAATCCTTTGTTTCCTTTGACTAGTGGTAGGGTCTAGACGTGGTCTATCCAGAACAGCTACCTGCTCTGCTTCTTGGCTGCAATGTCCCGGAATCTTAAGTAGTTCTAGGAGAGGGTCTTCTTCTTCAACCTCTGGGTCATGAGAGGCATCGTGTGTTGTCTCGAAAACGGAGGGTTCCTCAATACTGTGAGTTGAATCCGGATTAGGGTACTCCTGCGTCTCACTAGTCAAACCGACTAAGCGCTGTTCTCGGGACCTTGCAAGTTGACAACCAGTCTTGCCTTGGTAGATTCGTAGACCTCGTTGGTTCTTGCAAACCTTTCCGCATTTGCATGTAACTGTTGTTTCTGGTGCTGTTTTCATAGTCGATTTTGCGGGCCGCGTCGATTCCATAAAATCCGTCCAAGTGAGTCTTTCATCCCCCCTCCCTCTTTCGGTAGACTCTGTGGGTGTCTAAATATTGACAAGACTTTAATTTTAGAGTGACAAAGCACAAATTTCTCGGTTAAGTCAAAGTAAAACTTTGATCTTTAAAATTTGCTATGATAAAAAGGGGCTCATTATGCATAACACTTTTGTCAAAAGTTTAAATCTCTTGATTCATGAAAAATTGATGGACAAGTTTTTCCTTCTGCTGACCTTTGACGCCCGTGACCTTGGTCCTGGAGGTAGGGGTCAAGGTATGGCGCATGACACAGTGCCTTATATCATACTACACATTTGTGCCAAAATGTTTTGAATTACGGACGGGCAGGAGTAGCACTATACGCCCCTTGTCATAACCATAGCGTGGCATAATACAATGCTTTGAGACATAAACGTAAAAACATTTACTAGGCTTGTTTGCCTTAAAGAAAGGGTCATTTCCGAAGGGTAACGACAAAATGATAAACTATATGTTCACCACCGTTTAATCATATATACAATTGTTACTTAATTCCATAATTATTGTGCCATGATGTATTTATTTAACTGATTTTTGTTTCAGCCAGCTCGAGGCTTGGAGAGCGACTTTTGTTTAGGAATAGGTTCAAGAATAGAACAGAATAGAATAGAACGTGATTAAAATATTTTTTCTAGAGAAAAAGTTTGTATATAATAATAATAATAATAATGACAATAATAATGATAATGATAATAATAATAATGACAATAATAATGATAATAATAATAATAATAATAATAATGATAATAATGATAATAATGATAATGATAATAAGATGAACAAATGACATTTAACTGTAAGCTAAGTTCAGCGTTTATTTACTATTCCTGTAATTTGGAATACTGCCTTTTCAGAAAGATTGATAAAAACAATTGAAACTTTAAAAACCCTTACTTCTTTTAGCAACATGATGTGGATATTTGATTGCTATAAACCGATCCATACTCATTCCGATCAGGAGGTTATTGGATGCAATGAGGGTCATCGATGAAATAAAGCGATATATTTTACATAAGAAGTCACCTCCGTGCCACTCGTTATGCAGCGCATTTGTTATACCGTCTCCAAGAACACTACATATACCCACAAGAAAATCTGAAATTAGGTAACAATTATCTAGATTCAATAAGATTTGTATGTGCATTATTATTCTAGTTTTAAATTTTTATCATTTAAGCAATTGATGGTTTCTCAAATGCATAATAGATTAATTAAGCTATCTATATTACATGCACTACAAAGATGAAAATTCTAAAACATAAAACAATAAAATAAATAAAGATTTTAAACATTTATAATAATCTAAGATTATTTTTTCTCAAATTAATTCCTGTCTTTTCTTACCTGCTATTGCTAAATGCAGTTCAAAATAGAAGAGTCGACTCTCCTTTGGTTTTGTAAACACGAGGGTGTAAATTACAACTCCATTTAGACAAATTATGATTGTGAATAAAAGTAAGAGAATTGTAGCGGCGGCTTCTTCGTACGGCTGAAATTTTAGAATAAATTGTTTCCATTCTTTTATAAAATTTGAATTAAACTGCTTTGCAGGAGTGATCTTCGTCAAATATACAGTATCTCTTTGAGTTTTTGTCAAACGAAAAAAAACATACTCCATGTTCCAAGCAAATGTTTTCCAATTCCATTAGTACATATTCTCCAATGTAGTTCTCGCCAAATTTACAGTATCTTTTTGAGTTTTTGTCAAACAAAAAAAACCCAACAAAACAAAACATAAAGCATACTCCATGTGCCAAGCAAATGTTCTCCAATTCCAATAGTACATATTCCCCAATGTAGTTCTTGTATTTTACCCGATTTGTTTGCAAAAAAAGTGTATCTAAATATACAGCAGCCGAAGAAAAGTTTATGCAATCATAACGGGAAAAGTACAAGAGGTACATTGGAAAATTATAATTGAGCCGCGGAACGACAAACCCAACATAGTGCGTTTGCGACCAGCATGGATCCAGACCATCCGCGCAGTCTGATCAGGATCCATACTGATCGCTTACAAACCCAATAACAAGTAGAGAAACTGATAGCGAACAGCATTGATCCTGATCAGACTGCGCGGATGCGCAGGCTGGTCTGGATCCGTGCTGGTCGCACACCCATTATGTTGGTTTTGTCATGACACGGCTCATATACCATTGGAGTCGGCAAGTACTCGTATTTTCCTGGAACATACGGTGTATCATTTTTTCATTATTCATTATTCAAATATTGAAAGATATAAAAGAAAATTAGCAAATAATCCATATTTGAAAAAAATATCTGCAGAAACATGTGGTTTTTTTTTATAATATTTTAAAAAATTTTAATGTCCAATTCTTAAATAAATAAATAGAGATTAAATGCAAAGTTATAAAATACTAGAAGTACATGTGTAAACAAAAGGACAGACGTTTCATCTAATAGAATTTGCATTATTAATGAAAGAGACAAAATGGGTTAACATGATGTTTTACTTTCAAATATTAGGTGTACAGAATTTTACTTCGTGTATTGTTAACTCTTCAATCACTAAAATCACTTTTTTTTGTTGAACGAGACGGCAGTTTCTATTAGCAATGTTTATGTAATTGTGACTGGAATTAGTTTTTTCTACTATTTAGGCAATCAGTGATTTCATCATTTAAATAGAGTGGCTGTTATTACCTGTTATTATAATAATTTTCATATTCTTATGCCCGACATAAATGAAAAATCTTGAAAAATGGAGACCCTCAGAGCAATGAAAACATAGCACATAGTTGACACTTTGTTAAAATAATTAAGTTTTGTTTCTGTGTAGCTCGAAGGTAACAGTTAAACGACAGTAACGAGGCTCTGTAAGATATTTATACTCCCACACACCCAAGCACCGGCTGAAGCGCGCAGTACTCAATCCTCAACACGAATAATATTAAAATTAATGGTCCTGAAGGGCAAGAAAAAGCCAAGCATTAATTTACTCTAAATGTTAAAATTTATTCAAATTTTCTCTTCCCTTTCTTAAATTCATCTCATCTTATCAATAAAGTTTCCACATAACTAGATTCCATTTAAATTAATCCTAATATTTTTTTTCCTAAGGAAAGCACAAGCTTATTGCTTTTATAACCTCCCTGTATGATTAAGAATCATTTTGCAAATAATTAAGATCTGTTTACACGTTCTCTTACCTCAAATGAAGAGGTCTTCATATCTACCTCAAAAATAGAGAAATCAATATTTACCTCAAATGTAGAGAAGTCCGTTTGATTTTTACCTACATCGCTTTCGTTCCTAAATGTTTCATTATCTAAGCTTTTGTGTTCCATTTTAAAAGTCTTTATCATAAACGTAAATTCAATCAACAATCACTTAAAAAAGGTCCGCTAATAAAATTCAATGATAATCTGACTTATTTGTTAATATATAACAATAAATGATAAAATATTTAAAAACGAAAAATCTCGTATTGTGGATGTGAACAAAGCAAAGCAAGCACTATTCTAATCGTGAAATACATGTACTTTCCTTACCGGATGTGACGTACCCGGGGAATTATCGAGGGAAAAATGCTAATTTTCAATAGAGCAATGCATGAAAATATTAATTCAATAATTAATAAATAAAACATGAACAATTGTGCCAATGAAGACATAAAGTCCATATTAAGCTACTCATTACATGTTTCACATTTAGTCGTGTAATAGGGATGGAACTAATGAAAGTGGATAAAAAAATCAGCAAAATGTCGAAAGTGTTATAACTGAATATTAAGCGATTTTCTCAAATGCCATGCAAATAACAAATTACATTATTCAATCTCATTGTTTTATATTAATAAAAACACCGTTACACAAAGTGAAATTACCGGATATTAGTAAAAGATCAGTTGAATTTTCGGTTTAAGTATTGTACGTAGATCCATGTGATTTCTAATATTTTTTTTAATTATTTTATTTCCAGCGGTTTCAAGTACTCTATATATTTTATATGACCTGTCATACCTGAAAACAAATTAAAAGCTTTCCTGCAAAATTTTCAATTCCAGATTTATAATTCATATTTTTTTCTTTAAAATTATAACTTTTATTCTTCCTTCAACGATACCAATTCGTTCCAATTCGTCAAATACATTTTTAGTTCATCTTTGTTATCAAAAAGCAAATGTCACTTCTATAGGTTCCGGTCTAATTCATCTTGTATTAAATTCAGTAAGAGGGGAGATCGTGGCCGAGTATTGAAGATGTTGAATTATTACTTGCATCTCATAGCTTTATTTCGATTTCGGACTTGGATTTTTTTCATGTTAGGAAGCTATAAGTACTGGCCTTATTACATTGTGTATATTGAAAAATGTGCTTTGATTCTTGAACAATTTTTCAAAAATTGTCAATTATTTTAACTTCTTTGTAATTCATTTATTATTATGCAAGTTAGTGTGATAATTTTACAATAAATGGACCCCATTGGAAATTAGCTTTTAGCTTAATGGGCAATCCTAGGATAACATAGAACATACTCATAAATTAATCTTGTAAATATTTTTGTTGCATTTATGTGTTTGTTTTTATATATATGCCTGTTAATATATGTGATAAGATTGTATGTGTTTATGTCTATTCCCCAGCTAGCTTACGTGAAGTCTACTACGGTGACCGCTCTTGTCGGATATATAAAACACGGAGGGACACATGAGGTCTTTTCGCTCGACAGTCGTCATATGACCTTTAACAGTGTTGGACTGCCACGTAGAATTCAAAAAAAAAAAAAAAAACATATTCAGTAATTAAAGTAGGTTTTATAATTTGCTATTCTGTTCATCAACAGCTATTATGTTTAATGGTATAAAAACATAGTCAGAAGAAATTAAAAATGGATTTGAAAAAAATATTTTGGAATATCATCATTATAAGGAAACTGAAATTTATATCTAATGGGTATTTCACCGTCATCTAACCTGCCATGGGGCTTTTGAAAAATTTGGAAGACACACAACAGGTTCTTGTATATCAGTTAATAAACTGAATTATGATATTGTTTAATGATTGACTTACTCTCAAGTTTCTTTGGAGACCAGCATCACACAGATTGAAAAAATATCGGCCTCTAATAATGATATATTCCCCCAACAGTGATTATATAGCTTAGTTCGGATGCGAGGCGACAAACAGTTATGATTGGTATATATTGTTTCGATTCTAACATATCCACAAATATTTATTTTAAGCGCGTTGCATTTTCAATGGTTACGTTACAATGTCTAACATATAACTTTAACACACTTTCTCTATGTTCAATACGGAATATTGCAGTCGTGTTAGATTTATAAATTACATATGCTAGGGACTTTTAATAAAGTGTATAAAGCTATCTATATCTGCTGCAAAGATTTTTTTTTAATTTTGAAAAAGGGTACTTCCACGACTGCTCTTGGAGTACCGTTCAAGCCGGTGCTAGGGGGCGTGAGGGATGTTGCACTTATTCATTATCCCTCATGTACAGACTCAATCAAACCGAGTCTGCAATTCTCTTGTAATTTTGTTGTGATTAATGCTTCCGAGGGATCACTTTGTTTCCAGATTTTTTTTCCAAAATACACGTATGTAAGAAATAATTATATGTGCATTAATTCTTAAGAGCGAATGAAGCAGAAGCAAATGCTCTTTACCGTATACCAACTTTTTACGTACATGTATTCGATTTCCTAAAAATTTGCAGATCTGTGCTTCTCAAATGAATATTCTTATAATTTTTGCTACTTATTCTTTAACATATGAAAGACATAAAAATTGGTTCAATTACCAGTACCTTCTTAAATGTATACATTTATAATACATGTATAGCAAGTAACTTTTATCTTATCTTAATTTTACAAAGCCAAAAATATGAAATGGTCAATTTTTCTCAATTGGACAAAACCAGTCATCATTTGTTTGGAAAATTTTCAAAATTTGTACTGACTGTATAGCGAACAGCGCATACAATGATTGGTCTGCACTAGTGACATGGGTATATTCACTTGCCAAGGATTTTTTCATCTATTTTTTTACAGCCGAATAGAGGCTGTTTCTCCTTGCTCACAATAGGTATATTTCCTTCTAAAAATGCTATTTATTCCCCTGAAAAGCACTGTGCACATTCTTCATCAGAACATTGTCTTAATAGTAGCTAACATTCCAGCTAGTTGATGTTGGAATTTTATGTACGGTTTTTCTCTTTTTCTTATTATTTGTGCAGTATCTTCTCCTTCAGAAAGCCACAGGTTGTTTTAAAAATTGAAAAAGAAAACCTCACTGCTTGCAGCTAGCAGGCTAAATGAAGCATAAATATTTAAGAGAGAACAACACTAAATGCTTTCAATAGTTTTAATATTGAAAAAAAAAATCAATAAATAACATTGTACATTGTAACAATGCAATTTACATATAATATTCATTGTTAGCACATTCAGATGATATTTATTCATATTGAAAAGTAGCACTTGTTAAAATGCACAAAACACACAGTCTCAATTTTTGTTCTTATAATTCCTCATATTAAAAATATCACAATGAACCCTGTATAACACCAAGTATAGTTTGTTTGGTTCTTAAAGTACATAAACATAAAACCAACATAGTGCGTTTGTGACCAGCATGGATCCAGACCAGCCTGCACATCTGCGCAGTCTGATCAGGATCCATGCTGTTCGCTTACCAACTCTATTACAAGTAGAGAAACTGACAGCGAAAACAGCATGAATCCTGATCAGACTGCGCGGATGCACAGGCTGGCACTATGTTGGTTTTATCGTGACCCGGCTCAATTATTATTTTTATAATATTTCTTTAACCTTAATCCCGCTGAATTTGTGTAATGAACTAGCCCGGCTTTGAATTTGGAACAGTGCCAAGTTTTAGTGAAGTGTAAGGGATTTCAATATCAAAATGCACACTAAAATTGACCTACCAAACAGTATAAAGCCTTATCAGGCTACACTACACAGACAATCATATACAGGCTGGCCTGGCTCTATACATAATACAGGCTGGCCTGGCTCTATACTGGTGGCAAAGGCTATATCACTGTCAGCTCCAGCAGTTAAAGGGTCTAGATAGTTCCCAATTTTTACAATATTTACCTCCCTTGCCAAAAGTGGCAGCCATTTTGGGGGTCAGTATTTCTTATATCATATAATTGACAAAATATGAAAAACAAGCATTTGATAGTATTGCGGGCAATACAGTAGTCCCCTACCGGTCCCTCAAAAAGTTCTTTAATTGTCATACACTCCTGTGTATTGCCATTTATAATGAATTTGAGGATGAAGTCTGTATTTGAAAATATCAACCACAAAACATAATAAAATAAGTTTGTCTATATCACAGTAATGTGTTAAGTTTCCATGCTTAGTAAGGAAATTATGTTTATACAACCTTGTCATATTATTACGATGTGGGATTTTAAAGTAAATCCTATAAGGAATGAAGAAGTTGGAGTGAAAATACCAGTTTCTCGAAAAAAATCTAAGTTCAAGGGGGACATAATTCTGGAAATAGTCTTGCTAGAGTATTTAACCTTCTCAAAAATGTCGAGTGATAATAAGAAACATATATATGAAGTTTGAAGTAGATACATTAGGAAATAAAGAAGTTATTTAAAAAAGACAACATTTTTTCCCCTAAAAAATCTAAGTTCAAGGGAGGTAATACTGATATTTTTTGTGCTAGAGTTATAAACCTTGTCACATATGATGTGGTTGATGACCAGAAACTTATATTTAAAGTTTGAAGTAAACACCTTAAGAAATAAAGAACATATAGTGAAAAAGCTGAAAAATTTAAATCAGAAATCTTGAAATTCAGGCTATTTGTTGCCATAGCCATCTACCCATATTTCAAGTTTCATAAGAATATTTTCAGTACTTTTTGAGTTATCACTGGATCCAGTTTATGTGTTAAATCTGCCATATTTTCAGACTATTTGTTGCCATAGCAACTAGAATTTTCAACATAGGAAGAAAAAAAAAAGACATGCATAATCTCCATACTGCCATCTATCCATATATCAAGTTTCATAAAAACATTTTCAGTACTTTTTGCGTTATCGCGGGATCCAGTTTTGTGGACGGACGGACTGACAGACAGACGGACAGACAGACGGACGGAGGGTAAACCTAAAGTCCCCTCCGGTTAAACCGGTAGGGGACTAATAATAAATATAAACAGCTGATTTAAGTGAATTATCAAATCATTATTTTTACATATGCAGCAAAATATTATTACAGTACCAATATGTAAAAGATTTTTACCAGTTTTCATGAAGATATGGTATGCGATATGGAAATGACCCTCAAAATGGCAGCCAAGGAGGGTTGAAAATGCTATATGAAAAGCATCTATACATAATGTGTACATTTTTTTAAAAAATAAGTGAACCTTCAACACACAATTTTAATGACTTTTTTCACCCAAAAACAAATATGCATAATTTATATCTCTGAAAATCATTGTTTCAAATGAAGAGTTATGTCAATAGTACAGACTTGAGCTAAACAAATTATTTAAATCACAGTCACATTATGTCATGCTTACCCATCTTGATGCAGAACCCAGGTTATAAAATTAAAAACCCCCAAAAAACAGTAATGTATAGTCTAATGCTCTTATGTCATACAAAATAAAAACAAAATAAACACCAATGATAGTGTAGACCCTATGTTAATACTACATACACTGTATTTATGATTAAAGGCCCATTATGCCCAAGAAATGCTTTTAATCTTAATTTTCAAACACTTTTTATTCTTGGTGTACTTTTATAATTTCCAAAACCAAAAGTTACTCATTAGTCAATTACCTGAACATTTTTCTTTCTGTTGCTTCTTGGCAATTAGTACAGTTAAAAAGATTTAGTATTTTGTATAGAAGGTCAAAATAGTACATTGTTTACATTTTGCTAGTTTTATGACAAATAAATTCTTGTTTATCACTACTTTCTTCAAGTAACAAGCATCTCAGAGTCTTTAAAACCATTATTTAAATGTTAAAAAATTCATGTTAGCCATTTCTTAAAAAAAAGTAAAATTTTATTCATTTCGGAGGCATAATGAGCATTTGAGCCGTGTCACGACAAAACCAACATAATGTTTGCAACCAGCATGGATCCAGACCAGCCTGCGCGTCCGCGCAGTCTGATCAGGATTCATGCTGTTTGCTTACAGACCCTATAACAAGTAAAGAAACTGATAGGGAACAGCATGGATCCTGATCATACTGCGCGGATGCGCAGGCTGGTCTGGATCCATGCTGGTCGCAAACCCATTATGTTGGTTTTGTCGTGACACGGCTCATTTAAAGATTAAAGTTATATGTAAGCCTAGCAGAATGTGTAACAAGCCTTTGAAATATTTTCAGGAGTTGCAAGGTTACTTAATCCAACTACTATAACACACCAGACAAACTGTGTAAATACAGAAAAGCACTTGTGCATTTTGATATATACAATAGACTATGAATTTATTTTGGGATATCTTGGTTGATTTTATTCTAGATATTTCAGATCTATACATATTGGCCCTATCCTATATAATATGTACTAAAGGAAACTAGGCCTTTGAACATAATTATAATTGTCACATTAGTGCAGTAACGGGTTAAATCCTTCTAAATTCAAGAGAAGTTAACCAGTTATTGCACTAAGGTGACAAGATTCTATAATTGAGAAGAATATTAAAAAATATTTGAGGAATTTTTTTCAGTTTTTTTTTCTAATTCAATTGGGACGAGGCATTAGCCTGACTAAGTTTTGCTAAAATTGCTTTTTTGGGAAATAATAAAGCTGGTGTAAGTTCAGATTTTTGGGAGAAACTGCATGACTTTAAAGAAACATTTCAATTGGGAAGAGGGCTTTTATAAGCCTCTGAGAAAGGTGAAAAATCACTGATTTCAATTTTTCTAAGATAGCTGTGTGTAAAATTTAAATTATTATCAACATCTTTTGCAAAAAACAGAATCAGCAACCTTGTGCATATAAATAATTTTCATATTAGACTTAAAACCTGGTGTTTTCTTTCAATATGAAAGACAAAAACTAAAACAAATCTTTCAATAAACGTGAACAATAAATGAAGTACCTTAGCAGTATGAAATAATTTAAAGAAAAGTGGTATGTAGTATACATATCATATAATTTTTATTTCCACAAAAATCTGTTTGACTCAAATGAAGGAATGTTTTCACACTAATGCCAATACAATATTAATGGCATGTCAGTGTAATTTCTAAAGATCTATGTGACTGAAATAATAAAAATAATGATTCTCTGAATAATTTAAGCTCCTGCATAGACTGAAATATTCAAACATAGCATTTTGATCATATCCCCAGCTCAATAGATAATGAATAGAATTCTTAATTATAAATTAAATTAACATATTTCCAATAAGTTCCTTATTAAAGTGACAAGCTTCCATATGAATGACATAAATCTCCAACAAAAGAGAGCTTGCTTGACTATATTCTCAGTTTGTTAAATACTAAAACAACAGCATGGATTATTTAGAATTTTCAAAACAGGACCGTGGTCCAGTCAAAATCCATGTTAGAATTATGCTCTGAAAGAAGCATGTGAAGTTACATTCCTTTAGTTAAGTTTCTGAGATACCAACATGCATGCAAAAACATTACCAAAGGGGTGATGCCAAAACCAGCACTGACGCCAGGTTGAGTACAATAACTCTCCCTATACTTCAAATAGTCAAGCTAAAAATGCATAAATATTAACAATCCAGGTGTAACTTTTTTTCATATATTATGCAAAATATAACAGAATTTACTATTTTCTTCATCATCAAAATTTCAACTAATTAACAAAGCAAGAGAAATATTTGCATATTTTGACAATTCACTTGTTGGGTTAATCACATTATTTATACATTAGACTTCATGTTAGACTTATTCAAACCCTTTTAAAGTTGTCAATACAATATTAAACAAATCTGTACTGGTCGAGGACCACCAAAACTGGACAACCACCAAACCCGGACGGCCCAGAAAATGCTTTATTTAGTGTTTTTCTTTGTTCAGTGGTATTCAATATTTCAGTCACTTTTTTATCAACATACATGTTTCTTCTATAATTAATTAAATTCATTAATTTCTGTAAACGGTAATATTTTAATTTCTATTTCAAGAATGTTGACGTTGGAAACTTGGGCATCAAGAGTGCAATACTTGACCTCATATGCCAGCTATAATCATTTACAGAGTAAACAATTTAATATCCAAAACTTCAGCATTTGCTGCTGAAATATTGTATTTCATATTAAAAATAAAAAATTAAAACACCCAAACATTTTATCTGAATTAAATCATCACATGTACATATCTGTCCGGACACATGGTACTGAAGTGTAGACAATTTAGGTAATTTTGATACCCTCCTTGACGAGCCTCAGATGTCATTGTCAAAATTAACAGAAATAAACAAACTATTTTGTTAGTTAGGAGAAGAACTTAGCTGTACTGTCTCAAATTTTCAGGTCTCTAGGTTTGAAATTATGAAATTTGTCGGGAACAATGTTCAAGAAGTGTCCGATTGATGGTCCCAGACCAGTAGGCATGCAACCTAAATACAATCACTTTGCAAAATAACTGAACTGAATCAAAATTATAAGACATTGTACTCAAAACGTAACATCTATATCCTAAATTATTTTTAATAAATATAAATTGTACTTCTTTCAGCAATATCAATGCATTTATTGAGTAAAATCTGTAAATACTGTCAATTTCTATACACGTAAGGTACTGATTTCAATTTTGCATACAGAATAACTGGTGTGTTTGTTTTATTTTATTACTCCTTCATGAAAGTGTGATTATTCAGGTAGAAAAGATAGAACTAACAGCGTAATATCTTGAACACAACATTCTACAAGTGCCTCACGTTAACCTCTGTACTACGACGGCATTCTGGAGTTTAGCTTGTTCTATAGTCTCTGAAGTATTGGTAAGCTCACGGTTTGGAAACGTTGTTTGTAGTATGAAGTTCGCACCTTCATACTGTGGACGGGATCTAGGAATGAAGTTAAGGTTTTTAATTGTCTCTACTCAGACCATTCCATAGAGTGCTTGATCCCCGACCTGGCCCTTGCTCGGAAAACCGGAGACACGATGCCCTTGTCTGTTAAAAAAAACTACAAATAAATCAAAACTACAATTTTCACATATTCATTTTTATTTTTTTTGCTTTTGATGAATCTCATTTTTGCATGATTTTTTTTCACATATCATGTATTACAATATAGCGGAGGAAGGTTGTCTAGTACTGGTGTAACTCTCCAGGAACGATGGTTAGGAAACTACCCGCCTATATGACTGAAATACTGTTGGGAAAAGGCTTGAAATGAAACAAACAAACAAAGTATTACAATATAACTAATATGTTTGTTTTTCTTGTTTTTATACCAATACCAATTTGAAATATCTCTGTAGTGATCCACCTAACTGGCATTCCTGGATAACTAACCAGTAATTACCAATTTCATCTCAGTTGACTGACTACTATAGTCTGTCCCACCAAATTTTAATATCCCATTTTTTATTATTGAATTTAAAAGTAAAATCATTTAAATTAATGTTATAAATCCCACTTGATTTCTAAATCAGTGGTGATAGACAAATAACTTTGTGATTAAAATGTGATTATGTCCAAGATCAAATGAGCCGCGTCACGACAAAACAAACATAGTGCGTTTACGACCAGCATGGATCCAGACCAGCCTGCGCATCTGCGCAGTCTGATCAGGATCCATGCTGTTCGCTTACAAACCTTATTACAAGTAGAGAAACTGACAGTGAACAGCATGGATCCTGATCAGACTGCGCGTACGCATTACGCTGGTTTTGTCGTGACGCGGCTCAAATGTAACAGAGAACCAGTAATTTCCTCTTGCCCATGGCTCAATCCAGCAAGGCAGCAACCCAGCGATTACTAATCCGATACTCTCCCTACTGAGCTAAGTGGGCAGATGAAGATAACAGTAATTTTTCACATAGGTATAACTAGATATGTAAATATGAACATTTGGAGTAAAATATTATTGTATTACAATGGGTGAAAGTTGGAAATTTTAAAAATCCTGAAAATCCTGAATTTAGCAGTTTTTCTATAGTTTTACATAGGAAATAGAAGGCTTTTAGGAGACTGAGAATCCTGAACTTCAGGAATAATCCTGAAAACTTTCACCCATGTTGTAAAGAAGTTTATAATAATGATAAAAGGATACGAGGTGATATGTTGCCGTATATCTCTGACTGTATGTGAGTGATTGAACTTCGATACCAATCTGCAATAAAAATCAAAATCATATTTTTTTCCAATTCTATTTATTGTATATCTCATCAATTTACGTTAGGTTTTAAGTCAAATGAATATGAGAGATGATCAAGAAAAATCAATATTTCTTTTTGTTGGGCACCAATCAACTATTAAAGGTTCATTATGCCTCAGAAATGCTTGTATCTTAATTTTTCATAAGTGTTTTATTTTTTGGTGTCCTATAACCTTTTACCCCATAAGCATATTGTGAATAAGAACTGTCGGAGGACAGTAAGACTCGACTATTCGAAAAATTTGTCACAAGGGTGTTTTATTGAGTATAATAATGCTTGTCTATGAATACATAAAATTGTCCGAAAAGGTATAAAGGCTTGTTATTAAGATGTTTTATCAAGTAAATCACTGCTTTATTATTATGAATACATAAAATTGTCCCCAAAAAGGCACAAACCCTTCAGTAGTTATGGAGATAACAGCTTACAAGCAAAATCTTTACCATGAATTTCTAAGTTGAAAAAGGGGAGAAAAACCAGCCTAAATGCAAGATAGAATTATGGATCTTGGTCAGTGACCTATAATTATGACCCTAAATGCATATTTGAAGTTTTAAATTAATATTTTTAAATAGTTATTGAGATATGTAAAACTTGCATGTAAACATTAACCAAGAGACTAAGTAGAAAAGGGGAGATAAATCAGTCTAAATGCAAGATACAGTTATTGAACTTGGTCAGTGACATACAATTATGACCTTTCATGCATATGTGAGGTTTCAAATCATAATCTCTGATAGTTATTGAGATATGTAAAACTTACATGTAAACATTAACCAAGAGACTAAGTAAACAAGAGGGCCATGATGGCCCTGAAGTGGCTCACCTGTATATAGGCCGCTGGAGCGGGGCCAGTTTAAACCCCAGGGCTTTTATTTGAACAAACTTGGTAGACACCCATTAGAAGATGTTTCATGCTAAACATCTAAGGTCCAGCTGGTCAAGTTTTTTTCTGTACACATATAGTTAAAAACAATGACACACCTGGGGCAGGGCCAGTTTTGACCCAAGGGCTTTTATTTGAACAATCTTTGTAGAAACTTACTAGAAAATGTTGCATGCTTAATATCTAAACTCTAGCTATTCGGGTTTTTCAAAGAAGATTTTATAAGTTTTTGCTATACACATATAAGAAAAATCAATGTCCCCCGGGGCGGGGCCAATTTTGATCCCAGGGCTTTTATTTGATCAAACTTTGTAGACACTCACTAGAAGATGCTTCGTGTTTAATATCTAAACTCTAGCTATTTGAGTTTTTTCAAAGAAGATTTTTTAAAGTTTTTGTTATACACATATAAGGAAAATGAATGACCCCCGGGGCGGGGCCAATTTTGACCCCAGGGCTTTTATAAAAACAAACTTGATAGACACTCACTAGAACATGTTTCATGCTAAATATATTAGCTCTAGCTCTTTGGGTTCTTTAAAAGAAGATTTTTTGAGTTTTTACTATATGCATATAGGGAAAATCAATGACCGCCTGGGGCGGGGCCATTTTTGACCCCAAGGCTTTTATTTTAACAAACTTGGTAGACACCCATTAGAGGATGTTTCATGCTAAATATCTTAGCTCTAGCTCTTTGGGTTCTTTAAAAGAAGATTTTTTAAGTTTTTACTATATGCATATAGGGAGAATCAATGACCCCTGGGGCGGGGCCAATTTTGACCCCAGGGCTTTTATTTGAACAAACTTGGTAGACACCCATTAGAGGATGTTTCATGCTAAATATCTTAGCTCTAGCTCTTTGGGTTTTTTAAAAGGAGATTTTTTAAGTTTTTACTATATGCATATAGGGAAAATCAATGACCCCCTGGGTGGGGCCAATTTTGACCCGAGGGCTTTTATTTGAAAAAACTTGGTAGACACTCACTAGAAGATGTTTCATGCCAAATATCTAAGCTCTAGCTCTTTGGGTTTTTTAGAAGAAGATATTTAAAGTTTTTTCTTTTGGTTGCCATGACAACCAGAGTTCTGCATGGAATTAAATTCTTTGAACAATTTTCAAAGGTGACCATCAAAGGAACATTCCTGTGAAGTTTGGATGAAATTGGCTTAGTGGTTTATGAGGAGATGTCATTTAAAGTAAAAGTTTACGGACGGAGGACAGACGGACGATGGACGAAAAGCGATCACAAAAGCTCACCCTGTCACTTTGTGACAGGTGAGCTAAAAAGGGGAGTTAAATCAGCCTAAATACATGACACAGATATTAGTTCTGTTCAGTGATCATCATTTATGACCACAAATATACATATGAAGTTTCAAGTTTGTATCTTTAATAGTTTCAGAGATATGCAAAACTTGCATGTTAAACTTAACCAAGAAAAGGAGATTTTTTTTAGTACAAAAGGGAGCATAATTCAGTCAAAATGAGATGTGACCTTCAATTATGACCTTAAGTAAATATGGAAAGTTTAAAATAAATATCTTTGATAGTCCTTAAGACCTTTAACCTGTAACCAAAATTTTTAAGTTTCAAAGGGGCATAATTCTGCAAATATTACATTATTTGTAGATATAGTTTATTGCATGTGCGATTTTTCCAGCAATCAAGTTATAAAAGGAAAGAACAGAAGTATGCGTTATTACAGGAGATCTTTATCATCATCCATTATATTACAATACAATATGATGCCAACTTGTACAGAGATATATCTGCCGCATCAACAACATGTGTATCATGTACTGGCCTTTGTCTGAATGAGTAAAAAGCTGCTCCATTAAAGACCATACGCTTGTGACTTCCTTAACGTCACTTTCAAAGTTATACCATGCGCCGCATTGCTTTACATGTACATGCCATTAACAGCCTCACTTTTTTCTTCGTGGATATTTTTTGTCGGTATTTTTTGTATCATTTAGGGGATAGATTCCGATTCATTTTCTGTTTATTTTTATGTAAACCTTGTGACCCTAAAATCAATAGGGGTCTTCTACCCAGTATGGACAATCATCCTATAAAGTTTGAAGACTGTGGGCCAAATGGAACTTTAGTTATGCTCCTGAAACCATTTTCAGTTTTAAGGTAATAGTGACCTTGACCTTTGACCTTGTGAGCCCAAAATCAAAAGGGGTCTTCTTCCCAATATGGACAATCATCCTATGAAGTTTGAAGACTGTGGGCCAAATGGAACTTAAGTTATGCTCCGTAAACCATTTTCAGTTTTAAAGTAATGGTGACCTTGACCTTTGACCTTGTGACCCCAAAATCAATAGGGGTCTTCTACCCAATACGGGTTATCATCCTATGAAGTTTGAATACTGTGGGCCAAATGGAACTTAAGTTATGCTCCGGAAACCAAATTGCTAATGGACAGATGGACGGACAGACGGATGGACGCCAGGGGGTATAACATAATATGCCCGAAATTCTTTTATAAAAAGAGAATGAACTAAGGGATGGACGGACAAGGGTCAATTTAAATGTCAAGGGTAACAACTCAGACAAAACAGAATAAATTCACCAGGTGCACAGCTTCACATGCTGTGCAACATACATCAAAGGGTAATTACTCTTGAAATACTCGATAAATCCACAAGCCAAACACCAGGTGCTTAAGCACATGCTGATCAACATTCTTGTAAAGTTTCATGACCCTATGTCAAATACATTTTGAGCTTCAAGGGACACAAAAAGAGAACAGACTGAGGGATGGATGAACAAGGGTAAATCTAAATGCCCCCCACACCTATAGTGGGGGGGGGGGGCTAAATAATCATAAATCCCCCATCCCTATAGTTGGGGCTCAATAATCATAAACCCAGGTGCTTGACTTATAAATCTAATCACATATGATGTAAGTGTTAATAATGAACATATATTTGAATTCTAAAGTAAATCCATGAAGAAATAAGAGTAATTGAATAAAAGAGGGAAAATCAAATTGAACAGGGAAGATTATTCTGGAAATGTGGACAATAGATTTATAAACCTTGTCATATTATTATGATCTGGGATTTTTAAAGTTTGAAGTAAATCCTGTTAGAAATGAGGAAAAAATAATAATTTATAAAAAACTACATTTTTTTTCCATAAAATTTCCTGAGTTAAAGGACGATAATTCTAATAGAAATATGAACCTATTGCCACATATGATTTTGGTGATGATAAAAATATATTTAAAGTTTGAAGTAGATACATAAAGAAATAAAGAAGTCATACAAAAACAACATTTTTTTTCTAAGAGAAGGGGAGGTAAATCTAATAATCTTAGTGTTAAGAGTTGTGGACCTTGTTTTGCATAATCTCCATATCTATCCATATTTCAAGTTTTTAAAAAAATATTCTCAGTATTTTTTTAATTTATCACAAATACATGTATAGTTATATTTGCCATATTTTAAGTCAATTTGTTGCCATAGCAACCAAATTTTTCAACATTGATGTGCAATATCTCCAGACTGCCATCTATCCATATTTCAAGTTTCATAAAAATGTTTTCAGTTCTTTTTGTTATCCTGGGATCCAGTTTTTGTGTTATATATTTGCAATATTTTAAAACTATTTGTTACCATAACAACCAAATGTTTCAACATAGGAAGAAAAAAATACATGCATAATCTTCAGACTGCCATATCTACCCATATTTCAAGTTTCACAAAAATATTTTCAGTTCTTTTTGTGTTATCAAGGGATCTATTTTGTGGATGGATGGATGGACGTGCTCAAAGTCTGTTATATAAGTGGCTACTCTTTTGTTCTCTCTATTGTTATTTTAGCCAGGTAAGAGAAATAGTAGCCAAATAAGAGCTTACTGAATGAAAGCATCAAAGGAAATTTACCTATCCCATAGCCCTCTAAGTATCTACATGTTTGTACACAGACAGACAGACAGACAGAGGGTTAAACCTAAAGTCCCCTCCAGTTAAACCAGTAGGGGTCTTATAACATATAGGACAAAATTCTATCAGAAGATCTATTGCCATATAATTATTAGGTATACCTAGATAGTTTTTTATTTTTTGTTGTTGTTTTTGTTTGATTTGGTTTTACAGGGCACCAACTTAAAGTAAGGTCATTGTAGGTTCTGAAACAGGAAAGATGAATTTGGATATCCCTGGATGAGCAACACCAGGGGTCAAAGCCATCTCACCTGCTGGAGCAAAGAAAGACTCCAATAATTTAAACCCATTTAGTCGCCTTTTTATAATGATAACACAGGGATGGCTGCAATTCTGATGCCTCAACCCTTACAGGCAACCCCTCAGCCACAAGGGTGATAAGTATGTTTTCTCATGAAAATACTGTTGTTTTTTTTTAGTTTTATTACAAAAAAATAGTCATTATCTTTTTTCTTTTCTTTTTTTCAAATTTATAAACCATAATACATTGTACGATATTTATATCAAGTTAGCATGATGAAAACTCTTGTCAGTTATTTAGATAATAATTATGCAATTCTTTCTAAACTTTCTGTGTTTTCAATAATGTTAAAATCTTGATTGGGTGTGTCTGTTAAACATGGTTTTATATACCTTTAAGTTTTCTGATGAAAATACAGTTATTTATCTTTGAGATAATTGTACATGCAATATTCTTTAAATAATATTAAATGAGATTATGGGAGGGATGAAAAAACAATTGAGTTATTTTCCTTTCTTCAATTTGATCACAGGAAAGTAAAAAAGTAGCCAAAACTTCTTTTTTCATGGTTTGCGGGAAACAGATATTACATATAAATATAAATTTTTTTCATTTTTTCGCGACATAGTTACAAAATTCAAACTTTTCAAAAGTTTAAGTTTATGATTTTTTTTTTGTACACATAATATTTTAACAAAGTATTTCATTGAAAATTTAATTATGTAAGAGTTTAATGCCAGTATGATTATATTTAATTCGAGTATCCTTTTCTTAGCTTCTGCTTTAAGTTACAATTTTTATTTAATATAATGTAATTTTTACACAAAATATAATCAAATTTAAAACTATGTATTAAATTTTTTTTTATATTTTAAATGTAATGTAACTCTGGAAATCAAGAATCTTTCACTATTTTAAAGGACTAGTTCAATTTACTATTGATAAAATATTAATATGTTATTTATTTATTTTTAATAATTTTTTGTTTTGTTTTGTTTTGCTTGTTTTTTTTACAAACAAAAATGGAAATAAGAAATTTTTTAATAAATTGAACTGGAAAAGTTGTGACACAAAATAGACTGATAGAAAATTCACCATGATAAAAACATTCAGTTATAATTTGCCAGGACTAACTTAAACATTCAGTATTAAGAAATTAGTTAATCACACATCCCCTCATCTATTAATACACTGACATCAAAATGTTAATGTAATAAAAATAGGAAAATATTGAAACAATAAGATGAAAGGGAAAAAAAATCTGTAAGATAAAAGGAAAAAAAATCTATAAAATTAAATTTATTCATTAATATCTACCTAAAATTATGTAAAATTTCAGAACTGGCTATCCTGTACTGGCTATCCCGTACTGTTCTGTTCTAGGACATCTAGGTTAGTTAAGTATAAACATGAAGAAGTACAGTATGTGACAAAATAAACTTGGTTGCTGACTGAAACAATTTTTCCTTTGTACTAACATATCACAGAATGTTTCAAGAAGCTGACTTCAAAGAAAACCTATCATTGGCGTTATCAGAGGTTTTAGATGACATTGGTGTCAATGAAAGATTGGTGATGAGAAGGAGAAGGCAAGACATGCTGAGGGAGACTATGGGTAAAATCCAGTGCAAGGTAACTGTTAGTAATATCACTGTATATCATCTAGGGAGTCAGATTGAAGGTACAACTACTATAGGACTTAGCTCAGACTGTGATTTTCTAGTCTGTGATCATGATTACAATATAATGCAAGACTGGTCAGAGTGGAAACATGGCAAGAAAAACTACCTAATGATACAGGATGAGAACACTACCCCTGGTTATTGTTTCTTACAATTGCTCCAACCTTGTGTACCTCTCCCTGTTACTGTCATTCCTAATGAAAACCATATAATAGACAGAAGTGGAAGAGTACTGTTTAAAAACACAACATTTAATGGTTTCATTCCGGGTGCTGTAGATCATGGACCATCAAATGCTATATATGCAGGGCCTGGATTTTGTGATACAGACAATGTGAAAGCTCTTCCTTGTAAAGGCTGGCCTCAATCAGCATCTGGTTGGTTAGAGAGACAAGGTATTAGCAGATGGCCAACACAAGACATGAGAAGATATGCAGCCAGTACTGGGTGTTTTGTTGTTCCAACTGAAAGTAAGGTCAGTGAATATCCTGAACTTGAATGGAGAATATCTACATCATTGGCAGAAAGAAAACTTATGTTCGATCTAAATATAACACAAATAAGGTGCTATGTATTATTGAAAATGATTCTTAAATCCTTCCTTAATCCTCAAGGGGAAATCAACATATCAAGCTTCATGTGTAAAACAGTTCTATTACACTGTATAGAAAACACAGAGTCAAGTATATGGAAAGAGAACAATTTATTTATATGCTTAACATACTGCTTATTAGAATTATATAGCTGTGTGCAGAATGACCGTTGTTCACATTTTATTATCGGAGAAAATAATTTGATGGCAGGGCAATTTACAGCTGAAAAAAAACATGAACTTTCAAAAAATATAAGTGATTTTTTACAGAATGACAGACAAATGTTACTAAGAATTGATATTGATGATCTTGGCTTGAGATTGCAAGTAAAACTGAACATTGTACGGCACGGAGCATATTATTATCAATCTTCTCTTGCGATACATGAAAATTATATGACCAATGAATATTTAAACACAGCAAACTGTGTAAGCAGACATCATAAGCTTGTTTTAGAATATTTACACACAAAAAACGTTAGAACAATGAAGCATTGTATAGGTAAACTAAATACTTTCAATGTTAATGGAAACAGATTAGAACAGGCTGCATTCAAGTTTCTAGCACCTTGTGTTTTTACCACATATGGATCTATCCTGGCATCATTCAGCATTGGTGAAAATAATCAAGTGTCACCTGAAGCATTGGTTTGGCTATCAGCTGATATCTCATCTAGCAGACTTAAATTGGCTTCTGTGTTCTACAGTAAAGGAGATATGGAGAAAGCTGAACTAATTCTTAGACGCACTGAACAGCAATTTTACTCCTATCCTGTTTTACATATCTGTGCCTGCTGGGACACGCCTCTACCAGCAGTAACAGCAGTAACAGCAGAATTCAAGAGGGTATGTGGTGAACAAAGTGAGGACTGTATCAAACATATAACAGCATTTTGTGTCAGATTTATACAGAAAGAGATCAACTGTATTCCTCATGAACTACAATATGAAATGTTCAGATCTCCACAAGATGACATGATACACAGAGAAGAAAATGTGGTCCATTGGATGGACTGGGCTGTAGTTGATTCTCTACCTTTTCTATACTTCCTACAATACAAGATCTACAGTCATCTACAAAGACATCAAGATCAACAACAAGCACTTAGTAAACTTATAAGAACCATAGAAACTGTTGAAAACCTTAAACATAGAGAAACAGCTCTAAACATTTTAGGACAATGCATGGAACAAGATAAAAGACCTCAACAAGCATTAAATTATTACCTGCTTTCTCTTCAACATAGGGCAAGAAACAATGTAGCAATCATACATATATGTAAGCTCCTTTCTGGCTTATTGGCAGCACAATAATAAGGGGTCAAAATACAGTGACAGTGTTATAACTGAAGTTTTCAATGATTATAATACTGATTGTGTGTATCAAACTGACTCTGATGCTAAAATATATAAAAATTATATGCCTTTCATCATTCTTTTTGTTACATTTTAGTCTCAAGTAAAATAATCAGAGTGAATAAGCAACTAATATGTGATATGATTTTGTAGGATTTGCACCAGTGCAACCAGGCCAAAAATCACTATTTTGCATTGTTTTTTCCCCCATCAAAACTGATTTCAAAGTGCTGCAACTTCTCAATGAATTGAGATAGAGTAAAAGACTTTTCAGCGTTGGTTACTAGTTACCCTAAGATGGAATTTTCTTGGCGATGAGGGGAATTACTGCACCCCCCTTCAAACCCCCAAACAGAAGGGGGCATATCCCCTTTCTGGCAGCCCCTGATGTACCATTAAGATGGGGAGCAGCGCCGAAAAAGTGATCAATATTTTTAAGAACATTTCTCAAACGAAAAACAGTGTTTGGGGCCTGAATAGGGCATTTTTTTCACTGTTTGAGGCCTCAAAAAAGGGGGGGAGGGGTCAAAAAGCCGTCAAAAGCCGTGTATATGAGGTAAAATGTTAAAGAGTTTCCAAAACCTCTGGTAGATTTGAATCCATACTGCTCAAGCAAAATGATAAGAGGTCAGCAACTTTAAACACTTATGTCGAGAGAACATACGCTATGTTTAAGCGGGAACACTCACAATGTCTTGATGGCAGGAATCAAGATGACGCCAACCTATATATCAACGTCACTATCATTTACACGTATATTATTGAGATTTTATAAATATAGAAATAAGACACAACATAACTTTACCCCACAACTTGATAACAGAGTTCCCTTGCATATCGATTTTTAGTTGGCTATCTATCTACATGAAAATGTTTTTTTCAAACACCCTACCTTGATCCATCGGCTAGACGTATTTGTATCGTGGTGACTGGTTTTGACTCATCTACCTTCAACGTTGACTGGTTTGAACTAGGAGCTTTACTGGAACTTTTAGATGAAGCACTAACCACAGTCGGAGCTGGACTGTAAATAAACTCATGTGATTAGGAGGTATACAACATTTATACATATACATATATATAATAATAACTATACATTTATACAAGTCATTCACAGAAACACTTGAAGAGGTAAATGATAAAATGAAGATGCCTGTTGTCCTGTGATACACATTTTGTTCGTTTGTCTGATTTTTACCACAATTTTAACACATTTTTGGTTATATCTTGTAATGTTGATCAGTCTACCTTAACAGCTTTCCTGGATAACAAACCAGTAATAACCAATTTCTCCGCAAGTGATCGACAATGAATCCCACATTATTTTTTGCACCAGAGGTGAGACATAAAAGGCCAAAAGATACAATGTGCAAGATCAATTATACAGGAGATATTTTTGCTTTAAACCTATGATTAATCCACTGACCACGAGATAACAAAATCCAATGTTCTTTTGAGCTAAGCAGACGGATTTTATGATGAACTATGAAGTCAAAAAGGTAAAGAAAACTTAATTTTATTCTAAGAGACCGTTAAAACATTTAAACTATTTTCTTAAAAATTCAATAAAAATTTTCCATAGGTCAAGCATATACAAAATGGCAAAATAAATTCTCTATGGAAGAAAGTAAAATGGGAACATGGGCAGTTGCCAAATATAACAAATATGTTATTCATCATGCTTAATAAAATTCATACTGATCATAGATTATTTCCTTATGCTGCAATTTAATGGAAAATCTTCCTCAACCAAAAGAATTCATAAAATTTTACAATTTCATCTTAAAGTTAGTATATAGGTTAATTCACAAATCTTAACTTGCTTTTTAAAAGTAAACTTACCTTCCAAGAACATTCCCTTCCCCTGTAAAAGCTTTTGTCGGAACTTTTGGCTTCACATAATCTTCTGTTCGATGATCTTCCATATTTAAATTAACTTCCCCACCTCTCGCTTCTTGAATTAACTCATGTGGAACTTCTCTAAAAATAGAATATAGATGCCATTTTAGCAGTCTAAATATCAGAATATCATAAAAATTTGTCTTACCTTTCGAATTAGAGAAGCAGTGCTACTCTACTTGTAAGTCATGTCTAAAACTAGTAAAGATAAAAGGCAAAACTCTGAAATAGGAGGTTCTTATTCACTTACAAGTCACTTTAATAAACAAACAATACATAAACTCAAACAAGATAACATTTATATAACCAAAAGGGCAAATGAACATCTCAAAAAGAAAGAGAATAAATAAATAAATAAATAAAGTAAATTAGGTAAATGAGAATCAGAAACATTAAAATTATAACAAAGACTCTAATACACAAGCTTCCACATTCATTAAACATCACTAGACTCAAAATGAAAAAAAAACAAAACTTTTTTATCATCTTAACTAGAATCCCTGTTACATAATTTTTTTATGGTTTTATTTCATAAATATGATGCTCAAATTAAGATTTGTCAATATTGTAAGTTCCAATAAGCATTATATATAAAGATATTACCCAATTTAACATTTCATGTAAATAAAGGGAGGTAATTAGAAATTTATTTTATATAAATTCTAAGTCAAATAAGAAATGAATGCATGTAATTTATTGATTAATTATAATGTGCACAAATATTTGCAGTACACATTTTACATATTCTTCGATGTTTGAAAATTGTTTTATTTGCATAATTATATACATATATAATTTTTTGTAAGTGTGGTATACACACCATAACAATATCAATCACAAAACATACAAGATCTTTAAGTTACAAAATTCAAACAACATAATTATACCCTTTTGATATGGAGGCTAGGAATTCTTTATTAGCTGGATCTTTAAAATCTCTTAGAGGTCCGTCATCTACACTGAACCCGTTCTTCCATAGTTTTAACACACAGTCAACCTATATACACAAATAAATATACATAATTGAGCAGTGTCACGACAAACCCAACATAATGGTTTTGCGACCAGCATGGATCCAGACCAGCCTGCGCATCCGCGCAGTCTGATCAGGATCCATGCTGTTCGCTATCAGTTTCTTGACTTGTAAAAGGGTTGGTTAGCGAACAGCATGGATCCTGATCAGACTGCGCGGATGCGCAGGCTGGTCTGGATCCATGCTGGTCGCAAAACCATTATGTTGGTTTTGTCATGACACGGCTCATATCTTCAAACACTTTGAGGGTAAGAACTACACTTGATATCATTTTTTTTTCCCCAATTTTGTTTATTTTCATTGACTTTAAATAAAGTAAATAGTCCACAGTCTTAAATATGATTGTGTGCTGTTAACTCTTTGTATGAATCTTAATGAAATTTTAATTTTATATAAGTATTAGATATATAAATCTAACAGCCAGTGTGTTTCTAAATCAATGCAATGTAGATACATCGAAAAGCCATAAGTATGAAAAAATCATGTTTTCCTATTTAACATCAATCTATTTCTAAACAGCTTCTACAAGTTGTACTCTTCTTTTTTCAATGGCCTCATGCTAAATTTTGATGAAAACATCAAAATTATGATCAGATTGAATTCTTATTCTCATAGAAATACTTTAATAGACACACTAACAAGTGTTGCCAGTCAGCCAACAACCTAATTTGGTCAAATGACCTGGTACCTGTCTTCTACTTTTTGCTACTGGTTCCCCAGAGATTTCTTCAGAATCCTGTCCTTCACCATCCCCGAGCCGGTAACCAGAGCCCTTAAAGGCCCTACTGCCTCCCGGCCTTGGTGGCTCAGCACTGTTCACTTCCTCAGCACCATGTCTAGTTAAAATTTAATATACCACAATAAGTATTCACATCAAAACACAGTGCTAATACTGTTAGTTAGTAAATTCATCAGGAGCAAGTGGCTATGGTCAATGACCTTAAACCACTTGCCCCTCACTCCTGTTGGTTGAATCCCTCCAGGAACATTGGAATCTTTCATGTGAGGAGGCTATCCAGCTAGCTTAATGAATGTTGGTGGTTCTACTCAGGTGCTCATTTGTGCCTAAAATAATGTACGGAGGGGCACTGGACGTAAAACACATCCAAAGAAATTAGAGCTGTTAATAGGACAGCGGGCTTTACTTTTTCCATTGCTTGATAGTATATAAGAGCTTTATGTGGCATTTTCTAAGGTCAAAAAGGGCCATGTCAGAATTATTGGCATTATACAGTGGCCTCATATTATACTTTCTAGTAAGTGTGTTAAGTTTCACCCCATTCCCTTCAGTAGCTATGGAGATACATGTACCAAAATGCACAAAAAAACTTAAGAAAAGTGAGGCTCATTCATAATAAGGTGGCCAGTGTAAAATATGCCATGAAATAATCTGTATTAAAAACAAAGAAATAGGTTATGTTTAGCACTGTGCACATCAATGTTATCATTTACAAACACTACAAGTAAACAAAGCTCATACTCCCTGGCAGACTTGAAAAGATCTTCCACAACATTTGTCTTCTTCTTTTTAGGTCCTAAAACTTGCTGTCCACTGAAAGTTTGCAATAAAAAAAAACATTACCAGAATTCATCATTAAAAGTGTGACCTTTAATGTATTAAAAGAACCTTTAAAAAGCTTATTTTCTTCATAATAGCAATGCACAAAACTATTGTGACAATTGATTAAATTGCCAGGTGGTTAAGATGTCTGTCTGTCTATCAAACAAACAACCAATTAATTGTGTTGAAACCCTCCTTGGATCCCCATAATTCACAAAATAACGTATAACTTTTTGCCAATTGATTTTAGTGAAAGAAATGGGCATCCAGTGTAGACCAAGATCAGCTGGAACTTTAATGCAATCTGATCATTGTCTGCACTGTTCGCTATTCAATTGGTATATATTTTGAAAATTTCCCTAAAATGATGGAATGGTTTTGTCCAAGGTTGAAGGATAGACAAGTCCATTTAAGAAATTTAGCATGTTGAAGGTTAAATAAAGACCGATAAAATTTAATGAGCCGTAATACATGTTTAAATCGAAATCGAAGTACAGGCACAAGATCAGAGATTAAAACCCACATCTTCCGGCAAATTGACATTAATAAAAGAAATTGGGTAAGAAGTAGGGGGGATGAGGGAGAGGAACATTTAACCTGCAGCCATGATAACTGTCTTGCTTACATTGTCATTATTTGGCCATCCAGCTTCTCAACAAATCCTTTTTATTCTGTTAGTCGCAACTGATCAATAAATGCATCTGTTGACCACAAAGATCAGCTGGCAGTTACCTGCTATCTGATCATGGTCTGCAGTGTTTGCTATTCAATCAGTATATACATGTATTTTGAAATTTTCCCTAAAATGATGAATGGTATTGTCCAAGGTTGAAGGACAGACAAGTCCAGTTAAGAAATGTTGAAGGTTAAATAAAGACCTATAAATGAGCCGTGTCACGACAAAACCAACATGGTGCGTTTGTGACCAGCATGGATCCAGACCAGCCTGAGCATCCGCGCAGTCTGATCAGGATCCATGCTGTTCGCTATCAGTTTCTCTACTTGTAATAGAGTTGGTAAGCGAACAGCATGGATCCTGATCAGACCAGCATGGATGTGCAGGCTGGTCTGGATTCATGCTGGTAGCAAACCCATTATGTTGGTTTTGTCATGGCGCAGCTCAAATCAGCTCTAATGGTACCTTCTCTCAGATCCACCAGCATAGAAAGCTTGACCTTCTTCCTCACTTGAATCTTCACCTTGACCTTGCATACTTCCTATTGTAGCAAACCTGGATTACATTATACATACATTGTAGTTGTTATATACAACATGTTCTATAAATAGCATCAAGCTCTAAAATTGAAATTTAAAAGCTCTACTTACATACATTGAGCATCAACTGAACTTGCAAGAATATAACCTCTTTTGTATTGTTTACAAATATGAATCTGAGCAAAGCTGTTTGTTTTTCACTCAAGATATAAAGCAAAATTTGGTGAAATATTCACTCCAGGTGATCTTCAATATGTCATGACATAACAAACTCAGGTTAAACTTGCCCTTACTTTTAAAAGCCAAAATAAAACAAGGCTTTTCTTTTTGAACTTCATTAACTTCAACAAACTTCTCTTGAAATAACAACAAATCTATGACAAACACATAATTAAATCATTTCATCTACTGTGTAATAATAAAAATATTGGAATGTACGAGAACCTTGAGCTTGAGGTTCCTGTTGTCTTGGATTTACGACTGCCAGTCTCAGGTTCCTGCGGTGCCATGGCTGGTGGTTGTTGAGGCATAGCTGAGCCGACAACACCACCAACTAGATCATCATCATCATCTGGATCACCTTCATAGAAACTTCCCATGGCTAACTGTAATACATACAACAAATAAGGGTTAATCATTGAAGATGTTTTTGGTATACAATCAAGAACAATTAAAGTTAAACTGGAGAAAATGTGTTAAAAACTATTTCAATTTGCATTTATTTATATGACAAATATACAACAAATGAACTTTGAACTGGTTTAGTTAGATGTAATCTTTGGTCCTGATCTCTTCAATATTACTTGGACTTTGACATAAATAACTAGAAATCCTTGACTTGAGGGGATGATCTAGTAAAAGTCACTGCCAACTTCAAGTTATTAACAGTGTGTGAATAACTGGGGCATGTAACAAAGTCATGGTTACAAGTGACAGATCAATGCATAAATTATACAAATAGTAAGTATACCATTAAGAAACCTTGTTCTTTGCATTATCAATGTAACTCAATGATAATAGGCGGGGTATTCCGATAACAGAACAAATCTCAACTTTTCAGATTAATAATAATCGTCGAGTGTTCCGAATGAAAACGGAAGTGGGTACATATAATACCGAATGACACCTTTAAAACGGAAAAATGAAAGGATTTTTTACCGACGTCCCTGTTTATAGGCTTTGCCTAATTACATATTATCTCAAATTAATTAATGTTGGTTCATTGATCAATTGAATTTCTGAAAAATAATGCAATAGTACATTTTCAGTTATTATCCATCATGACTTTTCAGATACATAAAGTCTACCAGAAAAAGGTGTCATAATTCAAAAGTTGCCCCATAATTTTTAAAAGTTTTCCTGGAAATGAAAGGACAAATTGACATTTTAATACTAAAAAAAGTATATAGTGCTTTCCATTTCTATTGCCAAGGGCACATAAGCTACACATTATCCTATTCCTATATCATGTGGATATCAATTATTGCCTTTTTTATTGTTTGTTCCTGTAGTATTAGAAATAAATGATAAAAGATTAACTTATTCCACATAAACTGTTCATATCAATCCATTATGTAACTTTACTATCACCAACGAAAGAGCTTTGCAAACCATCAACTAACTGCTAAAATAACAATCGGATACTTTTACATCCGAAATATGTATACTTTTATTATACATTACCCCACCCACTAGCAGCAAGCTACAAATAAGAAAATATCGTGTGTGAAAATTCTAACTAAACTTAACCGATGAAACTAATACAGTACATACTTCAAGATTCCAGGCAGATGATTCTAAATAAAAACGCGCTCTATCTTGATCAACAGCAGTGATCTTGATAAAATTATCAATCATGTCTTGTTTTGCTTTGTCAGCCATGTTTGCTGTTTGTTCTCCGGCGTATTTTTAAAATTGTGCGTAACTGTTTGAAATATTCATACGTCGAATTATTTTTTACATGGAGATCCTTGTCGACCGCTCTTTTCTGTTACATAATTTTGTTTAATGGCTTATGAGAATATGAATGTGTTCATCGGATATGAAATAGATATGCAAAATAGAATGATCTACTTAACTGTCTACACGAACGGTCACAACATGCAAAACCCGTGCACGTATACATATATCATTTCATCTACACAATACTGTTATAAAACCGATGAATGATCGCGTTGTCTCTTAAAATAAATATATGTCATAGATATATAATAGCTTCAAGAATGAATGAAAATGAATATAAATTAAGCGATTCTAAACATTTCTAAACATTTATGAGATCTGGCTCCAAACAATGAAATCGGCGGTCAAAATTCTATCTGAATTGCATATATGCTGAAGCGATTCATATATATAGGTGCATGATAAAAAATCATCAACAACATTACGGATCACTTACATAAAACTTTTATAAAAAAAAAAAATTATTCTTTATATAACGATGTGTTTATCGGATATGAAATAGAATGGCAAAATAGAATGATCTACTCAACTTTCTACACGAAGGGTCACAGCATGGAAAACTCGTGCCCGCGTACATATATCATTTCATCTACATACTTACGGGTCACTTACATAAAACATTCATAACCTAGAAATGTGTCCTAATGTAACGAATGTCCCCGCATGCAGCCAAAATTTCAAATGATATAAAAATATTTAGTTCCAACTTTGTTTGCTTCATTCCAAGTTCAAGGCCCTTAAACTATTCAATGTTACTTACAAAGTTCAAGACCCATAAACTATTCAATGTTAACCTTTTGCAAATTTCATATTACATATCTGTAGCCGAGATAATGATTAGAAATTTTTGTATTAGTTATTTTTTTTAATCTTCAAGGGGGATAACTGTCGAAAAAACATCCGACCATGACCAAATTAGAACTTGTATCTTCTGGTAAGATATATGTACCAGCACATGCAATGTCAATTAACTTCGGACAAACATTCCTACAAAAGTTAGAGCAGAAACTGAACATTTCTGATTTATTCTAAGTTCAAGAAGGTTAATTCTGTCAAACATCATCGGAGCAAAACCATATTCGAAGTTGACTTGAATTTTCTGATGAAATACATGTACATTTCAACTCATTTCCACCATAATAAGAATGCGGAAACTGAAAATTTCATTTTTTTTCCAACGTTCAAGAGGGATGACTTTGTCCAAAATAATCGAACCATGACCAAATTCAAACTTGACCTGCTTCATGATTGTGCTTATTCATATAATGTATCTATATGTCAAATTTGAGTTGAATGTGTACAACTATTGGGGAGATAATGACCAGAAACTGAACATTTCTTCTTCTTTTTTCAAAGTTCAAGAGGGACCACCGTCAAAAATCATCTAACCAAGACCAAATTCGTACTTGACATGTATGTTCCTATGATGTATCCATATAACTGAATGTGTGGGAATGTTGCCAAGATAAAGAACGGAAACTGGTGTCATCACCATGATGACGGCATGACAGAATAACAGAATAACGAAACAGGGTAACATTTTTTTTAATGCGTTTATTTTAGGTCGCCACCGGAAAGCCCATATATGGGACTCAAGGCGGGCCATCCCAGAGCGTCCTGCCGAGATTTTTTCGTCGATTTTTTCCAGCTTATATTGGTTGGGGAAGACCCCAGGTGCCCCTCCGGGCATTATTTCAGGCACGAGCGGGCAGCAGCTGCTGGGTAGAACCACCGACCTTCCGTAAGCCAGCTGGAAGGCTTCCTCACATGAAAGATTTCGACCCGAGTGAGAATCGAACCTACAGCGTGAGGGACCTCTGATCTCAAGTCAGCGACCTTAACCACTCGGCCACGGAGGCCCCAACAGGGTAACACTATAATGATTATTTTCTTCAATTGTGTAGCATTAGACCGTAAGCCTATTGTTGTAGTGACGTATAATCATCAAACACAATATTACTTACAAACGGACTTCCAACTTAAATTAAGCTGGTGTTTGAGGCTGCATGGCTATTGAATGTTTATATGAAGCTGATGCACAGTAATGTAGTTTTTTACATCATCTATGGATCTCTTCAACACACATGAAGCTCGAATGGGATTTGACTGCCCATTCCTTCGTTTTAAAGCCAAATCTATAAAAAAATTGAGGGTTGATTTTAATGACCAGAAGCGTTTTGCGGTCACAAAGTGAAAACTTTGTATTTTGAGTCCGTTTATTGTGTTTTTGGACACATGTCACGGTTCAGAACTGTTCACTAATTAGAAGAGAAAATATGTAAGCGGTCGGATAGCTCAGTCGGTAGAGCCGCGGAACGGTATTCCAAGGCTCCCGGGTTCGAGTCCCGGTCAGGCTGCACATTTTTCTCACCCTGTGACATTTGGCGCCCAACGGGGGACCGCGACTGATATAGCTCAGAGTTTAATTTACATTGCTCTGTAACTCTGTGAAATTCGAGGACGAATTGGAAAGTATGGCATGGTTCAGAACTGTTCACTAATTAGGAGAGTCCCGGTCAGGCTGCACACTTTCTCACCCTGTGACACACACCAGAACCCATCCTCAGATACAGATAGGACCCGCAAGTGTCTGTGGAACCTATGACGGAAAGAATTTGTCCACGAACGCTGCATGAAAATCCGATAATCATTAAAAATCATTGAGATTTGGCCCCAAACGAAAGTATCAGTGGTCAAAAGTTCATTCAAGCTTTACATGTGGCAAAGAGATCCATATATACTTAGAAAACCATCTACAAAACTACGGATCAATTCCATATAAACCGTCTAAAGGATGCTACCTTTGGCTAGTAGTCCATAGGTAAGTAATTAATGTATTTAATAAATATAAAGATTGCTACAACAATAGGCTTACTGCCTGATGCTTGCACTAAAAATTCTAAAATTACACAATGCATATAAAATAGCAACGCATTGGCTAGCGATACTATAATGAATAATTTCCTGACTGTAATAAGTGAACATGCTTATAAGACAATAGTATGAGTTTTTTTAAACATTTATTTTTGCCCTAAATTCCATATTAAAACCCCGACGTTATCAACTACTCAATGCGAGCTTTTCTCGTTGACCGGGCGCCGACCGACATTCTTAAAGTAGACGAATTAAAATGCCTAAGGCCAAACATAGTTTTAGGTTTGCTTGTTAAGAGTTAGACATCTAAATTTTATCATGGTTGAGATTAAAATAACATCTGTAAATATTCCCACAGACAAATCTCAGAGATTTTCCAACCTTATCTTGTCCACCTTTTGACACACAGGCCATATGAAGGTAAAGAGAGTACAAAATAACAATTTAAAAGTGAGAGTTTAGACGTATTTAGCTCATAAATTGGAACTTTTGGCGACAAAAAAAGGCGACCAGTAAGTATGGATATAGGCGCATTTCTACATATTTTGTGTCATCAAATTCGTTTAATGTAAGATAAAAACTATTTTGTCCAAAAAAGGGATTGAAAAATGTACTATAGTCTACAGGTTTTGATAAAAGTAATCATTAATGTTAAATAGGTAACTTTACAAGTAAACATCTGATGAGAAATACCTTATTGTTTGCAAGACTTTCATAATAACTTTCTAAATTATTCGAAAACGATTATCTTCTTTTTAGTACTGTTTTACGTAGCGCCAACACTGTAAAGGTCATATGGTGTCTTTCCCTCTTTACTGTTGGAGGCGGACCACAGGTGCCCCTTCGTGCATTATATCAGGCTAAAGGGCACCTTAGAAGAACCACCGACGTTCCGTAAGCTACTTGAATATCTTCCTTACATGTCCCTGTGGATATTTCAACCCGCAGCGATAACGGACAAGTGGTTTGAAGTTGACAAACATAACCACTCGGCAACCCCGCGTAAAAGACATATATATTTATATTTACTATGGTTACGTATATAAGTGTCGTACCATATATGGCATTATTATTATCATAAATAACTCCCTACGAACGCTCGCTCCCGTTGATTTACTCTGATGACCGTGAATCAGATATTCAAATGTAATGCACGTCAAATGCACTTTGAAAGTTTCGCAGGTACCTGTGATATTTATCTATGGACCTATTTGCATATAGAGAATGGACGCGGAAGGATTCCGGAAATATGGCCGAGAGATGGTTGATTATATTGCAGACTATTTGAAGGAGATTCGGGAAAGACCCGTCGTACACAGGGTAAAACCTGGCTACTTGAAGGTTAGTAAATACTGCGCATTAAACAGTACTGATACTTATTTTAGAAATGATAACGATCGAAGCAAATCAAAAGAGAAGATTTTGACATAAACTAATAATCCTGGCATAAATGTTTTTTTTTTGAGAGTTATGTCCTCTGCGTACATTAGTACTTTTGTATTTGCCCTTGTACCTATCTGAACTTTGATGATATGCTGAAATGCACTCAGACAAACTTACAAAAATCCAGATAATGTGAATAAATGCTTATATGAAAAGAAGTCATGAAAAGTAGGCCAAATTTGATAATTTAAAAGCTATAAACTATTCATTGACTGCGCATGTGCTTTTTTTTCTATTAAATCTGGATCCAGGCCCAATTAGGACCTTTCATTAATTAAGCTAAATAAGGGACCCGCACTCTTGCAACCTTAAAGCAGGATTTTCAACGCCACTCAAACGCCTTGGATCGCGATATTGATCTCCTATGCACGAAATAAAAGATTACTTATAGGCTATGTAATTTGACCTAAAACCAAGGTCAAGGGTAAAAGAACTTTGCAAGGCTTTTTACTTCAGAAACTTATACCAGATGAAGCCCCGGAAAAGCCGGAAGAATTTTCTGAAGTAATGAAAGACATAGAGAGGGTCATAATGCCTGGGGTAAGAAAATCTTTTGTATTTCTAATAAATATTTAAAAAATCACTGTATTGGGTTAGATTTGCTAGATTTGCTAAAAATTGTCGTTTGTTCTATAACTGGTGAAACAGGCTATAGAAATTTCAAAGAACTGTATACAGTTACACTATATTCATATTCTTACAGCCATATCTTAAGAAAGTTTTAGTTAAAAAGTCTTATTTCAAAATGAAAGCAGAATAAAACGTTCCAGTATAAAATGATAAAAGCAATTTCTACTTTGATGATTTACGCGCCCTATTTGTCGGAATTTTCCCTCTATAATAAGAAAGACGCTCTGTAAAAAAGTCACTATTATATATATAATCGGGAAATTGTTTATCTAGAACAAATCTAGTTGCAATATTCATTTAAATAAGCCAGCTTAAAAATGTAAGTTGGAAATGCCATCATTACATAAATACAATGTCTATGAATTTAAAATTATCACTTGAATCACTTTCAGATGTGAATTATTAAAAAAGATATCTGTATTTCAGATAACACATTGGCACAGTCCATACTTCCATGCCTACTATGCTGCTGGTAATTCCTTCCCATCCATCCTTGGTGATATGTTGTCGGACGCCATTGGTTGTATAGGTTTCTCCTGGGTAATTATTATTGATAACAGAAAAGTCAAACTAAATGTTAGGACATTTACTACAAGTTAGATATTGTTCTATGTATGGGCAATCCCTCTACGAAATTCTGAAAGAAAACAACAATATCTCAGAATTTAGCTTTGAGCATCAACATTTTGTCCTAGATAACAGATTTGAAAGTTGAAACGTTTTCTATGTGAGCCGCGTCACCACAAAACCAACATAATGGGTTTGCGACCAGCATGGATCCAGACCAGCCTGCGCATCCGCGCAGTCTGATCGGGATCCATGCTGTTCGCTTACAAACCCCATAACAAGTAGTTAAACTGATAGCGAACAGCAGCGGATGCGCAGGCTGGTCTGGATCCATGCTGGTCACAAACGCACTATGTTGGTTTTGTCGTGACGCGGCTCATTTAAGTTTGAGACGAATACGAGTCTCCAAACAAAATAGTGAAAGGACACTAAACTAGAAAAAGTTTCTATGATTTAATTTGCTTCGACAAGGCACATAGGTCAAATACATCATTAGGTCATTAGGTTATTCAGATTCGGAAAACAAATAATTAACAGGGAATCTTACAGTATGTTTGGTGAAAAAAGATACCCGAAAATAAAAGATGCGACATTAAATGGCCTATGTCAATATGTTTTTATGAACATTTCATTTGTTTGTTCTATCCCCTATTTCAGGCAGCCAGTCCAGCCTGTACCGAGCTAGAGATGATTACTACAGACTGGCTTGGCAAAATGATTTCACTTCCGGAACAGTTCTTGCATTGTGGGAAAGGCAAGGGTGGCGGCGTCATACAGGTAATTCCGGCACAGACAGACGTCGATTTGTGTTGTAGTTTAAATTTACTTTCCAATTCAAATTTATAAGAGCAGCTATTTTATCTCACACTTAGATTAAGGTATTCACATGCAAGTTGGAGTCACCAAAACCAAAGAAGGGAACGAGTTGAAACTTAACACACTTCTTCTCTGTGATTACCTAGCATAATTGGCATAGGTCCCATAACTCTGAGTAACACTTTAACACAAAGTTGTGCCCCTATTCTTACAGTGTCAAGAACTAAGAATAGCCGAGCGCGCTGTTTTACGGACAACTCTTTTTTTAAAAAATAAAAGCTAATCTATAATTTTGAAAAGGATTGTCAAGGAAACTATCAAAAACTGTATAATATATTGTAACATATTTGTTTCTCCAGACGACAGCCAGCGAGACTGTGTTCCTGTGTTTGTTAGCTGCAAGGAATAAAATGGTGACAAAACTTAAATCACAGAACCCGGCGTTGGATGAATTGGAAATTATATCAAAGTTGGTTGGATACACATCAGATCAGGTACCATTTTTCTATCTTACAAACAATTAATTAATGTGTGCTGGAGTTTTCTTACAATCATTTTATTTAAAAACCATAGGCACTCATTTCCACAATATAAAGTTTTTTTTACATTCTATTAATAATAGATGTATTCTGTATATTAAAGACAACGTTATTGATTGATTGTTGTTGTTTTTGGTGGTGGTGTTGGTGAAAACAAGTACTAGTAAACGAACTTCAGCCGTTAAAGCCATTAACCATATAATTATACATGTATGCTAGTAAGCAATATCAAATATTGAAATATAATCCCATGGCGAACAAAATTGATGGTGTTCAACATTGAGAGATTAAAATAATAATGAAAGAGTATATAAAGAGCAGTGGAATTGAATTTAATCAAGTGTGTTTGTTTATTAATTTTTAGGCGAACTCTTCGGTTCATAGATCCGGGTTACTCGGTTCTGTTACCATGGTAAAATTACAAAGTGACGAGAAGTTCAGTCTCCATGGTGACCTCCTTAAACAACAAATTGAAAAAGACAAAGCAGAAGGGAAAATTCCATTTTTTGTAGGTTGATTTTTTCAAAGATACAATTGTATGTTAACATGTAAATCATTTGTGACTGACGTTTTATTTTGTTAATATGTCCAAAATCAGCCAAATAAAGAAAAGGACATTCTGAACAGAACATAATTTAACACAAAATAACATAACATAACATAACGTAACATTACGTAACGTAAAGTAACGGCAGCCTAAAATGACATTACCTAACATAATAATATTTAACACAACAGACACAACACGACATATATACAAATTAAATACATTCTTTATATCGTTTTGATTTACACTGTTGAAGCTGTATACATGTACGTAAACAATATTTTCTCGTTCAATTATCACCATATTATTTACCTCGCAATGTTTTGTTTTATACACTTATTTCTCAGTCACTAACTTTTTTTAAAATTTTAGATGTGTGCCTCTCTCGGAACCACTGGATCGTGTGCGTTTGATAGATTGGATGAAATCGGACCAATATGTTAGAATTTCAACTTATTTCTACAAAACGAAACATGTGAAGTCATATTACTATAAGATTAGACATTTTGATGCGCGAGTGTTTGCAGAATCCAAATAATTTTAGAAATTTCAGAACGATCCATGATTAAGACATGTTATTTTCGAGACTTTTTTTCTCGAACATTTGTCAAAAATAGTGTTCATACCTTCGAATCAATCGATACGAAGCTCGACAGTCGGTTGATTATACACGTCTATGGCATTGCCACTACAAGAATTAAAATATAAATTCAAATAAAAATTAATGATGATGAAAAATCGTTATCGACTAATACGAACAAAGCAAACGAAAATGCACACAAAACAAAATTAACTGGCTAACATTATTTTTGTGTACCAAATCGGTGCCTTCAGCGCTTTGATACATCTGATTTAAACGTTGAAACGTTGATATTTGGCTTAATCAACCACTAAAAGTAGGATATAGATTAATTTAATTAGTTTTCTCTGAATCAAATAATTCAAGATTTTTTAATATGATAGGTAAAGAGAATGATATTTGGCTGCATATAGACGCTGCTTATGCCGGAAGTGCGTTCGTCTGTCCGGAGTTCCGCCATTATATGAAAGGCGTTGAGGTATTTATTTTTGACGTCTGTTTCAAATTGTTTGACCCCGTGTTGTACTAAAGTCTGACATTCTCAAGGTGTAACAAAATCTGACATTATCCATATTCTGTATTATAAATTTGACATTGTCCCAATGATATAACAAATCTGACAATGTCTCAGACTGTAATAAAATCTGACTTTGTCCTCATTATTAAAATCTGAAATTGATCCTATGTTAAATGTTTTAAAGTCCAATATTGGTCACAATGCTGTGATAAAATCAGACATTGTCACCGTGTAATAAAATCCGATATTGACTTCATATATTAAAATCTGTCATTGACTCCATGAATTGAAATCTGACATTAGTCCCATGTATTAAAATCATAATCTTATTTAATTTACATTTAGTTTCGAGGAGACGTTTAAAGAAACATTTAAAAATGAATTTAAAAAAACAACATTTATTGTTTTACATTTTAGTTTGCACAAACATTTACAATAAATCCACACAAATGGATGTTGATTTCATTCGATTTATCAGTTTTGTGGTGAGACTTCAGTTATATTATTTCCTTTCTATGTCCCCCGCCCACCCCCGCATATTATCTGCATATGTATATTGCTATATATGTTCTACGGTTCCACCTGACCCTTAATATACCCTGGTTTTGGTATTGGCTAATCTTTGATTTTTAACAAAACGAATACCTTTTTTTTATATCTAAAGGATCGTTCCAAATTCAAAGCAACTGCAGTAATCAAAACGAAAAATTTATTTGATAAAGGTACTTCAAAAGTTTGATAAATATTAACTTATAGATCGTATTCATAAGATTTTTTTTCTTGTTTCGTGTCATTCTAGGAAATATAGTTTTCCCAACAAGTGATATATAGATCTCTTTATATCTTGCTGATAAGACAGCACACATTAAAAAATGAAAATATCTAATGTTTTGAGTGCGTTCACATTTTCGGGTCTAAATTTTAGCAAATTTTAACGTAACTATATAAACGATGTAAAAATGTTTTAATGCATACATGCAATGTTTACTTTTACTTACATCCCAGTATCTTTCTATATAAATCATTAATGTTTATTGACAGGATACAGGACAGCTCCCTGTTAGTGGATGCCTTTAATGTGGATCCGATATACCTGAGACACGAAAACGAGGGCAACGTGCCTGACTACAGAGTATGTTCGAGCACTTCTGTATTTCATTTTTTATAACGACGGGTTTCTAAATCAGATCATTTGTTATTTTTTTAAATGACAAGTCATGTAATGAGTTTAACGGTCAAGAACAAGCAGCACCGAAATAATTGGTTTCCTTGTCTTATTGCGAGTTACGAAGTCACAGTAAGGACAGGCACACTGGCAAATAAAGTTAACTTAGTTTGATTTTCTATAAAGGAACCCAGCTATGGATTATGTCGGCAACGAAATGTTCGATACAGTACATCTGAATAGACCAGTCATGAATAATTATTTTCGTTTTCTATCAATATTTATCTATTATTTTTTTTTTTTTCAACAATTGTCTTATAATAGTTATAGTACAAAAGAGAACTGGGATTTTTCTGTAAGAGCCAGATTTAACAGTCTGTACGATCTTGTATTGGTTGACAATCATGTAATATTTTCAGCATTGGCAAATACCTCTTGGACGTCGATTTCGATCCCTAAAGCTTTGGTTTATGCTCCGATCATACGGCGTGGAGGGAGTCCAAAAATACATCCGTCATGTATGTCAAGTTAAACATATTATACTCAATTAATTAACACATGTTTAACATATTATAATTGAATCATTTTTATATAAAAGCAGCAGCAACCTTACGTATTAATCTTTAATAAATACAAAGTGTAATAAGAAAAAAAGCGCTGCAAGATGCCCACAAGTACAATTTGGCGGCATTTACGAGTAGGAAGTATTGTGAAATCATACTGTGAGCTATTCCATTATTTTATACATGTAGTTACAGATATGAATATGAATTGGGCAAAAAACAAAAACTCCCCAACAACTAAATTATGGATCTTTCTTAAAGAACATTATATGTGTCCGATTAATAATGATATCAATAATGTAATAGAAACAACCTTTTTATATACTGTTAAATATTGTATATATATGCTAAATTACTGATGCATTTCCTACATGTAATTGAAATTTAGCATTGTGAGTTGGCTCATGAATTTGAACGTATGGTGTTAGATGATGGACGATTTGAAATTGTAGCAGAAGTTGTTATGGGACTCGTCTGCTTCAGACTAAAGGTAATGAACAATTTCCTAAAGGAATATCAACATACATGTACATGTATTACAAAGCCGTTTTGGTAAATTATTTCCATTTCAATAGCCAATTTCCATTATGGATAAAATCAGTTGTTTTTAAATAAATGAATGTATTACTGATGCTACTTTTTGCCGATTTTTTTTCTAGGGTGATAACATTTTGAGCGAAAAGCTTCTGGAAGAAATCGTAGCTGATGGACGCTTGTATTTAATTCCCGCCATAGCTCGTGACATCTACTTCCTGCGACTTGCCGTCTGCTCAGAACGCACAACATCCGAGGACATTCGTTATTCGTTTGGTGTCATAAAATCATGCACCGACATAATGATGAAATGTCATTTGCCGACGGCTGATCCGAAACATAAGCCGATGATTGACATCGACATTTCACCACGACGTTTGCACGTGATCTCTGAAAATGACGTAGAAAACGTTAGTCGGGGTATGAATGGGGTCAGCCTAAATGGAAATAGCGCCGACTTAAATGGACACTCACCAGTTGGAAAATAGTGATTAAAACGTCAATGTATTGAAAATCAGCTTAGCCTTGACAATTCTAAGGTCAATGTTTTTAACGGGTATTATTTATGCTGCAATATTATGGTTATTTTTTTTTAAAGTTATTTGTTGTGTTTACCGAGCTTGCTCAGGATTTGTTTGGATGTTGATTTTACGTTGATATTACATTGTACATATCTAAGTTGTTAATTACATTTGTTTTGAAAAAAAAATGTTTCTCTGTTATTTATAGATCTATATCTTATGGTTATAAATCGACTTATTATCTTATTGTGTGCGTATCAGTTCATATTAGATAAGCATAAGAATGACTGACAACTGACAAGAGATGTAAAAATGGCAGGTATCCAAAATAGATGTGTAGTTAGACAAAATAGTATAAGTGCAGCTGTAGACGAGTAAAAGAAATGAATGTGGAACCAATTCAGCTATGACAGTGTTCAAAAATAAATGTATGAGGTCATTTAAGAATAAAATGTTCCCCAGTTATTAAGCATAAACAGTTTTCAAATTAAAAGTAACAGTGACTTTGACAAGGGATGATCTTGCCACATTGGAAACGATGCTGTCTACGGGTCGACTGACAATTTACAAAACTTCTATACGAGGGACATAACACTTCACTGCTAGCATCCATGAATGTTTTTTATATAAGCAATTACGTCTCCAAATGTATACCATAGCATAAACCTTAACCTCATGTTTAACATTATTCACGTAAGAAATTGTGTACACCATAGTTTTAACCTAAGCAATTATGTTTCTATTGTACCGAAGTTCAAAACTAAGCAATTATGTCTCAAAATTCTCACTATACTTTTGACATAAACTACCATGTCAAATAATGTATAGTGTGCACCATGGTATTTAACTAATCAGTTATTTCCAATATTGTACACCATGCCTTCAATCTTAACAAATTTGTATGTCATTGTATACAATAGTTTTAACCTATACATTTATGCCCCATATTGTACACCATAGTATTTTAAAAGCAACTAAATTTTTTGTGATGTTCCTGAAGCTTACAATCAATGGAAGTTTATTACTATTGGAGAAGCAACAGATTAAACTGCAACAAAATGTATTGACCAAACAATTAAGAATGTATGAAGTAGACACTAGTAAGATTAAATGATCAAAGACATGCTAATTGGAAACAAAGCCATTCTGTTTAATTATTTAAAAGTTTTAATTTAGATTTCTTCTCTTCCTTATTCCCAGGAACGTAGCTAGACAAACTTGTTTCATCGATATAAGACAGGTTTCTACATCAAAAGAAAAAAGAATATATAACTTGGACATTTGGGGACCTCTGTTCCATATATCAAACAAATATTCATGTTTGTTTTCTAAAATTGAATTTTGGATGTGTTTAATTTCACGCTGACACTGTTAAGGTTATATGGTGACTTTCAAGCTTTTTTGATGGAGGAAGACCTCAGGTACCCCTTTATGCATTATTTCAGACAAAAGCTGGCATCTGAGTAGAACCATTGATGTTGGATAGTTTCCTAACATGAAACAATTCCAAGTCACTTGCAGACATGATAAAAAATTCAAAGTCCCTGGCAGACATTACCTCAAAACCATATTTTTCACACAAAAAGAAAAGAATGCATTAATACACTGTTGTTATGTCTAACTTTATAATCCTAAATTACATCCTAATTTAAACAGGCATTCTCAGCGTTTAATAATTCATAAATACTGAATAATATGCTCCCAACATAAAATGTTCATAGGACATAAGAATAAAACATTATAAAATTGGTAGCTCTATTTTCTCACTTTATCCATCCTCTAGCTCTGTTCCTTACAGTAACAAGTGATGGGGAATGAAATGAGTGAATGATACCTTCTTGTTACTTGAGACAGTCTTACTTTAACAGCAACACAACCCTTGCGCTGAATGAAACTGTTCAGCAAACTAGTGTTAATTTCTTGCTCAACTCAATTATTATAGGATATTCTTATTTTAAGGAAATTTGGTAATTTTTAACTATTGTGTATTCTTTCTACAATTATTTTTTTGAATTTGTTCGGATTTGCTTAATTCCAAAAGGATAAGGTATTTCTTGCTTAGCATGGCATCTATTTGCAAATTATTTTTCATTATCAATTCTAACCATGACCTCATTGACCTGAAGCATGTTAAAGCTGTAGCCTTCAGTTTCAAGAAAATCAACTTTGAGAAAAATGTTACTAAGATTTTAAGAATAGTAATAAGATTCAAGACCCAAGTACATATGCCCAAGTATTAATTTACATGTTATTTGTAATTAATGACTGCTTTTGCTAAATTTATCACCATATTTTTACTGACTGACCCACAAAGTAATGCCTATTTTGACCTTTTTTTGTTACGAAGATTTAGGTGCTGTTCGCAATGTGTAAATTACTTTCTATGTTCCCTTCACAATATTTTACTTCAAAATTTTCATGAAAATAACCATGAATCTTGAGAAATGCAGCTTTAAATAAACAACTTAAATCAATTATAAATTTCTAGCTAAGTAACATGAACCAAAACCAGGAAAACATGATATACTGCACCAGCACAGTCTGATTTGGACTTAATTGTCCATTTTAATCTGTAACATTTTCTTACTTGTTCATACAATATTTAATAGTAACCTTTTCACTTGTTTGAACAAGCTGTGGGACAATCTGAGCAATACAGACAATTGATTTTGCCTCCCATGAATTATAAATTGCATTCTGTAAACTTTTACTAGCTTCATGTCTGTCCAATAAATGTTTTTTCTCTCAATCAAATGAAAACTGAAATTGAACTCTAAAGGTTAAAAGGATAATTAAAACCAACAGTGACAGACAAACAGACAGTATGGCCAGCAAGAAGACAGATGCTTTACATTATGCTGAATTTGAGAGAAAATCCAATGGAAAAACAAAAGTAAGATTTATTTTCTTATTTTTCTTTTAATTAACAAATGAATTAATTGTATCAAATTATCATAATTATAATTTATCAGATCAATTTGCTTTAATTCAGCTCCAAACTTATGCTTAAATATCTGAATTGTTTTTACCTAAATGAACATGATAGTTAATTTTTGCTTTGTTCTATCCTGGAAAATGTTGTTTTACTTTGCTGGAAATCACAGCACAAGAAAACCATATAAAAACTCAATAAATTCAAAGAAACAGATTTTACACAAGTTAAAATCTGAATAAACTAGACAAACAAACATACATAATTATTGTACTGGTTATAAAGTCCATACTTATATGCAAGGCTTTATAATTCCTGTCTCTGATATGCTCAAACATTGAGAGAAACTAGAAATGTGTCCATAGGACACGGATGCCCCCACACGCCACTGTTCTGTCAATCTTATGACTCTAGGTCAAATATTGTTTGGACTACATGTGCCACAAGTTGAAAACTAAAAATCAACAAAGGGCCATAATTCTGTTAAATTTGGTCGCAGCAAAAATTCCTTCCTTTACTGCCATCTACACATTAAGGTTGTTCATCCCTAGAAGTTTAAGCAAAATCTGCCATCTGGTTTAAGAGGAGTTGCGTTCACAAAATTTCTACATAGTATATAGTGAAAAAATCAACAAAGGATCATAATTCTGTTAAATTTGGTCGCAGCAAAAATTCCTTCCCTTACTGACATCTACACATTAAGGTTGTTCATCCCTGAAAGTTTAAGCAAAATCTGCCATCCAGTTTCAGAGGAGTTGCATTCACAAAATTTCTACATAGTAGTATATAGTGAAAAAAATCAACAAAGGGCCATAATTCTGTTAAATTTGGTCGTAGCAAAAATTCCTTTCTTTACTATCATCTACACCTTAAGGTTGTTCATCCCTGTAAGTTTAAGCAAAATCTACCATCCGGTTTAAGCGGAGTTGCGTTCACAAAATTTCTACATAGTATATAGTGAAAAAATCAACAAAGGGCCATAATTCTGTTAAATTTGGTCGCAGCAAAAATTCCTTCCTTTACTACCATCTACACATTAAGGTTGTTCATCCCTGTAAGTTTAAGCAAAATCTGCCATCCGGTTTAAGAGGAGTTGCGTTCACAAAATTTCTACATAGTATATAGTGAAAAAATCAACAAAGGGCCATAATTCTGTTAAATTTGGTCGCAGCGAAAATTCCTTCCTTTACTACCATCTACACATTAAGGTTGTTCATCCCTGTAAGTTTAAGCAAAATCTGCCATCCGGTTTAAGAGGAGTTGCGTTCACAAGATTTCGGGACGTACGGACGGACGGACGGACGGACTGACGGACGGACGGACAAGTGCAACGCTATATGCTCCCACATTGTGGGGGCATAAAAAATAAGTAACATAAATTTACAAATTTAAATTTACTTGGAAGCTTAGCTGCTATCCAAAAAGATACATGTCTAAAAAATTTAGTAACAAGTTGTGTTGTTTGCAGTAAAACAAAACAAACATTTCATTATTTAAAATGTGTTGTTTTTTATATATACATGTATGTGAAAAAAAATCTTTTTACAGTCAAGACTGTAATTATGCAACTTTCCATGGGACCTCAAGAAAAAGGTCATAATTATATGACAGGGAGTCTTTTAATACAATGAAAAATAGAAAAAATGTTAAAACTTTCAACCTTGCCTTGTTAATCTTTTCTCTCGTTTTTTATTTTAAATATATAACTGTATGAAGGAATAATATCAAATAAATTGCAATTAAACATATTTTCAGTATTTTAATATTTTACATTAACATGTATAAACAAAAACATGTCACATTATAAAGTATTATATCATAATTATCACATTTTTTTATCAAAAATATCTGTACAAACTATTTTTATAACTTTTACCAAAAAATGTTCTAAAATCTAGCATACTTGAATTTACTTCACATAGACAATATCCAAACTGCTATAGAGATTTTTCACTACATTTTGACAAAGTCCACCTCAAAAACAATATCATATGACTATATACCTATTTAAAAATGAAACATCTTTTAAATATTTGATCCTCACTATAAATCACTTCTCACAATACTGGATTATTCATTAAAGTCTATTCCAATTTTCAATATTTCTCAAAATCACAAGAATCAAGTTGGATTGTCAATAAATTAATTATATAAATCTATCTATAATCTATCACTGAAATATTCAGGTCATGAAGGTTTTCTTTCATCATAATATCGTTTTTTCAATGTTCTATATTTTCGCAACATGTATAATGCCTCGAGTTCTTTCACTACGTAATTTCCTCTAGCTATCAGTGTCTCTATCTCCTTCGGATCACTGACATCTTTATTCTTCAAGAAGGCGGCTTTCAACTTGGTGCGGAAATAATCTTCACCTAGTGGATACTCTTTACCCAAGTACAATAACTGAAAGATTGAAGTAAAAAATCTTAAAATATTAAAGCATGATACAAACTACAAATGTGTCAGCAGGAAATTAACAAAACAGTTTCTGTATTATAAACAAAACAAATATACTTTTACTTTGATTAAGAAAGATATATAAATTAAAAGAAAAAATTCAAACATTTTTTTTTCAAATATTTATATTATTTAAATATGCCCATATTGAAATAAGTCACTTACAGTTTTGTATAGCTCTACGACTTTTGGTCTCAGTTGATTACTTGCCATGACTAGATTAACATCTCTGAAAAAAATAATGTCAACTAATAATAATTAATAAGTATTTCCGAAGGAGATTAGTTATTCAAAATATTTCAGTCTAAATGGATTTCAGCTGAATTTTTGACTCATCAATATACCACCAGAGCAACAGATAAGGTGCGTATTTGCGTATTTACGCAATTAATTTGATAAAATACGCAATAGATTTTTAAAGAATGCGTATCAAAACCCATCAAAAAAAATAAAATATGCAATTGTCTTAAAAACCTGTGCGTATTGTCATTTTCATCACCGCAAAATTAATCTGTCGTACACTCGTAGTTTTGGACAAATTATATCGATGTGTATGATATCCAAATCAATGCTAACTAATCAACGGTCTCCGGTCTTCGACGGTCCCCGGTCTCCAACGGCAGACTAAGCATGAGACCGTCGATTTGTCTACTCAAGTTGACGGTCTTTACAGACCGGCAGAGACCGTTGATTTTGCGGAGACCGTCAATAAGTAGGTGCCAGCTGTATCAATAGACGCTTTGAAAAGCAATATGGCGTCGTACAAAAGGGAAAATGATTTGAAACAAAACAGTTGCAAATAATCAAAAATCAGTCAGAAAACGAACTTGTTAAAAATATTATGAAATATAATATGAGCATTTTATATAAAAAATAAAACAATTGTGAAAAGTTCTAGTAAATTGTTAATCCTATTTTCTTTTTAAAACAGTTAAGATATGATCATATCTAAACTTAATTTTATTGATATTGAAACCATAAAATTCATATCTTCATAATTGAATACCCAATTGATCTTGAAATCATAGGGTATCGAGTTTTGGAATACCCAATTAAATGGAGCCAATACCCAATTCCAAAGGAAATGATGGAGTAATACCCAATTCACTTTTAAAGCTTATCTGTTGCTCTGTACCACTATAGTAACAAATATTTGTTTCATTATTTTCTAATGTCATCAGAATTTATTTAAGGAAATTTGTCTTTAATAGAACATCTGTAAATAACTGTGTGGGACTGCAAGTGCTCTAAAAAATCAATGAAAAAATATTTAGTCTAACAAGTTTTCAAGAGTCAAATAGATAGGAGCAGCCATTTTGCAAAATCTTGGACTGTTCTTAAAGTAGATCATAGGACATTAAACAAAAGCATCTATACATGTTCATAGGTCAGACTTTTATATTTAAATTTGTTAGAGTGCGAGAAAATGTGCAGCCTGACTTAAACTTGGGGATGCTAGTGTCACAGTGTGAGACTAGGATTTGACAAAAACTTTTCTGAGGCTGTACCAACTGAACTATCTAGCTGCTTACACACTTACTCCCCTTAATAGTGAACACTTCTAAACCGAAACATAGATACATTGTACACCCCCACTACACACAAATTTGTCTATGGAATTTCTCAGGGAATTGGGATACATAACAATGTGAATTAAACTCTAAGCTGTATGCAGTAAAGTCCCCACATTTGGTGGCACATGCGATAGAGAGAGAAATTATGCAGCCTGATTGGGAATTGAACCTGGGACCCTTGGAATACTGTTCTGCGGCTTTACTCAGACTGTGCTATCTGGCCACTTAAAAGCACATTCCCTCCCTTTATAAGTAAACATTTCTAAACATGTCGTATTCCAACAGTTGAATATTGTCATTAGTTTTCGCGATGTGCCAATTATTTTCATTTTACACATAAAAGAGTGTCTGTCAGCTGTTTCAAAAATATTCAATTATCATATTCTTATCATACTTACAATTTATATTGATATGATACACCGGGATTTCTTAAAACAATAAATATGCGGAGTTTTGTTTGACAAACATTTCCGCAGACGATACACGATTGACGTAAAATATGTCAACAAAATTATTTTGAATATTATATTTCAAATGTTATCAAATAATGAGTATACACCGACGGATGTATTGCATTTTATTTTGCAAAATAACATTTTTTATGAAAATCAAATGTCGTAAAACATAAACATAATTTACGGTAGTCGGCCATTTTGGTTGCTAATATACACAATCATTTGGGGACAATTTCAAGTCTATTTTTTATCTGTGAATAACTTAACAAGGCGGCAAAAATGGTATGGAAACTATTGGTTTATTCTTTGAAGTTTAGTTTTAATTGATCGAATTCACAAGTTGTGACATATTTGCCGTGCTCTACTTGTTTAAAAATTAATAGTAAAGTTGCAAAGCACCTGTCATACTGACATACATCATGTACATTATATCTGAGCTAAGCATTCTTTTTTCAGAGGACTCCGGTTCCTTGACCTGCTTTTTCTTTCAATAAATTTCACGGCTCTACTATATATAATTTACCTGTTTTCTGCTATGCAATGTCAGTGTCGTACGTCTGGCGTCACAGGTGCAGGAATATATGTTATTCTTGTCTACCATGAACTGTTAAAAAAAATTACATTTTAACAACACTTTTATGTTTAGGCAGTAAAGGATAGTTAAGGAGATCAATTGCGCTTATATCCTTTTTAATAGTGAGCTCAAAGAGCTGGCCCAGAGGCCCTGCTTGCAAAGCGAGCTTTACATATGGTAACACATGCACGTGCTAGATAGTGATCGATGGTTTTGAAAACTTTTGTCCGATTAGGACTGAATTGACACATGGCAACTTTTTGAATTACAAGAAAACAATAAAAGCTGAGAAATTCGGATTGAAAACTAATGGATTGACAGACCAAGACATTTATACATGTATGTATGATAATAATTTAAGTAGTTTTTGTCCATCAAAATCGTAAAGTGTAAAAATTATTTTCATTAATAGCCACCAAAGCAGGGATCGGCAGGTAAGAAGAAACTGTCAAAGGCAGAGAAAGAAAAGCTGAAAGCAGAAGAGGAGGAAAGGAAAGCTCAAGAAGAAGGTGGGCAGACTTTTTTATCCTGAATGTTCTTTGAGATAATATACACATATGTGTTTTTCACATATATCAAAGCAGAAGGGAAACATGGCTACATATTTTTGTTTATAATTCTACATTAAAAACGCAAAATTTCCCAAACAGGGCAGGGTACCTTTTCCCAAAATGGTGAGGAAAAGGCCTGAATATTTACAATTCTACTTTAAAGTAGTATTTAAGATGCTAAATTTTCCAAACTGTGCAAGGTACTTTTTCCCAGAATGATGTATCTGTAGTCAAATACTAAATCATAATGAATTTTTGTTATTTACAGAGGAGGCTCGTATAAAGGCAGAAGAAGAAGAAAAACTAAGGAAGGAAAGAGAAAAACTTGAAGGTTTAGAGAAGAGAAAACTAGAAAATGCTGTAAGATATAATTAATCGTAACATAATTATTAAGATTATAAAAGTTCTTTTTTGTATTCCTAAAGTACTGAATTAAGACTTTCTTGTTTTAATGTACAGTGTAGTTAATCAACAGGATTTGACATTTACCATGCTTTATATCTTAAATGGACTCTTTTTCTTTGGAAGAAATTCAAAGCTATTTTTACAGTCATGTTGTTTGCTGCCATTGCTGTTTGAACACTACATGTAGCCATTACTTTTTTATTTTCTAATGGATTGTCTTCATACTAATGGACACACTGTAACACCCTTTGGATAAGACCTTCATGTAGACCAGACTGAACTTGACCTTGACTCCTAAATGACTTTCACCTTCAAAATCAAATGTTTTAATTTTGCTTAATTTGAATTATAGCAAAAGCAACATGTTGAATGATTCTCGTATGACTTTGACCTTTAATTGACCTTTATTATGAAGATTAGATTATTCAAATTTGCTTATATTGTCATAATTTGTTATTTATTTATAATTTTGATACATTCGTATTTCCTGTAAAAATGAACATTTATTTATAATTTTGATACATTCGTATTTCCTGTAAAAATGAACACTTAAATGTCAATACTGACATGACAAGTAATTCATATTTAACCTTGACCTTTGGATGACCTTGACTGTCAAGGTCAAATGTGAAATTTGAGTTATATTTTGTACTAGAAAATAATGTTTTGCAGAAGTATTCATTACTACAATCTTCTATAATCACTGTTTGACTATAGAAGTAAGAAAAAGTTGTATGTGGTGCCCCCACTAGGCAGTGACTGTTGTTTTATCTGAAGGCAACAAAATGCAAAAATTTTGATGAATTATTCAAGCCTGATTATTTATGTGTATATACAGGAGAAAGAGAACCGTAGACAGGAGATGTTGGAGCTACAGGAGTTACAGGAGGCAAACAAAACAAAGCTGGAAAATCTTCATAGTGAGAGGAGGAAAAAAGCAAAGGTACAAATACTTTAATGCGACACTTCTGCATGATATTTATTATTCATAATAGTTTTATATCTTAGGGCACTTCTCACAGGTTACTAATATTAGGAAAAAATGTGTCAGGGTTTGAACCCACGAGGCCAGCAATACTTAGATTACTAAGTGTTAACCACTTGGCCACAGTATAGAGGGTTAATAAAGTCATAGAATATACAATATTCCCTTACTCATATCCTTGTAAATATATACAAATACAGATTGTTTAATTATGATATTATAACTTCAAACATTTCACATGTTCATGATTTTATTATATAACAGTGGGCACGATATATGAGATGTGATGGGTCACCGAATCCGATCATTCCAGGGGAGATAAATACATACATTAACCTACGTCTAGAGGATCAGTTACATGACGATATTGACTCAGTCCTTAAACAGGGAGACTTAGATCTAAGTGTGAGTACAACCATTATATATTTGTTATTACAACTAAATGATTTACACAATTTTGCTTGTTGGATTTTGTCTTGAGTACTAACATGTTTATTATTTGGTGATAAAGCTATATTTTATTTCTTGAAGCAGGAAATCATTTGATGAAAAGAAAAATTATTTTTCATGAATATTGAATAACGAATATATTTTACTTAAACAAGTCTGCCATTTAAATAAGCTTGTGGGTTTGAGTTTAATTGGGTTGTGTTAAGTCAACCAGTAAATGGACTTAAGTGTTGTTACAATTAAAGAACAATCTACAATAAATATATTTTAGCCAATCTAGATCATTAAAAAAATACAACACTATAACATCATATGAATTTAAGCATTGTTGTGACTAGTCCTAATACAAAACCTTTACAATACAACATAGAATTATTTTGGCATTAAAATTAAAAAGCTTGAAAACCAATGCGGCTAGAGTGTTTGTGTAAATAAATGTATTATAAGTATTATATTCAGCATTATTTGTAAAGCAAGAAAACAGTGACAGAAATCTGAAGGATTTTTAAAACATTGGCGTATTTGTGTTTAAACATTACCATACAAATTTTTGCTTCCTTTATTGCTTTTCATTCCATTTGATTTATAAAATAAATTTTTATTTACAGTTAATCAATGAGCTAGACTTTATACTCGAAGACACGCCAGAAGCTGAGATGACTGGAGAAGAAATCAGCAGATATAGAATTGTAAGCCTGTATTTTAAATTTTAGAGAAATATTCATAAAAGTGTTTATTGTTCCCCTTCTTTTATTAAATTGAATTTCTTAATGCCATCCTTTAATAATTGTTTATTCGCAATTGTGCAATTAAGACTTACTCTGATATACTATAGGCTAGGTGGGTAGACACATTTTTTTTCATATCTATATAAATTGTACTGAATAAGATATTGTCAAAATTGTGTAAAATGATTTGGGTTAGAGGATTTTCTGAATGAGTAAATAATTTTTTGCCAAAGACTGCAAACAAAGGATTCATTGAGGATGGCTGGACATGCTTGATATATTTTATTTTTCATTTTTGAGATGAGTGATATACCTCATATAAAGAACAGTAATTGAAAAGGTTTTATAGTGTATAAAGCTATATATTTACCTTCTGTAACATTATTATTCATATTGTGATTACCAGGAATGAAAGAAATTTGTCAGTATATGAGCCGTGCCATGACAAAACCAACGTAATGGGTTTGCATCTGTGCAGTCTGATCAGGATCCATGCTGTTTGCTTACAAACCCTATAACAAGTAGATAAACTGATAGTGAACAGCATGGATCCTGTTCAGACTGCGCTGATGTGCTGGCTGGTCCGAATCCATTCTGGTCGCAAACCCATTATGTTGGTTTTATCGTGACGCGGCTCATTTGTTACTGAAAATGAGTGAGACATGTATGGAATCTCAGCCAAATCTGTTACAGTTAGCAAAAGACAATTTTGGTTTGGAATATTTTTTTCTGTAAATGTACATTTGTATTCTTGCAGAGTTGCCTCCCTTCCATTAGATTAAAAATTTTATAGTCTCTTGTAATTCTGATAAGAATGGCCGTACATAAATAACTTTTACTTTGTAAAATTATGTCATTGAATTGTTTTATATTATGTATGGATGAGACTCAAATAAAGAATATATATATATATATATATATATATATATATATATATACATGTATTCAGGTATATTTAATAATGCAGGCAATTTGTGTTACAAATCTTTCAAGAATCAATCATAATGTTATGAAAATAATTTTACTGTTTTTAAATTTTTATAAAAATTTTCATCAGATATTTACTTTTATACACTTTAATGCTTCATGAAATTCTTTCTTAATGGCACATTATGCCTCAGAAATTAATAAACTTTTACTTCTTAAGAAAGTGAAAAAATGAATTTAATAATGTTTAAATAATGGCTTTAAAGAATGTTAGATGCTTGTTACCTGAAGAAAGATGATAACAATAAATGTGAAATAATTTGTTATAAAAGTAGCAAAATGTAAACAAAAAAGTAGTATTTTGACTCCCATACACAAAACTTATTCACTATAACTGTACTTATTGCCAAAAACAAACATTTTAAAAAGATTGTTCAGGTAATTGGTAAATAAAAAACTTTTTGGATACAATAAAAGTACACCTAAAATTAAAGATCTTTTGAGAAATAAAAATGATTGCATTTCTGAGGCATAATGGGCCTTTAATGATCAGCTGTATTCTATTATTTTTGTTTATTATTATCAAATATTTTATACTAATTTTGAATAGTCAGGATTGTAGCCTTAAAAACCTTCTTTGTACATAATGTGATATCATATACCGGTAATAGTTTTGAATTTAATGTGATACTGTATAATACAGAAAGGGAAAGCAAAAAAGAAATTGATGCAGGAAGCAAAGAATGTAAGATTTTGGTTTGGAGTTTGTTTTCAGCTTTTTTTGTAACTCAGCTGTTGAAAGTATTTTTTATAATAATGGACCATTAGGCTATTTTATGTCAAAAATTTCATCAATTGATAAATGAAAATTAAATTAATTAAACAGATTAACTGCTTTAGGTTTTAAGAAAATTCAAGTTATATTTGGATTATAGACTAAAGTTTATATTTTATTTGATGATTTAGAATATGTTTTACTTAGAAATAAATAAGTCAATAAGACCAAATTTATAACCCTCTCTTATGTAAGATGGCATTTAAAAAATAATTAAGTAATTTTTTGCCAGTAATTATTTTATTGTATATCAAGATTTCATCACAACTTTGAAATTGTGTGATTACATTTTTAAATTCATTGAGTTAGAGCAGTGGTTGCATTGAAAACGTTGTTAATGTGATTTTAACATTTTTATCGTAAACTAGAGAGAAAGAAGGAAAAAGATGCAACATGCAAAGAGTGTAAGAAGAATGAAGAATGAATTGAAAGCTTATATTATAATATGATGTGATGCTGATTAAGGCTTTTAAAATGTGTATGGTTTGCTCTTGGATAATAATTTAGTGGGGGCAGAAGGGGGAGGGGGGAGATTTTGACATGGGCGGAAATGATTGTCTTGCTTAAAATAGGATAAATAAATGTGTTCTCTGATTTTATGGTACTCGTCGTGTAATTTCCACACATTTCCAGAATTTCTTTTTTTATCTTTTTTTTTTTTCATAAATCTCATGTGACATGCCATCAGAAAATAAATATTTTTATTTATTTGTAATAAGTTTTTCGTTTGAAACAGAATGTCATGTTTATGGGGGTGGGGGTGTCAGTAAAGAAAGTAAAAATGTCATTTCTTTGTTGTTTTTTTTTTTTGCCTTTTTTTAATCAAAACTGTAATTTCCTGCATATTGGAAAAAAATCTTGGTCAGATATGCAAGTTAGCGTGTAGGAATTTCAGTTGAAGTTGAGAGCAAATCATTACACACATGTTTTTAGCATATAGTAGATGTTTTATGTGTGCTCTGTTGATAAAATGTACTAAAATTTGTAGATGTTCTATCTGATATTTAAGAAACTTTGGTACAATTTAATTTCTTTGTCAACATTAACCTGCGGGCGGTGACTGATTCTTCCCATGTAGCCATTGGCAACCAGTGCAGGAAATCAGTAAAGTCTGATTATGGGACTTTAACAAGTATAGGGAGGGCATTGTCAGTTATACAGCATTGAGGATTTATGCACCAGTCTCTTCTATTAAGGATGATTTGACCTTGACCCTCCATGTACCTTTTCCACAGAAGATCTTAAAAATCTTTTTTTTTATAGACATGAATAATTGTCAGCATTATATATAGAAGCTATTGATACAGATAGAATGTCTTATACATGTAGTGATCAGTTTTTATTTCAGGTGTTAAAATACAATTACACTATCAGAATAATTTGAAATTCATTCACATATGATATATTAGGCATCTTTATTTACATCTGTGTAAAAGTTTATTTTACTACTTTTTTTCTAATTTAAATCAGTACTTAATGTATACTTTGCTTTAATTTCACTTTTCTATAATTTATTTGTGTCTAATTAAAAAGGGAAGAAAATTAGTAATTAAGAAAGTTCCGGCTAATGGCACATTCCTTTTTGTCTTGTAACATGAAAGGAAAATGAATTGTCCAACATCTTCTTATTTAATTCCATATCTAAAAAGGGAGTAAGTTATTTATTGTGTTATTAGTTATATTTTCTATTTTTGTGCATACATAGACACGTGAGGATCTACAGGTACTTGTGCAAACCAAGCTGGATGCAGCGACGGTCAAGCTGTTACAACAGGCCACGGACCTCTGTGATACAGAAACATTCAATCTGCATTATACAAAAAGGAATCAAGCCATATGTCTCTGCATATGGGGAAATCTTAGTAAAAATCCTAGGTACATTTTTTTTTTGTTTATATTATTATAATGCAAATTTTTAGTTCTTCAACTTTATTCATTTTAGTTTTAAACATTTTGTCCTTTCTAAGAGTTCATATTTCACGTTAACTTGACTAAGGTGAAAGATAAATATGAGTTATTGCCCTTTAAAAAATTTTTTGTAAAAATTTGCTATCTTGCTAATGAAAGTTACAGCACAAACTTATAGCTCTTACAAGTGCCCCCTTTTGAAAAATTGCATGCCTGTCATCATGGACATTAATTTGAAACAGTACAGTAGTAAATTTTGTTTTTTATATTTCAGAATAAAGTCGTTTGAGTTTACGGAGGATGGATTCCAGTTTGATATCCCTCGTATTTTAACACTGTCTGACTGTGGAATCAGAATCCTCTTCACAAAATATGATCATTACTCAAGTACTTGCAAGTCCTACTACCCACGTAGGAAAAAGAAGGAAGGTATGTTGGGGTGTTTTATATGTGAGCGGCGCCATGACAAAACCAACGTAATGTGTTTGCGACCAGCATGGATCCAGACCAGCCTGTGCATCTGCGCAGTCTGATCAGGATCCCTGCTGTTCGCTTACAGACACTATAACAAGTAGAGAAATTGATAGCGAAAAGCATGGATCCTGATCAGACTGTGCAGACGCGCAGGCTGGTGTGGATCCACGCTGGTCTCAAACACATTATGTTGGATTTGTCGTGACACGGCTCATGTTTACTTTTTTTTTATTACCAAATTACTACCAAAAATAGCTGGAAAATGACCTGCTTTTACTGTTACTTTTAAAATTTCTTAAATGCAAGCAGTTTCTCAAGGTAGGGATTTCTGTCTCTAAAACAGAGGTAATTAGTTTTGATCATATTATTGAATTGACTCAAAACATATTAGTTCATTTGAAAATGTTTGATATAAGCTATTAAATTTGAAAAGTAACAGTTTCACTAAAAAAGAATTTTGCTGAAATGTCTAAAAATAGATTTACTATTTGTTAACTGGTACCCTGTTTTTTCAGAGCCAGTTGTAGTTGAGGAGGCACCAAAAGAGGAAGAAGAAAAGAAAGATGAGGAGGCAGAGAAAGAGAAGGAAGGAGAGGAAGGGGAAGAGGGGGATAACAAGGAAGATACTGAGGTAAAACAATGTGTACATAAATGACTTATTGAATCCTGTACAATGCAATAACAAGCAATATTGCACAGTTTGTGTCATATTTCTTGAAGATGGGGCTGTAAAAAAAACTTGTAGATAAATGGCTTATTGCATACTCTACCATGCAATAACAAGCAATATTGCACAGTTTGTGTCATATTTCTTGAAGATGGGGCTGTAAAAAACCTTGTAGATAAATGACTAATTGCATTCTCTACCATGCAATAACAAGCAATATTGCACAGTTTGTGTCATATTTCTTGATTATGGGCTGTAAAAAAAACTTGTAGATAAATGACTTAATGCATCCTCTTCTATGCAATAACAAGCAATATCTCACAGTTTGTGTTACTATTGCAGTTAAACAATTTGTAGGTAACTGTCTACTGATAGGGCTGAAAGGGCAGTAAAAATACTTGTAGATATGACTTATTGCATTCTCTACCATGCAGTGACTTGCAATAATGCACAGTTTGCAGATAACTGTCTAATTGAATCTTCTATAATGCAATAACAAGCAATATTGCACTGTTTGTGTCTTCTTTCTTGAAAGGAGGTAAAAACAACTTATAGAGAAATGACTAATTTAATCCTCTACTGTGCAATAATTTTTTTCTACTGGCCAATTTAAAATTGTCTCCTACTAGTTTATCAATATTAAAAGCATGCTAGCTCAGTTTTCCTTTTCTTTCCCCTACCATTAATATTGTAGGAACAACAACAATAGGTTTGATCCCTTACAAAGCTTGAAATATAGATTTTATAGGTTTATTTGTAGATAGTTTCCCATATTTAATCTTCCTTCAGAGTGCAATAAATCTAAATATTATGTTGAAATGTACAACAAAAGATACAAACTTTGATATTAATCTGTACAGCAGGATTTATAGGTGTTCAAGAAACCCCTGTTGTTAAAAATTTTAAAAAATGGTCAAACTATTGAAAAATCTCATTAAAATCAGATCATCGTTTACGCTCCTTCAATCTTCGCTACCTAGCGAAGGGTAGTGGAGCAACTGTTAGGATATGATTTCAATGAGATTGACAATTGAATGTGTTATTTCAGTAATTCTGTAAATATATTGTTTTTAATGTCTGCATGTATTTTTTTATTTTTCAAAAAAATCAGGAAGAGGTATTGTTGAAACATTTGAGAGTTATATAGGAGTGAGAAATTTCTATGAAAGTACTATAGGTGTAAAAATTCTCTTCTCACAATTTAGATATATGAGCCACGTCATGACAAAACCAACATAATGGGTTTGCGACCAGCATGGATCCAGACCAGCCTGCGCATCCCCGCAGTCTGATCAGGATCCATGCTGTTCGCTTACAAACCCTATTACAAGTAGAGAAACTGATAGCGAACAGCTTAGATCCTGATCAGACTGGGTGGATGTGCTGGCAGGTCTGGATCCATGCTTGTCGCAAACCCACTATGTTGGTTTTGTCATGACGTGGCTCAAATATTCTGTATGAACTTCACAAGTGATATTTTCCTGCTTGTCTTTCTCCTGGCTGGTCTGTGTGTACGCGCTTGTCAAATGTAACTATGCCCGCCGAACCTTACCCCATGTCTATCTGGGGAATAATAGGGACTTTTACTTTTGTATATTAAAATTCTCTTGGTAATGGTCTGTTAAGAGCCATTTTGACACTAAAGCAAAAACCACTGCTTAAACCTGGTAGTGTATGGACAGTATAAATTCATAAAAGCAGTTGGTCCCAACCACCCCCAAGGTGGGGAGTTGTGGGGGGGGCATGGTTACTATTGACTTGTACATTATTGTGTTACTTCTCTTGTATGGCTTTAGCCAAATAAAATAACTGGTATCAGAAGACTGGGAATGTTATCAACCCTTCTTACTTATATATATATAGATAATTCATTATAAAGTTTCTCAGATGCATATGACATTTAAGATGAAAATTGCTTGCAATAAAGCCATTTGTAATTAAAGATATAAGTAAAAATAAAAAAATTTAAGCATAAGACTATTTCTGATAATTTTCTTCTCCTGTTAAAAATTATTTTCAACTTATTCAACTGCAAAAACTAAATCAGTGTGTCTTGTATATTTGTGATAAGAAATGAAGTTGTTCATATATATACATATAAAATATTGTCTTAATGTGGCAATTTGTTTACAGTGCCAGATGTCACGGGGTCAGAATTTAGAATTTTCCATTTATGTATGTTACTTTAAAGTTCACACTCTGTCACCTGTTGTTATTCACTTGAAAAAATCGGTAGACAAGTTAAAATTTACTTATTCAAGGACATTCTTATTTCATCTTACCTAAATATAGGTCTAATAAGATAAAATGGCAGATATTTCATATTTTGTACAAATCTGAAGCGATAATGTGAAAGTTTTTTAATTTTATCATACGGTTACTATATTGTTGATTTTATATCATTTGCTTAATTCACCACTATAAGTTTGAGACCTTTAAATGAACCCTAAGCCTGCTGGTAGCAACTTTTCTACCCATGTTACCAGTGCAGACCACATGATTGTTCTATCTGATCATGGTCTGCACTGTTTGCTATTCAAGCAGAGCATATTTTTAAAATTAATCCTAAAATGATTAATGTTTTCATCCCGGTTACATATGACTGACCTTGACAGTGTTTGAATAACTTGCTTAGTCCTTAAATTACTGGACAATTGTAATATTATAGTTATAAATAGTTTGGGGGAAAAAAGACCCCCCCCCCCCCACCAAAATAGAACAACAACAAAAACAACAACAAATTACAGATTATGAGATAGACACATTATTTATCTGGAAAAAAATAAAGCTTCCTAACTATTTATTCTAATAGTTATACTATTATTTTAGTAATGGTAAATATAGAATCATGTTTTTCTTTTTCACCGGGCTTTTGAAAGGTAAAAGGTTATGATCAATAATAAATTTTTGGTGCACTTTGTCTCTAGATTTGAGTTATATTCTTTCATGTAGATATTGTTATACTGTGTGATAGGTTTTGATGTTTCTTCATGTATTTTATTGCAGGAAGACAAAGGGGTACGGTATTTGAAATGCTAGTTTTAGTTTGAATATTTTTGTTCCATGTTATAATTCTACATATTGCATTGTTTGGTATGCTATAACTTGCCATATTACACTGTATGTATGAATGATACACACTTTACCTATCCAGATATTTGTTTAACCTCTTCATGTTTTGTGTAAATGGACTTGTCAAGCTATAAATTTTGGAAAAGTCCATTGTAAATTATAGGGATTTCATGGCTAAACCTGGTCATAAAAATCAGCCAGCATATATCATGGTGCCTATCATACCATGTGACTTTTTATGATCTGCGTAGGTCAGAAAACCAATACAAAAGGTGGTTCTTTCATAACTTTTTAAATATTTCAATGTTTTTCATGTGAGAAAGTGGAGAGGCTCATTCAGCTCTTTATACTGATTAATAAATACATTCAAATATCTCTATGAAACAATAAGTAATTTTGTATTTGTAAAGTGAAGCAGCATGTTAGAACAACCAGAAATCAGCGCAGTTTTACTTTAAACAGATACTTATGAAACAAATACTGTTTTTGTTTTTTTTTAAACAAGAAACAGTCTATGTATGGGCTACTTAGCAAAATGAGCAGTCTTTACTTTTTATTCAATGTTAAATAAATTAATATTATAAATTTTAGTTACAGAAATATAATCTACTTGGACCATTACAACTTGCCCCTCACCGCTTTCCAGCTAGCTTATGGAACATCGGTGGTTCTACTCAGGTGCCCGTTCATGCCTGAAATAATGCACAGAAGGGCACCTGAGGTCTTCCTCCACCAGTAAAGCTGGAACATCACCATATGACCTAGATTGTGTCGGAGTGATGTAAAACCCAATCAATCAAACAAACAAATTTGGACCAGATTAATATTGGTTTTCTGCCCCATGCAGATCACAAAATGTCCCAGGATATTCTCAACTGAGTATAATGTTCTGGCTGTTTTAGGGGTACAATACTTGTGGTGTGAACCTGTAATCACAACCTGAAAATTGTGTAATTTGTGTTATAACAGTGTGTTTGATGAAGTTCATTTAATATTTGTTGAATTTGACAAAATTTTTACCAATTTGATTCATTTCACGTAAATGTTGCTGATTTTAACCAGAAAAAAAGATGGTGGGAGAAGTGAAATTTAACCCATGTGCTTAAAGAAGAACTGTAATGATTTTGGGTTGTCCATTGACCCTAATTGATTGTTTTGTAGAGATCCCAATTTTAATAAGACCTTCGTCAGAATGTTTCTCTAAATAAAATTAGTGGTTACTTTCTTTAAAACACTTGGTCACTGTAGATCAAATGATAGGAAAACATTGCTTACACTATATAATATAGCATGAGTTTTAAAGTAGTCACAGACTTCATTCAGGTGGGCAATAAAAGTACTTTATGACCATCTTGTTAAATTTGACTTTTACAAAATTTAATTACAGTTTATTACAAGAAATCGGAAGGAAAATTTGTCTTAATAGCCTAGACAACTCTGTTTCTGCTTTCTTGTAATAAAAAAATGACAAAACTTTTGATTTAACGTAAATATTCTACATATGGCCCTTAAAATTTCTGCAAGGATCTTAAAATTTCAGCATGTTACATGAAATTTTAACAAAGACCTTGAGATTTTGGCATGGACACTGAAAGTTTGAATGGCCCTTTATATTTTTCTGTATATAATTTTGCTGAGTAACAAAAAGAAATCATTATCAACAGAGGCATGTTTCCCTTTATCAACATTACACAGTTTATTTATTTACATTATATCCACTGCATGAAGAAAATGCATGTTCATATATGTTATATATATTGATAAATATAATGCTATGATACCAGACATTTTGTCAGTCTTAATGCAGTAATGCGTTAATTCCTAATGTAATTTAATGGGAGTTAACCCATTACTGCACTAAGGTGACAATTTGTTATCATTCAAGTATTCATTCATTATGGATGTCAAAATTGAAAATTTAAATACATTTATATGTATATATTTTTTGTATTTATGCTTGTATTTTACTGTATGTAGATTGATAAAGGAAATTTTTCTTTCTTTTCTTTATAAGAGATTGCTTTGAATTCAGGTAGTTTTTACATCATTAGATAAGTTAGTTTTCAAATACATGTAATTTAGAATTAAGAGAATTGTGAAAGTATGCATCAATCAATTGTAACCTAATGAATGACACATCCACACAACATGGGGACAGGTTCTTGAGGATAGGGGGAAGTCAATAAGCCAAGTTTTAACCCTCTGTCTGAACTGGTTTTGCCGGGTCAATATATAGTTTTGTTTTGGTGCCAAAATAATCAGGGTTGGGGGGTAATATATGTCCAACTTGCAGCGTGAGGGCATTAAGAAAGGATTACCATGATAAATCGCCTGAGCTGGTCAGAGTCCCGACACTGAGGACTTGATAATTGAAAAGTCAAAGTCCCCATTAATCTCCTGTCTTGAAGGAATCGTGTGTTGGGGAAGGGTGGGGTGGGGGGATGTTGGGAGTGGTAAATCATGGGGGGTAGTCAGAAATAGTCAATTGATTGGTGCATTGAAGGTATAAGTATTAGATAAAGAAATGAGAAATGTTAGAAATGCTTTTCAGACATGATTTAAGATTATGTTTCCATTAAAGGTGCATAAAGATTGATAATAAAGTATTCTTTTAATTGAATACATGTAATAGAAATTTGGAAGATTTCAAAGTATGCATTTTTTTCATTGGTCAATTAACAAATCTCGGCTTTTTATTATGCCCCCGCCATGTAATGGCCGGGGCATTTAGTGTTACCCTGTTCCGTCCTTCCGTCATTTTGTCATTCCGTCATCATCAGTTTCCGTTCATTATCTTAGTAACGGTTGCACACATTCAACTCAAATTTGACATATGGATATGTCATGAGAAAATACAGGTCAAGTTCGAATTTGTCATGGTTCGATGATTTTTGGCAGAGTTATGCCCCTTTTACTTAAAAATAATATGAAATTTTCAGTTTCCGTTCATTATATCCCCAATGGTACAACACATTCAACTCAAACTTGACATATGGATATGTCATGAGAAAATACAGGTCAAGTTCGAATTTGGTCATGGTTCGATGATTTTTGGCAGAGTTATGCCCCTTTTACTTTGAAAATAATATGAAATTTTCAGTTTCCGTTCATTGTGTCCCCAACGGTACTACACATTCAACTCAAATTTGACATATGGATATGTCGTGAGAAAATACAGGTCAAGTTCGAATTTGGTCATGGTTCAATGATTTTTGGCAGAGTTATGCCCCTTTCACTTTGAAAATAATATGAAATTTTCAGTTTCCGATCATTATCTCCCCAATGGTACAACACATTCAACTCAAACTTGACATATGGATACGTCACAGGAATGCGCAGGTCAAGTTCAAAGTTGGTCATGGTTCAATGATTTTTGGCAGAGTTATGCCCCTTTCACTTTGAAAAAAATATGAAATTTTCAGTTCTGTTTATTATCTCCCCAACGGTACAACACATTCAACTCAAATTTGACATATCGATATGTTTTTGGAATGGGCAGGTCAAGTTTGAATTTGGTCATGGTTTGATGATTTTATGACAGAGTTATGTCCCTTTCACTTTGAAAATAATATAGATACATCTTAGGAATAAGCAGTTTAAGTTTGAATTTGGTCGTGGTTGAATGATTTGGGACAAACTTATCTTTCTTGAATGTTGGAAAAATTTTGAACTTTCAGTTTCAGCACTGAAATGTATGTAGCCATTATTTTGGCTACAAATATGAAATATGCTATTTTCAAAAGGTTTAGACTGAATAATTTCAGTGCCTTGAACATTGTATGAAAATGGTTTGTGTTAACATTGAAAAGTTTTAAGGGCTTTGAACTTAAAATGAAAAAAATAATTTGTGCAAACAAATTTGGAACTAAATATTATAACATCTGAAATTTTGGCTGCATGCGGGGGCATCCGTGGCATGATGACACATTTCTAGTTGAAGCATAATTAATATACTAGCATTTTTACAAACCAATAAAATACAAAATGTGATTCCATAAAAAAAATTAAAAACCATTTTAATTTAAAGAGCTTTTTTTAAAAGCCATTTTCATTGAAAGTTATATTTTAGGGTACCATCATGTATAATGCACATTATAAAACAGAGAGTAATGGAAGTGAATCTTTCTCTACATGCAGGATTTGATGGCGATGTTACGTCAGATGAAAGGCGAGGCCCCGCCCGAGGAGGAGGTTAAGGAAGAAGAGGAAGAAAAAGTAGAAGAAGTGGAAGAATTCGAAGACCCAATTACACCTGGTATGGAACTATTTTCTCTCTAAATTTTTGTATTTAGCGCATTATATAATTTTTATAATTGGAGATTTATCTTTAAAATGAAATATAGCTTGGCGGTGTAGTTGAATGCGTGGGCATAAATCACATTCCATGGTCATAAGAAAGGTTATTTCAGGAGTATAGTATAAAGTTTTTGTTTGTTTGTTTTTTTTAATACATACACGCAAATGTATTTCTATTTATGCACAATTCACATTCTGATATATGTGCAGAATTTTTAACTTTGGATGAAAAAATTCCGATTTTAAGACCTAATGCTTAAGATTTTATTTTTATATAATAATGGTTTAAAATGGTAGTGTGACGGCCGAGTGGTTAACACGTTAAGACAAGTAATATAAGGATTGCTGGCTGTGTGGGTTCAAACCCCGTCTGAGGGGCAAGTCGTTGTTTTCGTGAGCAAGAAACTTTACACTCATTGCTATTAGTACTGGTTGGTTCCAGGAATGGAATCGAGAGTGTTTCATTAAACACAATCAAACTTCCAACACAACCAAACTAAAATAATTTAAAATTACCATAAACTAAATGATACATGTAATAATTTACGATAGTTCTTCTTTTATGACAAAGGTCACATTTTTATAGACAATGATTTTTAAAATATCAATTAATATTTCAATTTAGTAAACAGGTAAAATTTTATATTAATGTAATTAAATGTAATTTGGACAAATTTTAGCATTTTCTATACAGCAGCAGACCAGCTATAGGGTTTGTAAATTCAAGTTTTACATCTAAATATGAGCTATTATTATGGAATAGCCACAGAACTGATATGCAGCGTAAATGAGCTACTGTAAATTGTAGTATGAACATTTTTCTATTATTAAAGCGTGGCATGACTGGAGTAGGGGTAAGACAGGATATTAGGGCAAACCTTACAGCTACCTACAAAAATAACTAACATTTGAGCCGTGTCACGACAAAACCAACATAATGGGTTTGCGACCAGCATGGATTCAGACCAGCCTGCGCATCTGCGCAGTCTGATCAGGATCCATGCTGTTCGCTTACAAACACTATTACAGGTAGAGAAATTGATAGCGAACAGCATGGATCCTGATCAGACTGCGCGGATGCGCAGGCTGGTCCGGATCCATGCTGGTCCCAAACGCACTAGGTTGGTTTTGTCATGACGCCGCTCATTTTATCTTATGCTACAATGTAACTTGTGAAATATAGGATTCAGTATCAGTGAGATATTATCTATATCACCCACTGTATATTATTCATTATTTCTATAATCTTTTTGGCATAAAATAATTTATAGTATACCGCAGTATATAATTGTTCCTGAAACTGGTTTAAATGTTAATTCAGAGTAAGATTTTTTTTAATTTTTTTTTAATTTCACAGTCAATTTATGTAGTTGTTAAATGTGAAAGTGGTTAAATTATATATAATATATAGAAAATTTCATCTAAATGAGATATATTCCATATTTTCCCCCAAAACAAGTAGACATTCTAAATTTAATTAATTTATTCTGTACAGGTGAATTGTAGACATTCTTCCATTTTTTGTAGAATCCCATTCACATTAATGTAGTAAAATATTGATAAGAGTTATTCTGACAAAGTAATCTGGCTGCGTTGCATAATGTGGAGAGCATTGGATAAGTTATCCAAAGGGGTTTGCTGGTCCGATCCTCATGTGTGTAGATCTAATATCTTAATGATAATTGATTTTGGACATTGAGTCAAATATAGGCGCTTCAGTGTCTCTCATCGCTGATTCAGAAATCATTTGCCATTAATACTTGGATCACCTGTGGAGAAACTGGATTATACTGGTTAGTTATCCAGGAAAACCTTTAGATCGGTTAGTAGACTGGATCACTTGTGTAGAAATTGGTAATTACTGGTTAGTTATCCAGGAAAACCAGTTAGATGGACAGACAGCAAAAAAAATATATGACCAAAAATATGTAAAATCTGTGCAAATCTAGAAAAAAGAAGAAAGGAAATGAAGTTCAAAGCAAACTCGGGGCCATGTGTCTATGGTATGATGTCTGAAACGATCGATACATCCATTAGTTTTCTTAGTATTAATTACTGAAATTGTGACATTATGTTATGCATATATCCAACAATGATTCAAGAAAGGAAATCATTATTTATTACTTTATGTCAATATTTATCATTGTATATCCCCCATTAAAAGTAGTTGTTTATAATTTCAATAATTAAAACATGGTTGTGGTATAATGGTAAATGGAATCCATCCCTGAAAACTGCACTTTCAAAAAGAGTTTTGCACATTTATCATTTTCCTTATTGTTCCATAGGTGCTGTATGATTTTTTTTTTCAGTCAGATTGAATACATTTTGGAATAAGTTTAAAACCAGTCTAAAATTTCTAGCATTTGATTGGTTGTCAGAGCCCAAAGTTTTTTAATTGGCCAGTCATGGAGCTCTATTTTTGGACTGGTTTAATATCATTGAAACTTAAAACAATTACAAACTGTCAACTTATGAGTCTGTTGACACAAGTAGTTTGAACAATTTAACAGATGAATACTTTACAATATTGAGGTTAAATATATAAGAGCGGTGTCAGGACAAAACCAACATAATGGGTTTGCGACCACCGTGGATCCAGACCAGCCTGCGCATCCGCGCAGTCTGATCAGGATCCATGCTGTTCGCTTACAAACCCTATAATAAGTAGAGAAACTGATAGCGAACAGCATGGAACCTGATCAGACTGCGCGGATGCGCAGGCTGGTCTGGATCCACGCTGGTCGCAAACCCATTATGTTGGTTTTGTCTTGACATGGCTCATTAGATTTAGAATCTAATGGCCTAGTGGTAAAGGTGTCCGCCTCCTAATCTAGGCATCATGGGTTTGAGACCTACTGAGTCACCACCATGTTTCAGTGGTTAGTTCAAGTAAGCAGACTTGAGGATAGTTCAAATAAACTTAAAGCATTCTCTTAGAAATCATAGTATTTTTTATTTTCATTGAGTATTCATAGAGCATTAACAAAATATGGATATAATTGCTTACGAGTTGTTTTTTTGCCTTATGTTGTAACATGTATATACATTTTGTATTATGATGTTGATACAGTTACAATTATTGCAGTCTTTGCTTGTATTATATGTCTGATATTACACTTCATACTTCATTAGTACACATATGTACCTAAATATACTGCATATTGCACTATTTTAAACTTTATATATTATTGTGTATTATAAATAAAGTTGACAAAATATCTTTTTCGATTAACCCCTTAACTGTGTTGGAACTGAAAGTGACTGGCAAAACTGAGTTTGAGATGATAAATTGAAAGTTCTATTCATTCATTCAAACTGTTGATTGGTCACAAACAAATTATGGCAGTGTTTAACTGTAAACCCATTAGTACCAGGCCTTCTTAGCAGGTGTTCTCGGCCGAGTAATTATAAATGTTGCAAACTTGCAATAACTTCACCTTGCCACAGTGGGTTAGAACCATTCTAATTTATTTCCATCTGATTGTGAATTTATATTTAGAAACAGATAAACTTGTTTTGAACTACAATGTCTTAAGTTTTCATTGACTTGTTTTATAAAGGTACTTCAATAAATTTAACTGTTGGTCACTCACTGTAAAATCTTATATATATATATTATCTTCTTCTTTTTTTTTAAATTTCAGTTATCTTAAATAAAACTCTTTATAATTTTTACCCTTTGCAGAGCCCCCAGAGTGGGAGGATTTTGATGAAGATGAGGATGTGGTTGATTTAAGAGCCAATCATGTGCTAGGGGGCGTGTTCCATTTCAATCTGATGTCCCTCCCACCTCAACCAAAAACTGTAAACAACTGGACCATAACAAGAAGTAAGTTTTATATGATTATGTTCCCATGAACACTTGTTTGCAATAAGAAGGTGCTTATATATGTATTCTAAAAAAAACATTTGAGGGATTTAAACTCACAAACATTTAAAGTAACATTTTAGATTACGGAGTCAGAATATTAATTCCTTGAAGAATGTACCCGGTAGTTGAAAATGTTAGAATTGACACTAACTCCTTAAACTAAATACATATATAATCTTCAACAATTTGAGGATAACAAGATATCATTTTTTTTAGAGAAACTTCTTGTTGAAGGTAAAAATGAATGAAAATACTAGTTCATGTAGATAAGTACATGGTTTTACTTACATTGAGGCCAATATTGCGATGTCTGTGGGCTAAACAAAACAACACAGTTTGTTCTAACTAGTTTACTATACAGTATGAAAAAAATATTGCTTCAATATGTAATTTGTTTAACCCTTAACTGGTTGAAACCGGAAGTGAATTGCCAGCAGTATCGAGCCAGGCCAGCTCTATTGTTGGCTGACTACAAAATACTTAAACTGCAATGCTTTCCCGCCAAAAATAAAAATGTAACATCAGCCAATATCGTAGCAAATTGATTTTTTTCCGGAACATTTTTTTTTTTCAAAATCTTTGGCATTTGATTATTTCCATTCAATCAACCTTAATTGCTATGTTCCAAATTCTGGTTATAAATGGTAGAAAAAATATTAAATTCGGAAGATTGTGGAAAATAATGTACCGGAAATGACCGATTTGTTACGATATTGGCAGATTTAAGAATTTTTTTGGCGGGAAAGCATTGCAGTAAGACTACCTTAAATTTTCAACTTGAAATCCCTAAAACTGATAATGAGCAGTTCCAAAAATGGAAGCTGGACTAGTCCATTTAAGAAATTCAGCAGATTTAAGTTTGATCAATAATAAAATTTGTTTACAGTGGTTGACCCCCCTGCTATAGAATACATGGAGTATGTGGCAGACAACATGAATCCGGCCCTGAATAAAGATGCCCAGTCTCCTTCACAAGACAAAGATAAAGGTGGTGATACCAAGAGAGATGAGAGACCTACCATAGGAGTCACCATGAGGTACGATTTTCATATACTTGTAGACACCATGAGGTACGATTTTCATATACTTGTAGGCACCATGAGGTACGATTTTCATATACTTGTAGACACCATGAGGTACGATTTTCATATACTTGTAGACACCATGAGGTACGATTTTCATATACTTGTAGGCACCATGAGGTACGATTTTCATATACTTGTAGGCACCATGAGGTACGATTTTCATATACTTGTAGGCACCATGAGGTACGATTTTCATATACTAGTAGGCACCATGAGGTACGATTTTCATATACTTGTAGACACCATGAGGTACGATTTTCATATACTTGTAGGCACCATGAGGTACGATTTTCATATACTTGTAGGCACCATGAGGTACGATTTTCATATACTTGTAGGCACCATGAGGTGCGATTTTCATATACTTGTAGACACCATGAGGTGCGATTTTCATATACTTGTAGGCACCATGATTTACGATTTTCATATACTTGTAGGAACCATGAGTTACGATTTTCATATACTTGTAGACACCAAAATACAAAATTTTCTATTTAAAGAATAGGATGGGCTATTATACTCACCAAGTTGTCCGTGTCACACCATGAGGAACTTGTAGATTTTCATATACTTATCACAAGATTTTCTACTTGACTATTTGAAGAATAGGATGAGCTATTGTAAAGTGTCAGCATCACACTTTGTTTAAGTTTTTGTGTGCAAGTTGGTATCTCCAAAACTACTAAAGGGACTGGGTTGAAATTTCACATACTTATTTGGGAGCATAAATTGAGGTCACTGCTTACATATACATACAAGAATAGAGTAGAAGCTGAAAGCTTTGTTAGAAACTCTCCTTAGACAATAATTAGTCAATGAATAATTTTTGTTTTGCTTTTTAATGAAACCTGAAATGATATATTTTTAGATTACCTAAGGAATGCCTATTCACAGAAGAGCCACAGATTGCTCGCTGGGATGACAAGAAAAGACATTGGAGGCAGGATGGTTTCTCCGACTTTAACTTTGTTGAAGGTAAAATAAATAAAAATACTAGTTTATGTTGATGTACATGGTTTTACTTGCATGGAGCCTAATGGTTGTCTTATAAGGGAATAGTAGTGGTGTAATTTGTTTTCTTTCTTAGAGCTTTTCATGTTTACACCAAGTATTTAGCTTAAAGGCACATTATGCCTCAGATACCCATATATTTTTTTTTAATTCTTTAGAAATGTCAAACATGTGTTAAATAATGTTTTTCATAATAGATTAAGAGCATGTTAGATGTTTTTTCAACTGAAGAAAGTTGAGCTGAAGAGTCAGGATAGAACAGGTCATGATCAGATGGCATAGGTGACTAAGGGATTTAAAGCGGCACGCCTCCAGATTCATGCTAATTTCATGAAAATTTTGAAAATGTGTTTAAAAGTATTATTCAGTGAGATAACCAAAAGGAAGCATTTTACACGATATCAATGGCACTTACAACCCATGTAAATTACTTAAAAGAGGACAAAATATGCAAAAGAATCCCTTACTGCGTTAGTAATGCAGTAGAAATATAGTTATAAAGACTGAAAAATCGGTCATTAATCGCACATAACATGAAAAACATTACTAGAACTTTGAATCTTTACACTTTTCCTAAAATCTTAGTACATTTTTCTCAGGTTTGATTTTATTGAAATATTTTCGCTCATCTGGAGGCCTGCAGCTTTAAAGTGTGAAACACACATTTCTAGTTTGCTTCTATAGTATCATTTTTGAGATTTCAACACCAGGCCTGCGTTTCATGGAGAGTCCTAAGTTAATCCTAGGACTTATGACCAACTTTAGGAGAAAAAGTTTTTGCACTTAGGACCGTTTCAAGTAACTGTCCTATCTTTTGTCTTAAACTTAAGACTTATGACCAATTCGCTCTCCTGAAAAAAGTTACAAAATACAATGGCACGCGCATAATCCCGGATTGGATTTACTATGTAATTGATTATAGCAAGTATAAAAAGTAATGTATTGCCCTCTTATCATGTTGAGTGAAAATATATACCATATAACCGTTTTATTTAATTTCATTGTAAAAAAATGGTAACGAACCCCCTTGCTTGCTACGCAACTGCAATTGTACAGCGCGCAGTAATATTATTATAAAATTTATAGATGCGTCTTGTTTTGCACGCGATATTTGGCGCTACATTGTGACGTCATTTAAACAACTCTTTTAAACGTCTGTACAGCGTTAATGACTGAATTAAAGATATTGGTGTTCGGATTTATTTTCTTAGTTAGACCATTATCTATCATTCTAGATAGTTTTCAAAACAAAATTCAACAAAAAGTTGTTTGATTTTGGAGTGGTTTTGACTTAGGACAATCTTAAGATACCTTTAAAACACTCCTAGACTTAGGACTGTTTTTGGTCATAACTTTAGGAGTCATAAGTTAGGACCTTTTTTAAGACTTTCTTTGAAACGCAAAATTGTCACAATTTTTATCTTAAGACAAACTTAAGACTTAGGACTCTCCATGAAACGCAGCCCAGAATGCTATTTTATTTTTATAACTATATTATTATTGAAATTATTATTATTGCTTTCAGAGACAAGAATGTTCTCATTCAAGACGTCTTATTTTGGCACGATGGCATTGTTACAGGATGCTCATATAAATATGCCGTTTCAGTCGTGGGAAATTCGTCCACACAAAACAAATGCAGCTGTATTTACAATCATAGCTGCTATCATTGAGATAGAGATTGAAATCAAGGTATGTACATACGGTAGAAATTTGAAGGTTCGATATTGTGGAATTTCCCAATAATTTACAAGAACTTTTGAAAACCGTTTCAGCCCTTCTTTTTTTTTTTTAATATGGAAAATTGTTCTCAAGTCTGGATCCTTTCTGTTTTGGAAACTCAATAGAAATTTTAATTATATAAATATATATTAACTTTTTAGTATCTCCACTTTTATGTTTTATAAAATGATGCAATCACTTGAATGACATACCAGAATGTCTCTTTTTTTTTTCTTTTAATATAAAGGATTAAAAATACCACAAACTTTGACTTTCAAAGATTTGCTATCAAATAATAATAAAATTTGAGTGTATATTTTGTTTTAAAATGATTTATTGTGCACAAAAGTCGTAAAAGTGGGTAAAAATGCTTAATGTTGCTAAGATACAATTACTGAAAAGGGAGGTATAAAGTTTGACCCCCTTGTTGCTGATTGGTTGCCTTAACCTTTTCCCTTATATAAGCATGTTTCGACGGCTTTTTGCCCCCCCCCCCCCTTTTTGAGGCCTCAAAAAGTGAAAAAATGCCCTATTTAGGCCCTAAACACTGTTTTTCTTTTGAGAAATGTTGTTAAAAAAAGTGACCACTTTTTCGGCGCCATCCCCCATCTAAATATTACATCAGGGGGTTGCCAGAAGGGGGATGTGCCCCCTTCTGTTTGGGGGGTTTGAAGGGGGCGGACTCCCTCTCATCGCCAAGAAAATTTTGGACATGCGACAGGCTAAAATGGCCTCAGGTCAATCTTAGGGTAACTAGTATTACCGACGCTGAAAAGCCTTTCATTCTATCTCAATTCATTGAGAAGTTGCAGCACTTTGATATCAGTTTTGATGGAAAAAAAACAATGCAAAATAGTGATTTTTGGCAATTTTGAGACGTCCCCCGTTGCCATGGTAACAGGAAATTTACCATTGAGCATGCTGTTACAGAGGCTATGGTGTAGTCAACATTTGTGTCAAGTTTCAATAGTATTGAAGCATTTATCATAGTTTCATAGCAGTTTGAACTTGTTACAGGAGGCTTTTCAATGAAAACGGCCATTTTTAGCTCGACTATACGAAGTATATGGAGAGCTGTCCTACTCGCCCCGGCGTCGGCGTCCGCGTCCAGATTTTAGATTAAAGTTTTGGTGCAGTAAAATATTTTTCACTATAACTTTGTCATTTCTTAAGGTATCAACTTCAAACTTCAAATATATGTTCCTTATCATCAACCACATCTTATGTGACAAGGTTCATAACTCTAGCTCCAATATTTTCAGATTTATCTCCCCTTGAACTTAGAATTTTCCTTAAAAAATACTAATTTTTACTGTTACTGCTTTATTTCTTAAGGGATCAACCTCATACTTCAAATATATGTACCTTATCATCATCCCCATCTTATGTGACAAGGTTCATAACTCTAGCACCAATATTTTCAGATTTATCTCCCCTTGAACTTAGAATTTTCCTAAAAAAATACTATTTCTTACTGTTACTGCTTTATTTCTCAAGGGATCAACCTCATACTTCAAATATATGTACCTTATCATCATCCCCATCTTATGTGACAAGGTTCATAACTCTAGCATCAATATTTTTAGATTTATCTCCCTTGAACTTAGAATTTTCCTTGAAAAATATTATTTTTTGCTGTTTCTTCTTTATTTCTCAAGGGATCAACTTCATATATCAAATATATGTTTCTTATAATCAACAACATCTTATGGGACAAGGTTCATAACTCAAGCACCAATATTTTCAGATTTATCTCCCTTGAACATAGAATTTTATAAAAAATATGTTTACTGTTGCTTCTTTATTTCTAGAGGGATCAATTTCATACTTCAAATATATGTACCTTATCATCATCCACATCTTATGTGACAAGGTTCATAACTCTAGCACCAATATTGCAATAATTATCTCCCCATTAACTTAGATTTTTCTTACTAGAAAAATGTTATTTTTTTCTATAACTTTTTTATTTTTAAAGGTATCTACCTCAAACTTCAAATACTTGTTCCTCATCATCAATTACATTTTATGTGACAATGTTCATAACTCTTGAAGCAATATTTACAGATTTATCTATCTTTGAACTTAGGATTTTCTTTAAGAAAAATAATAACTTCTTTACTTTTAAGGTATCTACTTCAAACTTCAAATATATATTTCTTATCATTACACAAATGTTGTGTGACAAGGTCCATAACTCTAGCATGACTATTTCTAGAATTATTCCCCTTGATCTTGGAATTTATGTTAACAATTGTTATTTTTTTACTATAACTTAATACATAATTATACATAATTGATTTTTCTTTCATAGTTTTGTCCTCCTTACTGCGTCCAGTATTTTATTAGTCGAGCTTCGCTGTCTCCTGTGACAGCTCTTGTTCGCAATATGCTCATGGGGTAAAAGGTTAAAGGGTTTAGGCATCAAAATTGCTGCCATTGTTAAACCCTGCATAATCATAAGAGGTGACTAAATAGGTACAAATTACTGGAGTCTTTTTGATACATCTCTTTGCTTCAGCAAGATGAGGGGGTTTTGATCCTTGGTGTTGCTTTGATGTTTGTAACACCCTAGGATTAGGGCCAAAGTCATCTTTCCTGTTTTGGCGCCATTTGACCTAAAATTGTATTAGTGCACCATAAAACCAAACAAAACAAACAAATAAACAATAAAATTTTTAATTCATATTTTTCAGGAGGGCCGGGGGTGCCCCCTTGAGTAAAACCCAGAGGAAAATTGGGGCTGGATATCTCAGGACAAAATGGATGAAAACCAAAAGAACTAAAAAAGGTAATGAAAAAGAAGCGATGTCAATAAAAGGGGGAAAATTTTGATTTTAAAAATAACCGGGTTTTACTTTTTTGTGTGACATATGATTTTTTGGGTTTAAATATAATATTTTTAGGGCAATTTTAATCCAAACAAAAGGGGAATAACCCTTGCCCCAGAGTTAAAGCCCAAACTAGACTGCACATCACATGTGCAGTCTGTATCATACATTGTTACAGTATCAATCAGGGTGAAGGGTGTTTTTGTTTCTTTGTTTACAAATTTTACACTGCTTTTGTTCATGTTAATTCATCAATAATATTTACTTTACCTATAAGCTAAGCATAATTTCTTTATAATTCTCTGATATATCAGTTTTTGATGTCAGTTTTTGGTCATTACCTACAAGTTAAGCATAAATTTTCACCTTAGTGCAGTAACGTTTTAAGTTTATCTAAATTCAATAGGAGTTAATGAGTTATTGCACTAAGGTGTCGAAATTTCGATATAATTCTTTAATATAACAGTTTTTGACATGAATTTAGTACAAACATAATTAAATTGTTAATTACTTGCAGAGAATAATATTTATTTTCACATATTTTGTTATGTTTTCCAGCAAACTAAAGCGATGTGCCGGCCCATCAAATGTCTTCCCGCGAAGACTCGTTCCCAAATATGTCGCATTTCAAAATTTAAGGGTAACATATTCTGGTTGGGATTACATAAAGTTTCAATCTTTTTCTTCTTGGTATAAAATTAAATTTCAGCATTCGGGAGGCAAGGCATAAAATCCTTTTTCAGGGAAAATTTTCCTCGAAGGTTTTGTGTTGGGGTAGGTAAGATAAGGATAAACACTTCATCCAATCGAACAGAGCACATTATGTTGTGACCTCTCAACACTGAAGCAAACTTTTTGTTGACTTTTTAAGCCCAAGAGTGTTTAAAACAAGAAAAATGGGGACCAGTCTGGAATTGGAATGATACCATTGGTCAATTTAAAATCCATGCACAGAATCAGCCAATCAGATGCTTAGATTTTAGACTGGTCTCCCTTTTTTTTCTCTTTTTTTTAAGTCTTTGAACTTTTAATCAAGATTTCAGCAATGGTTCTCTTTTTTTTAACTTCAATGCATTGTTGGTTCACTTTCTTTTTTAATTCATTACACATTCTTTATGTCATGAAACTAACTTTCTTATGATGCAGAACTGATTGAAAATGTGCTCACATGAGTTATGAGTTCTTTAATTGTTTCTAATTGCTGTGAGTTTTCATGAATTGTTGTCAAGAAAATAATAACAATGCTGGATGATCAGACCACTTTTGATTGCAGGTGTTTCATTCTCGGGCACAATTAATTTACTCTCTTTTTAACTTATTTCATTAAGTTCTGACTAAAGTTTAACTGCTGTAACAAGTACAACATGTACCACAGTTTTGTCAAACCTTTTTGTGTTCAGAAAAAAATGTTCACCCATAACAGTGAGTAGTTAAACATCTGTGAGCCTGTTGGTCAATTTTTAAGCTGGACTAATGAGCTATTATACTGACCCAGTTGGCAGTATTACTGTCACTCTTTGGTTAAGTTTTTGCATGTCATTTCAATTATCTTCAAAACTACTGAAGGAAATGGCTTTAAACTTTACACACGTGTTCTCTATGATTATTTAACATGATGGACACAGTTCCCATAACTCTCAGTTACCCTTTTACAGATTTGTATCCCCTTTTCATACTTTCTTGCTCTTAGAAAAGTTCAGCAGACCGTCTTTTGGACAGCTCTTGTTGGTAAAACAGATAATCATTTAGGATTGTGGAGAAAGGGGAGTTTTCAGAACCCATTAGGGGAGTGATGTTTAGGGAGTGTGGTCTGGGGTTGCTATAACTCACATATCATAAATAAAGGTCAGATACTTCCTATAAAATTGACTCTTCCTCATTTTTTTCAAGGTATACATGGTTTTATCAGATTTAAATCTCTTGAAATATCACTGAATGCATTGTATATAAAGAGAAGATCTAATTACATGTATAATCTTATGTGAAATAGGATGAAATATTGGGCAGACGACCTTTAAACAAGGTAAGGTCAAACTTGCTTGTCCCATAATTGGGTCGTCACCTGCGGTTACAGTTCTTATTCTCTTTAAAGTCTTTTAAGTCTTTTTATTTTTAGATTTTTAAGCTTTTTTTTTACTATTCAAGCTCACTTCAAACTGAAGATTTGCTTTGAAATTTTGCCAGTATGAGTGGGCTTTCTTAACCTTTAGCCTGCTAGTGGCACCTGAATTTACCCATGCAACCAGTGCAGACCAAGGTAAGCTGGCACATCTATGCCGTCTGATTATGGTCTGCACTGTATTCACTATTCAGTCAATACAAAGTTTGATTTTCCCAAAAAAAAAATGAAGAATGATTTTGTCCAGATTGAAAAATGGGCAAGTCCGTGCAAGATATTTAGCGGGTGTAAGGGTTATTTATGTACTGCTGCTTTGTACATTTAGCATTTTTTCGAAGGGAAGACTTCTTTTATAAGGTTAAATATGTTAACAGTACACTTGCATGATCTGCTCTATGAATTTATCCAGTTTGTAAAGTATTTAATTGAACTTTATGATACATATTGTAATGTCAAAAGATGTTTATGGTATTAAACTGTTCAAATGATTGAAGTAAGATTGATTTAAATTATTGATTAATTTAAATATAATAAAATATTCTTATTGCAAGTGCATAGAGTGAGTGACTAAGTCATTGTTTTAGCAGTCTTTCATCCTTAACCTGCTGAATTTCTTAAATGGACTTGTCCAATTTCCATAAGTGGAACTACCAATTATCTATTTTGGGGATGTCAGGATACAAATTTTGAGTGAGGCTGCCACCAGTATCGAGCCTGGTCAGACTGCATGGATGTGCAAGCCGGACTGGCTCCATACTGGTGACAAAGACTGATTGTTTTTGGTCCCAGCAGGTTAACGGTTCAAATATCTTTTGAAAAAACTTACATGTATATTTCACCATATCTGTGGCAAAATATGTAGATTTTACTGAATTATATGATTAACTTTTTTTTACCAAGTTTGGTAACATATTTGTTTTTCGCTTTTATTTAAAACTAAACAACATATTTATGAATATTAATCTTGTTTTGTGTTTTCATATACAGCTGTAATCTGTATATTTTCTCTATAATTATGTAAACTACTATCATTATGTATGGAACCTGACATGCATTTGTCAAAGGATGGTGTCCTTGGGTGCTATGGTAGTTAATATTTTCGTAAATATATAAGATTGAAAATTACTTACTTTCATTGACTTATTTTAACTGGTCTGTTTCCTCTTTACTCAAAAGTTTCCGTCAAAGTTTAATTCCCTGATCAAAGTCAATACATTTCATTCAATCTGCAATGATTATAGGTGGCGCTACATGTGCAAATCAGCGCACGTTTAGATTAACTTGATATCGCTGGGATTCAATGGAAGTACTATCTATGTTTTATACAATTTAATGTTATTAAACATCAGTTCAAAAAACAGTTGAAAATGAGCTACAGTAATTAATTACTTTTCTGGACAAATTTTAGTGAAATCCTATATCGCATGACATGGAATGTAAGAGCCATATTATCAAGGGACAAGAGTAATTTATTGTTTCTGGAACATTCTGGAATATCTGGCTTGAGAAGTCACAATGAGGCTCTACAGAGTTTCCACTGAACAGTTACTGGAGAGCCAGAGTTTATCCTGCTTGAGGATTCTGACTCTCCTTGTGCTTCCAGTGCAGACCAAGATCATCTAGCACATCATTCTGTGCCATCTGATCATGATGTACACTTTTTGCTATTCAGTCTGTATATATTTTGAAATTTTCCCTGAAAAAAATGAATGGTTTTGCCCAGCCTGAAAGATGGACAAGTCCATTTAAGATATTTAGCATGGAAATGGTTATTTATTTCTGTTTCATATCTTATTTATTGAGGAAATTACTAATACTGATATTTTTATCCAGAATATTGTTCAGATAGTAGGGTATGAATAAACATCTTCATTCATAACTTTAAAATACCATATTTGTACTGCAATCATCCATATTAGGTGTTGGAATGATTACATGTTGAAGCATGAGATAATATTTTAAGCACTGCTGCAAACAATAGAAAATCTGGTATAAAATAATCGTCAACAATAATTTGTATTTGGAAATTTATAGTGTAACACTTCAATAATATAAGGATTAAAGATTGTAATTTACTAAAACTGTCTTGCAATCTTGATAATTTTTGGCACATTATCGGCTAAATAGTCAATACAGTGCCATATATGTGGTTTGTGTTTTTATGCCTATTCTTATTTCCCTTTTTAGCACTAACCCTTTCCAACAAGTTGAATTTTGTTTAGTTTCTTTTGACTGGTATCTTTCATATTTAATTAATTTTCATAAATACCTTTGATCATACTCTAACTTTAGGCAGAGTTTTTGGTCATTGGGATAGAGGTCAAGGTCACTTGTGCTCATAGAGCCATTATTTAAAGACCAATGTTTTTCATATTTGATAATAGGAACATTTTGAGGGTGATTTCCTACATTTGGAGTTAAAGGGGTCAAGGTAAAGGTCATATTAAGTGCTTAAAATAGATTTTTATGCTCTATTTCTTATACAGCCTTTCTTTATTTAATGATGCCTTTAATATTAATTTGGTTGATATCTGATTATACTAAATCATTAAATGGTTAACTAATTATTTTACAGTACCATTATAATAATTTATACTGAATTGGTAACTATTTTTTAAATAAGAAAAACTGCAATACCTTAAGTAAATGATACAGTTAAACATGCACTAATGAACTCTCTAATTTACCCACTTGTTCAATGCCACCAACTACATTAACAATCTTTTCCATCCGAATGTTTTATTAATAATCTGATGATAGTTTAGAAAAATGATCCCAGAGTTGATGCAACCCACGTATCTCCTTTAGAATATATCATGAAGTGTTGGTTTTATTAAAGGTTTTATTTATTTTTGCTTATATTTATGAATCAGTCTCTTTGGCAATTTATAATTTTTGTGACTATAGTCGTAATGTGACATTTACAGTGAGCTAACTGGGTAGTGTCCTCACTTGAAAAATTTATGACAGTAAAAAGATTCTATGTAAAAATTGGAAATGGAATGATAACTATTGGCTCTGTTCTCAATACAAGGATGGTATTAAAAGTGTCAATACAAGAATGGTCTTATAAGTTTCAAAACAAGGTTGGTCTTATAAGTCTCAATACAAGGATGGTATTATAAGTCTGAATACAAGGGTTGTCTTATAAGTCTGAATACAAGGTTGTCTTATAAGTCTTAATACAACAATGGTTTTATAAGACCCAATAAAATGTTGGTCTTATTAGTCTCAATACAAGAATGGTCTTATTAGTCTCAATACAAGGATGGTATTATAAGTCTCAAAACAAGGATGATCTTATAAATCTTGATACAAGAATGATATTATTAGTCTCAATACAAGGGTGGTCTTTTAAGTCTCAAAACAAAGGTGGTATTATAAGTAATGTAAGAGTGGTCCTAATGACTCAAAACAAGGATGGTCTTATAAGTTTCAATACAAGAGTGGTATCAATGCAAGAGTGATCTTATAAGTCTCAATACAAGGGTAGACTTATAAGTATAAATATAAGGGTGGACTTATAAGTATCACTACAAGGGTGGTCTTATAAGAGAGTTATGATGATAATATTGTGCTATATATTACAGCATCCAGTACTGGAAGAATGGTGTTATGAGCAGATGGCTTTAGCTGCCTCAGCATTTGCATTTTCATGGTCAAAATGGAACAGCGATACACAAGATAAGGAAAAGATTCTCTTCCAGGGCTCAGAGACCTTGTCAGATGAACCCTTGCTTGAGGTAAAATTATCTTTCTTACTTTCATTCTTTTATTTTGTTTTCTTTTTTTTTCATTTAGTTAAATTCTGAATGTCTGGAGATTGTGCAAAGAAATGATTTTGTAAAACAATAAAAGACAAAATCAGAACTGGTTGGTTATTTAAGATAAACTATTTTAGTAGATACTATTTTAGTGGATATCTTTTACTAGGGATACCCATTGTTGCTAATTGCTTATCTTTTGTCACATACTTCTTTAGATTCAATTTTTATGGGACACTTAGATCCATGATTCTACTTTAGTGCAGGATTTTTTTGTAAATTAATGCACCCGAGGCCATTTTCCACCAGTTTGGCAGAAAAGTTGACATATTATTTTTATAATGATTGCAAATGTGTGCAAAAACAGAGTTCTCTAGAAAAACACCATATGGTCTGAACAACATATGATCAAAACTACATCTACAGTATAACCCTCAAAGTACATTGTCTGGCCGTTTCACCTTGCTGACCGCTTAAGATGGCCGAGTTTAAGATTTGGGAAGCATTTTAGATGACCGTTGAACAGATGTATAGAGTGATTTTTGTCAGGGGCGTCACAAAATCGCCATTTAGGTCAGGTTACAGTTGAAAAGAGGTGACCTTTAGTACAGTTTTGCCTGTATTTTTTTTTAACATCTTAAACACTATGCTAATAAAGCCATTCATAAGTACACAGTTTTCACTGTACATGTATGCATTTTAGATATTAAAAAATATCCGAGTTGAATGTTTTGAATGTCAATAAATCTAAATTTTGTTACTATTACAGGAGGACTGGTCGCTTTACTTGATGACAAAGAGGAGAAGTATGAAACTGAAGATGACAGAATTTGACGAGACATACAACGAGGATTTTGCTGATGGAACCGAGGTACATTTATATTTTTGGATAATGAAATAGCTTCTACAATTGATTAAGGAAGGAAATTTACCTTTATTGTTAATTACCTGCTAGAACCAAATTAAGACTAGCATAGTATTTAGAGCTAGGCAACCAGGCTCTATACTGTTGGTAACTCAATGTATTTTGATATTAAAATCCCTTAAACTTCAAGTGGACTTTTCCAAATTCAAAGCTAAAGCAAATGCATATCACAGATTGAAGTTTTACCAATTTGCACTATGGGCCATTTCTTTTATTTTCTTTGTTGAAACTTTTTTTTTACTGGTATGAGAAGAGGTCTTTCCCTTAAATTTGGTGGAAATGATGCAGTATTTTTTAGAAAAGAGAAGAAAGGGGGTGATGATTCATGTAAATGCCTCCTGCTATAGAAGGAAAAAAGGTCATGTCAGAAAAGTGTGGCTTGGCTTTTCATTCAGTTGTTTTGGAGATAATGTAGGATTTACTATTTTGTAGCCCCTAATGTATTTGCAAAGCTTGACTTGAATCTTGGCTGATAGGTCTGTGAATTTATTGAACTATCACATGAGCAGATTATAAATGAGAGAACGAAAAATCAAGGTCAAGGTCGAAAAGGGTTATTATAAAGAATTACATGTACATTACAACATGTTGCAAAAACTGAAAAACAAAAGCAGAGAAAATTTAATTTGGAAGCAAAGTAACTTAACATTAGGAAAGAATTGGTGAAGTTAAGTTTTTATTATAAACGATTGGGCTCAAATGATTAATTCTTTATTTTGTTATTTATTTCAGTTCAAATCTAACTTGTACCATTTACTGATGAGTGTTGCATCTTCCAATGCCAAGGATAGAATCACAGATTCCAGTTTTGAATTTATAGACTGTGTACAACAAATTTTGTCTGCTACCAAAATTCTCACATATGCTTAATTAATGTCTTAGATGCAGTCCAACTTATTTTGAATTTGCAGACTGTGTCCAACATAATTTTTCTCCTTACCAGGTTCTTAATTACATACAAACCAGTCTAATATGGATCATTGAATAACAACAAATACTGATTTAATGATAATGAAGTGAAATAAGAATGTTCCTGTTTCTATTTATTCAAACAAACTGAAAGTGTTTATAATGTAGTTTCAAAGATGGATTTTTAAGTATGTTAAATACATACAGTATATATTTTATGAAAAAGTGATATATATTTATATATAAATATACTTTTCCGTCCAGAAATTAAACTGTGATATTCTTGCATATCAGACTGGCGTTTCCGTTAGTTTTACCCATGCCGGAAATTTCATCTGGCATGGGGGGTTCCAGATGAGTCGCGTGCTGTACAATGGCACGATAAAGATGACGTCATTTTACCGTTATGAATGATTTTGTAATTCATACGCTGTTGAATGAAAGTAGTTACGGTTGTAATGATATAAATTTTCATTTAAAATAAAGATAAAAAATTTAAAATATAATGGAATATGGTAGAATATGCAAGAAAAAATATCTGACATATGTTTGCTGTTCGGATCGGAATATCCGTCCCTCGGTCAATCGCCCATCGGAATGGATATTCCGATCCGAACCGCAAAATATGAAAGATATTATTATTATAAAATATTTATTTGGTGAAATATCATAGTCACCTGTAATAATACTACTTCATGAAATACTAGGATTTGTCAGTGAGATATATTTGCTATCATTCACTGCGAATAACTCACATATGAAAATAACCTTTTGTATAATATGATATAGTATGAAACAATTAGAGAAAATAAAATTGCTCTTAATATTTATTGCATATGTTAATAGAAAGCATGTTTGTCTGTGATGCGACTGTATCTTGTTTTTGAATAAAATTGAATGAATTTTGTTTATATTCTTCTCTCACCCATATCCACCAGTAGTTTAAACATGTTTTAACACAAATGTGAAAAAAAAGCATTAACCAATAGCCTGATAAAGACAACAGATTTTACCTACCAGTATGTGACCAGTGCAGACCAAGATCAGCCTGCAGGCCTGTGCTCTCTGATCATGGTCGGCACTGTTGGTTATTAAAAATTATAGGTTTTGTCAAGATTGAAAGCTGGACAAGTTCATTTAATACATTACTTGATACGAGGTAAGTTTATTTCAACTACTCTTGACCACTTCAGTTATAGTGACATACAGGAATGAGGAAAACTGGTTGTGTTCTGGCAGTCGCACAATTTGTTGATTGAATCTTCATGGTTTATCCTTGGCCAGGTCATGACTAGAACTTCTTAGTCTGTAAAGCTATCTTTGGCAGGGTATATTAATTGTTTTTGTTTGAGTTTTACGTCACACCAACACAGTATAGGTCATATGGCAACATTCCAGGTTTACTGGTGGAGGAAGATTTCAGGTGCTGGAAGAACCACCGACATTCCTGGATAGCTACCTCACATGAAAGAACCTTAAGTCTCAATATGGACTACCTTATACTACTGGTATTGGGTGAAATCATTATCAACAAAATGTTTAACACATAGGTAGTTAGATACTATGACATTTATCTGCCTTTCTAGACATTATGTATCTCAACCTTTACCCTGCTAGCAGCATGCGGCCAGTGCAAACCAAGATCAGCTGAAAACAAAATAAGACTTTCCCTAACAAAATAGTATAGCAATGATATATATCATCACACATCGCCTGATAGCCAGAAATTAATGTTTAGTTACTTTTAACATAATTTTAATCAATGTATCAGAAAATATTCCACCACATACAGTCAAATGTAGCTTTACGGCAGTTTATGCACTTAAACAAGGCATTATAATATTATTTGGAAGATTTAGATACAATAACTAGAAGCAAACCGACAAAAAGACCCTGACAAAAATGGTCTGAACATTCAAAACAGTAAGACTTCCTTTCATTTAAGGAGGGTACAAGAAAGGTTAAAGGTTCTTGTGAAAATATACATGTATAATCACAAACTATATACTGAATATTACAAGATTTATTAAGTTACATAAGCCAATGTGCATAATATAAAAATACAAAATATTCATTCTAAACAAACATTCACTTGACTGACTGTAAATGCAAAAAGGAATTTTTCCCTCTGAGAAATTGCACAACATAACTGCAGAATTTGACGAGTCAGTAAATAGATGAAATTAGCACAACATAAAATTTTTTGTGCATTAGACTGGAATATTTATAGGCAAGAACTTTGTTCATGTAGTGTAAGATACTTTTTTTCCTAACAATTTTATATTTTCAGCATTTCAAATTCACTGAAGCACATTGACCAGTCTTCAACAAAACAAAACAAATATTTTAACACAGACAGACCCTGATGTCAAATTATCACAGTATAAAAAGCACTTTTTTTTCAATTTTGTAAGTTATTGATCTGTATATGATTTAATTTTTAATATAAGAAGAATCATGCTTTAATTAAAGAATAAATTAAAACTTTTACACTAAAATAGCTTAAACATGCATTCTTTTTTTTATTATACAGCATATGTTTCTAAATTTTCGCCTCATTCAGCAAAAATGAACACTTTGTGTTACTAAAAATGTTAATAAATATTCATTTAGTACACAGAGCTATGCATATGTGTAGTGCTGAAAATTTTTGATATAATTAAAAAATAATAATTGTACATTATACAGTGTATATTGCTTGAAACCCATATGTTATTGCATGTAGTTATATATAATTATGTAGTTATAATGATGTCTTTACAGGTTATATACCTCACTATTAAAAGGTTGTAAGGTTATATAACCAAAGCTTCTAGACGAAGGTTATATTGCAAACAACCATTTAAATACAACCATATAACATATCAGGCATATTTATAAAGAATTTTTAAGACAGCAGATTTAATTTATTGGAAGAAAACGAAAATTACTTTAAAAAAAAAATTTACTGCAGCCATGTATATGGATTATATATAAGTTACAATTATCCAATGAAAAGTGACGTTACAAATGCGCAGTATTATAATTACAATGTACATCTCTTAACAAAGCTACATAAAGCCTTCAGTAGATATCACAACCTATATGACTATCCAGTAATACACCTGTATTTTCAATAAGATATAAACCATATCACCCATTGTTAATAACAACTTTTATGACAACTACAAATCCTAATGAACGGTAAATAATGACCAATGTCAGGTAATATTGACATAACCATAAGCTGCTCACTATATAACCATATACATGTACCTCCTTTCCACAGTTTTTTTCGTTTACCTATTTTTAAGTTCATTTTTTTTCATGTGAGAGGGAATTTTCCACTGAGATATCATTATTTGAGAAAGTACAAATTTGGTAGCTTACATGCATGTTCAGCATGCTCATTAGGCTCCCTAACACTTAAATATATATTGAAAATTTCACTTCACAGCTTTATCCTTTTTTAACATTGTTAAATTGAATAAATATACGAAGATCTCTTATTTCCCAGTTAAGATGGTTTTTTTTATATCTGTTCAGCATAAATATTCTCTGTCCATATATTTCAAATGTCTGTGGTCCCAATTTATAATTTTACAATTTCATTTTATTTCGAGTTCATTTTCTAAATTTAACTGATACCTATCACGTTATTTGGACATCAAGATAACAATTTAAAAACTTAAGCCTTTAATATGTCTATAATATAGGTATAAATTAAATGATGCATAAATATTTCTATCTAACACTAAAACATACAAAGAAATTTTTAATATATTTAAATGAAAATATCACTTTTGTTGGCAAAGCTAATGCAACTGTTTGCTTAAAACAACTAAAATTGCTATGACAACAATATTTTAAATTCTTGTAGCACTTTTAAAGGTCACAACTTAACAATTTGATAAATAACTACAGCGTGTATTAAATAGTAAGTTGATATGCACCAAATAGATATACAAATATCAAAGAAAAACAATTCCCAAAATTAAAATAATATTTTTTTGTATACCAGTCTAAATTCCTATATTTTGATTGGTTCTTTATCAATTTAAACCAACCAATCACAAAACAGCATGAATGGACTGGTCTTGCCATGGTTTTTTATCTTTGATAAAAGTATCTAACAATTTCTATATTTATTGTCTAGAAGGCAAATCTCATATCGGAGTTGTAACCAAGTTTTTCCAAGTTGGGTAGACAGGCGAAGTTGATCATGGGCGGGGGTCCACACATCAGAACAATGGTGCCTTCCTCCGCTGGGGGTAGGTGTTCCTTTATCATTACATCACTGATAAAACCTTTACTGTACTTCCAGTCTGCAAACGATAAATGTAAACTAGAACTATCACTAAATGTGATTAATACCCCCACAAGTCTGCTTTGGAAATGAGGATGTTACTAGTAACAGAATACCTTGTAATAGAATTGAAACATAGAGTTATGGTTGTGGGCAATTAAAGATAATTGTGGTTCATGTATGTTGCATTTCCTTTCAATGTGGTTGGCCATTGATGAAGTTTAATTGAATTACTCTGTAATAAGTCCAGAAAGAAAAAGAACAAAGGGCAATAACTCTATAAATACTGAAGATAGAGTTATAGTTCTTGTGCACTGCACTTCCTCTTATTGTGCTTGACCATTGTATGAAGTTGTTTTGAATTCCAACCAGTACGTTTTAAGTTATGCTCCGGACAAGGAAAAGTATCAAAGGGCAGTAACTCTGTATTTTGTCAAAATGGAGATATGGCTCTTGTGCACTGCACTTCCTTTTAATGTCCTTGACAACTGTATGAAGTTGTACTGAATTCCAAACAGTAGTTTTCAAATTATGCTCTGGACAAGGAAAAGTAACAAAGGGGGCAATAACTCTGTAATTAGTCAAGATGGAGTTATGGTTCTTGTGCACTGCACTTCCCCTTATTGTGCTTGACCATTGTATGAAGTTGTTTTGAATTCCAACCAGTAGTTTTCAAGTCCTGCTCTGAACAAGGAAAAGTAACAAAGGGCAGTAACTCTGTAATTAGTCAAGATGGAGTTATGGTTCTTATGCACTGCACTTCCTATCAATGTGCTTGACCATTGTATGAAGTTATAATGAATTCCAACAATAAGTCTTCAAGTTATGGTCCAGACAAAAGAAAGCAATGGAAAAGTAACAAAGGGCAATAACTCTGTAATTAGTCAAGATGGAGTTATGGTTCTTGTGCACTGCACTTCCCCTTATTGTGCTTGGACATTGTATGAAGTTGTTTTGAATTCCAACCAGTAGTTTTCAAGTCATGCTCTGGACAAGGAAAAGAAACAAAGGGCAGTAATCCTGTAATAAGTCAAAATGGAGTTGTGGTTCTTGTGCACTGCACTTCCTCTCAATGTGCTGGACCATTGTATGAAGTTATAATGAATTGCAACAATTAGTCTTCAAGTTATGGTCCGGACAAAAGAAAGCAATGGAAAAGTAATAAAGGGCAATAACTCTGTAATTACTTTAGATAGAGTTATGGTTCTTATGCACTGCACTTCCTCTCAATGTGCTTGACCATTGTATGTAGTTATATTGAATTCCAACCATTAGTCTTCAAGTTATGGTCCAGACAAAACTAGAACTGCCACTATCATGGCGTGAATACCCCCGCATACCACTTTGTCAGAATCAACAGTGGCCATTTAGAACTCAAGGACAACCACCCTGCCAAATCTGAGGTGACTAAGCCAGTGCATTGCTAAGTTTTGTATTCTACATGCTTCAAATGTGAAAATGTCAAAATCAATACACTCTGGACAGGCATTGGGGAAAAGCTTTATTTTGACAAGGTCCCTGTGACCTTGACCTTTGACCCAGTGACCTCAAAATCAAAACGGATCATTTACTAATCATGACTAACCTCCATGCCAAATATGAAGACTGTGGGTCATAGGAACCTTAAGTTTTTGGGCAGACAAGCTTTTTGAAGTCAAGGCCCCTGTGACCTTGACCTTTGACCTGGTGACCTCAAAATCAATAGGGGTCATCTACTAATCACGACTAACCTCCATGCCAAATATGAAGACTGTTGGTCAAAGGAATCTTAAGTTATTGGGCAGACAAGCTTTTTGAAGTCAAGGCCCCTGTGACCTTGACCTTTGACCTGGTGACCTCAAAATCGATAGGGGTCATCTACTTATCATGACTAACCTCCATGCCAAATATGAAGACTGTGGGTCAAAGGAATCTTAAGTTATTGGGCGGACAAGCTTTTTGAAGTCAAGGCCCCTGTGACCTTGACCTTTGACCTGGTGACCTCAAAATCGATAGGGGTCATCTACTTATCATGACTAACCTCCATGCCAAATATGAAGACTGTGGGTCAAAGGAATCTTAAGTTATTGGGCGGACAAGCTTTTTGAAGTCAAGGCCCCTGTGACCTTGACCTTTGACCTGGTGACCTCAAAATCGATAGGGGTCATCTACTAATCACGACTAACCTCCATGCCAAATATGAAGACTGTTGGTCAAAGGAATCTTAAGTTATTGGGCGGACAAGCTTTTTGAAGTCAAGGCCCCTGTGACCTTGACCTTTGACCTGGTGACCTCAAAATCGATAGGGGTCATCTACTAATCACGACTAACCTCCATGCCAAATATGAAGACTGTGGGTCAAAGGAATCTTAAGTTATTGGGCGGACAAGAAAAAACCGACGGACGCCGGACGGCCAGACGGCAGGACGGACAATCTGATTCCAGTATACCCCCCTTACAACTTTGTTGTGCGGGGGTATAAAAAAGAAAGCAATGGAAAAGCAACAAAGGGCAATAACTCTGTAATAACTTTAGATAGAGTTATGGTTCTTGTGCACTGCACTTCCCCTTATTGTGTTTGACAATTGTATGAAGTTGTTTTGAATTCCAACCAGTAGTTTTCAAGTTATGCCCCGGACAAGGAAAAGTAACAAAGGGCAATAACTCTGTAATTAGTCCAGATAGAGTTATGGTTCTTGTGCACTGCACTTCCTCTCAATGTGCTTGACCATTGTATGTAGTTATATTGAATTCCAACCATTAGTTTTCAAGTTATGCTCCGGACAAGGAAAATGCAACGGACGTCTGGACCGACCGACCGACCACCCGGTGACTCCTATATACCCCCCCCAAACTTCGTTTTTGGGGGTATAAATATAGTATCCTAAGACCTGTGTGAAGTAACTTCTACACTTAACTGATGACATAATTATTTAACACCTGGTGGTAATTTTTTTGTAACAACAGTCAAGTTATAAATGAAGTGTTTACTCGCCTATACAAGCCTAAGGTTATTATGAGGGTAAATATACCCAAACAAATTACCACATTATATTTTCAGTTGTTCGGGCAAAGTGTGAAAATAACTTCTATAATTAGCACGTATCACATCTGACACTTTGTACAAGAGTTAAAACCATTCGGCTAATTTGTCTTGTTGATAGTTGAAAATATACATGTACATTATACATGATAATACACAGATTTTATATGGTAAACAGGTGCTGAATATTATTTTTTGTTCAGGTGATTATTTTACAGTAATTTTACATGATGACCAACAAGGCAAGTGAGCTGAATGCCAGTGACAAATGATATGGAAATTGAGCCAATTTCACTATTCAATGTAATTAATGATAGGTTAACTTAAAATATGAAATTCACATAATTTAATTCATGTCTTTGGTTAATCAAACCACAGAGCTTTATATAAACAATCAAGTATCATATACCACTATTGTATTGAAGTAAGAACATGCTTAAATACACTTAAGTATGTTCTACAAAGATTGATAATTTGGAATTTCAGTAAAAAATCTCAATAATCATTCTTTCAAAAGAAACACTTGAGGAATCAAATAATTAGATCTATCTGTGCACTGTATTTAATTCATTTCTCAGTTATTTTCAGTTACTCGTCAACTGTGATTAAACAATATCAATAAGGTAATAAAAGTCTTTAATTTGCATAATAACTGCACAAAAATTATCAAGTATGAAAGTAATAACAAATTGTCAAAATATTTCAAATATTTTACCATCAGCTGGTCTATCTAAGGTGAACCAAAGTTTGAATCTGTCACCGTACGTCTGCTGCAAGTCCTCCAGCTCGGGTCTCAATAATATATCATCTTCTGTCTGAGATACAAATATTGAATAAATTAATTATCAAATTTATAATACTCCTTAGAAATATTATGAAGAAAATACTGACATTTTCAATTCAAGAAAGCATATGTAGTACCAGCTTTCTGAACAACTAATAAATGGTAATAACAAATTTCTCCACATGGGAACAACAACTTATCCCACATTATTTCTGATTTAAGCAGTGAGAATCAAGAGGCTGTTAGGCTTGAGGAATTTCACCTCTCCCAACGATCAAAGTGAAGCAGTGACCCCTGGTTTTTGCAGGAAGACAACAACATCAACATAGTGATCATTAGAGCTCGACTCTTTCTTCAGACACATACTGGCTAATTAAAACGTTTGGAAGCATAGTATATAATACAGGAGTATATCTGATACCTGGTTAGCAAAGAGTAAACACATTTCAGTTTTGTCGTTCTTGTCCTTGAGTATCTGACGGATTAACTGTAACATGGGGGTGATACCGGTTCCTCCAGCGATCATACCGATCCTCTTGGCAGTGACAGAGCGGGGATCAGACTTCTTATCATGGCGGATCTTGAACTCACCTGTAGAAAAAATAATATGGAATTATTTTAACATGGAATTATTTCATTATAATCATCATTATTTCAACAGCCTTAATGGAAAAAACCTGCTTTTGCAACCTTCTTTTGATAATTTCTAAATAACTATCACAAGCCAATTATTAACTATCATTGTAGCTTTAAACGGATAAACTAGTGTAATTTTTTTGCATTTTCTTACAAATAAATCACAGATGTAACAGAAATATTCAAGTACAAAACTTTATTTTAACAAATCAGCACAATTTAATTATGTCAGATGGTGCAATAATTTTTGTCAACAGCCAAATGTAACATGATGCCAGAATTTTAAGCACATTATAGCTAAAACACATTAATGTGACAATAAAATAAGCTAAGAAATATAGTTTGTTTTAAAATCACGTTAGACACCATGGTTGAGTAGGTTCGATCCTCCATTTTTCTTTCAAAATCAAGCAAGAAAAAATGTTAGAATATTTACCACATCCATCATAAACAAGAAGTCCACTAGGTCCACGGACATCAATATAATCTCCGACCTCCATGTTGTTCAGATACTGGGACATTTTACCTCCATCGGGAAACTTCGGGTTCACGTTCTTGAAGTAAACCTGTGAAGATAAATTGAAGTAAACCAATAAATTGAAGTAAACCTGTAAAGATAAATTGAAGTAAACTTATGAAGGAAAATTAACACAGACTGTCAATTTGTATAATAATTCTGTAAAGTATTGTTTTTGTGTATTTTCCTTGTCATATTAGAACATGCTCCCACTAAGTTCAATAGGGAGAGCAACAGATTTGTAATCTAGTGGTTGTTGGTACAATCCTCGGGCGAGACGATATTTCCCTGTGACGATTGTTCTCAGACATTGAGTCTAATAGCAATATCTCTCTCAAACCTGATACACAAAATCAAGTTATAAATAATTTGTGGAGAGCAATTGGTAATTACTGGTTAGTTATCCAGAAAAACCAATTTGGTTGATCGACCACCCAAGATATGACCAAAATTGTGTTAAATTTGCCATAAAACCAGACATACAAACAGGGATCATCCGTGGTCGGGTGGTTAAGAATCTTGACTTTAAACCACTTGCCCCTCACCGCCGTAGGATTGAATCCTAACAAGGACTATGGATTCTTTTACATGTGAGGAAGCTATCCAGCTAGCTTAATGTTGGTGGTTCATTGAAATACAAATCAAATTTAAGTATCCTTGTAATCCATTTTGAAAATAAGCAGAGCAACCTGCACATGTAATAACACAGATGATTTCAAATTTATAATTAATGTCTGTAACTCTACCCTACCTTAATAACAAGATCCATGTACCCTTTATCATCATCACTAGATACAGGTGTGTACGGACGGATGACCAGTTGACCATCAATACGTGCTGACAGGTAAATATGCTGACCTGAAAAATACATTAAATATGAGGAGAGTCTATAAATTATGAAAGCGCAAGAAATTCCATTAAGCACTTAGCAAAATAAATAAAAGGGAAATAACTTCATGAATATCAATGCTGAGATGTGGGTCTTAGTGACTTGCAATAATTACACTTAATGCATACGTAAAATTCCAAGTGAAAAACATCCACAGAGAATTTAAATCCTAACCCTGCAATTTTCTTAGCACATGACAAGGTATAATACTGACAAGGTTCATATGAAGGACAAAAAACTTAACACTCATTGCTCAGTTCTATTTGGTTCAGGAACAGATTCTGAAGTGTGTTTATAAACTTAAAGCTGTCTAAACAATCAAACCAAAATTCTGTATAAACTAATATCAAAATACTATTTTTTATGACCTATCAACATTATAGAGCCTTGTCAGACTGTATGGATGTACACACTCGTCAAACCCTTTACTGGTGGCAAAAAGAAAATCACAATCGTTTTCAGCATGTTAAGGGCTAAAATGATAGTTGAGGTACAAATGCCGTCAAGGAACATCAACATAATTTGGTTTTCATTACAGTGAAACAACTCTTACTTTGTCCTACTCCAAACTGTATTAAACTGAATCTTTACAAAACACGTTTCTGTAAATTTAGGCTAAAATGATCAGTTAGTGACAAATGCTCGCAAAACATCACATATTATGGTATAATTACGTGAAACAATCTAAATTTCCGACTCAACATAATAATTATACAAACAGTTCTTTGCTACAAGGTACAACTGTCCTTGTAAGGAAGCTACCAATGTTTAACTACATCGTTCAATATACAGTGAACACATTAAAACAGTATTTCAAAAACGAGACTTCAGAATATATAAATAAAAGGTTTATAGTGGTCTTTGATTACCTTGACCTACAGGTAAAACCTAAATGTTCCAGAAGAGACAAATAACTTTCATTTCATGATCATTCCTGTGAAACAATTAAAATCGAAAAAATAATATGACAAATAACAATTTTCTAATCATTTACATGCTAATTAGAATAAACCAAACTTGAACGCACACAGTTATCAATTCCTGATCATTCATAAAAATCTATTTACAAATAGCCTACAAATAAAAATTATTCATATTCAGTAACTGTTACATGGAACAGACTTGACCTTGAAACCAATATACATGTAAATTTGAGAGCATAAAAAGTGGTTATTTTCCTAGCAATTGCACATGTTAACAATTTTAAACATTACATTAAAATCTATAAATAGACTGCAAAACGTATCAATTATAAAATTTAAAAATTAACCAATGAATCCTGCAACCATGAAATCAATGACAATGTACCTCTGATCATGATCGATGATGATGGTAACATGTTGCCCAGGCTAAATGTTATTAGGGATGATTGATTCCAAATACTTTAATCCACACTTAAAAAATTATCAAAATTCTATACCTAACTTGGTATATAATTTAACTTGTTGTTTATATTCATATCAAATTTAATTCCAAATAGAACAGAAATGTGAACCAGGAAATGACAACATGAAACTTTAAAAACTTGCTCACAATTTACCTCTCTATCTATAAGTTTCAGTGGATATTTAACAGTTGGATCTTGTAGAGTCACTGGGTTCTTCTTTTTCTTGTCTCCAAACAGGAACATTTTGGCAACAACTGCTGTAGTAGCAACAATTGCTGTTCCAACCAGAACAGGGATAGCCTGTGTGAATATAAAAATAAATGTATTAATGTGTACAAGGTCATGTGTTTACTAAAGCATTAACTTTTTATTGTAGATTTTACAGCTCACTAACTTACCACTGCTATCTAGTTTAACTTATCAAAGAGTATTTATCGTTTAATACCCAAGTTTAAATGGGTTTTTGATAGGCAAGGGAGGTAACTAGACTTATTAGGACTGACTTCATAAGTTGCCACTACATTTATTATAAATTATTATAAATTTAAGGATATACCCAGTACTAATATTGTATCCTGTATTGATATTGTACCCAGTAATGATACTGCACCAAGTAATGATACTGCACCCAGTAATTATATTTGTACCGGCTCTCCTAAAAACAGCGCCTTTTCCAGCTATCAAGTTAAAACAGTTCAATTTCTCTCAGAATTGAAAAGTGGGTTTTTTAAGTAGCTGTGGGGAATTTTTTGGAAATTGGGAAAAAAAGATTGGAAATGGAACCTTATGATGCCCTGGATGAACAATTTGTAACTGTAATACATTGTTATTGGATCAAGTTATTCACTTATTTTAATATAATAAGTTAAGGATGTATCTGAGACTCAGAATATACATTGTGTGATCTCTAGATAATGGTTCCAAGACTGCGGGTGTTTTTTGTTGCAGTTTGATGTATAGACTGGGACCTATGTATACATGAATGTACTAAAATATTATAAGCTCATAATGCCCCTTGTATTCAGGTATCATCTCTATTTCATTTATTCCCATCAAGACCTCAGATGTTAAAATGAAACATCATGTTTTAAATCAGACCTTGGTCAGATAACATTTATAAATTCTACAATTTTTCTGTTTATTATTTGAAAGCAATTAATAACTGATAAAAAAATCAAAGGGCTGCAGCTCTATGGTATTTTCTGATCTTTGCAATCTAAATCATACTGACTATCTGTATGTACTTTCCTGTATAAGTTTATTTTTATATACTATAATTCATCTTACGCAGCGACAGCGTTTTGATTTTCTTCTACAACAGTTTGAGATTGATACATATGGAATTTTGCATGAAAAAAAAATAGAATTGCCTCGACTAGGATTTGAACCATAGGCCTCTCACACCCTCAACGAGACCGCTTACCTCTGCACCACGGCGAAGTAATACATATGTACCTTGAATAAAAACGAATACATTATGTAATTCTAAATTGAGAATTTCCATTTCGTGTTTGCAATCCTTATTAATTTCGAGGTATTTTGTTCACGATAAACCTGTTGTTTAACACTGATGAAAATAATTTAGCGAAAATCTTCTCGCCAAAACAGTCCGACATGTATATATTCCACTACTCGACAGTCAGATTTATTTGTGTACTACGCTCTGGAGTATTCATTAATCGACATAGCTAAAAATAGCATTTTCATTGATTAAAATGATATTCATGATAATCCGAAGCTTTACGGAAATAGCCGAACATTTTTCATTGGGTAAAAAAGATATTCATCCGCGAAATTTGTGATTGTAACCTCATATTTCTATTGACTAATCTAAACTTTTAATGCACTGTAATTTGTTAAATGCCTACATTAAAAACTATTCTTTCTTTTAAATTGCTGGTTTTTAAGCAGTTTTGAGTGAGAACTACTTTGCGTTGTTAGGACTGTAAGGAAATTTTGTGTTAGACCGTGGATGTTAGCTATGTATTTACTGATCTTACGATCAGAAAATACAAAAACTATTTAAGTAATCAATTACCTGAACTGAAATTAAACAATTAAAATAATAAGAAAACAGAATAGTTGACAATTCAATATAATTACGAAGTATTTTTTAACAACTATGTAGCAAACAGTAGCATATATAAAACTTTGCAAAAAGACATTCTGTGCAATTGCTAGAATATTACCTAGGTTGGTCACTGAGGTATCAATTTCCCAACTTAGTGGTCACCTGCCAGATAACTGACATGTATATTTGTTGCATCATACATTATTCAGTGAGATGTGGTTATAAAGCTACTATAGTAAGTTAATACATGTTCAATTTTGGAATATATATAAATGCCAAACAAGAAAATTAATTATTTTCCTTATTGCCCAAACAAGAAACCACCAATTATAAATTAATTATACATTTAATTAATCATTTTATTAAAATAAATAATATTATCAGAGTAATTTAATTAAAACATTTCCACATTAATTACGATTAATTGCATTTGCAGTGTAAAGCGTAAACTGCTTTACTTATTTATACACTAATGTACAGCCTACAGGCTATCTGGCAAATATTCTAACATATTCAAATACATGTATACATCAACAAGTTTATAAAAACTTACAAACATCCATTTTGTACTGCTCATTTTGTCTGTAATTTATACTAAATCCCAAACTATTAGAGGTTACACATAAATGAAGTATGATTCAGTGACCTTGAAAGTGTCATGTTACACACATCATTGATTATACTGTATATAACTTATCTATACTACACTACAAAGAAAGCGAGTCATCAAAATGTGTAACTGACATGACAGTTGTTGAACATAAAACAGTTTTTTTTCCAGCAGTTTGGGAACATGACCCTACCCCCAGTGAATGGGAAATTTTTACAATGTTTTAGACAATTTGGGAAAAACTGACAACATATTATACAATCATACATCAAATAAGACAAAGAAATCTAAAATTTGGTTAATTAAACTACTTTTATATTTTTTACTCATATGCACATAGTACAATTTGGAATACAAGATACCAATTTGCTATGACACAAAGCAGTTAAATGTAACAAAATGACAATATTTTTTTTCTCTATATTTTTTGTTCCTTGAATTGGGAATTTTCTCCTTAAAATTGGAAAAAAAACATACTTTTGGGCATTGGAATCATGACCCAATATTCCCCAATTTATTGGTCATCAAAATTGGCCAGAAAAAACCTAAGATACTACACCAATATTCATCCAGAGGTCAAAAAATAAAACAAAATCAGGAAAGTCAGTTTTTTTTTGTAATTGTTGTTTTTTCTTTCATTACATTGGTTTCACATCTGGTATAACCGTTCATATGCATGAAAATAAATAATTGTTAAACCACTGTGGGATGTGCTTCGACCCACAAATGGTTATGTGACGAAGCGAATAAATGGGGTTACCCCATGTGGGGCCTGAAAAAAAACAAAAAAAACAAGAGCCCGGTTTGAGCCGGGTGATGCTCCCCGAATAGGTTTTGGACACAGGAAAGTACACCTCTTGTAGTTTCAGAGTTATGTCTGTGGAAAAAGTTCAAAGTGCAATAATTCCAAAATTAGGCAAGGCAGAGTTACAGTTCTTTGCACTGAACTTCTAATCAATGTGATCTATCAACCTACAAAGTTTCTTGATGATATCTCTTATGATTTCCGAGTTATGTCTTGGACAATTCAAAAAGTAAAAATAAACAAAGGGCAATAACTCCAGAATATGGCAAGGTAGAGTTATGATTCTTGTGCACTGCACATCTACCCATTGAGATTTATCTACCTACAAAGTTTCATGTTGATATCTCTTATAGTTTTACAGCTATGTCCTGGACAAGATTTTTCTAAAAGGGGAGATTATTCAAAAATAAGGCTTAACAGAGTTATGGTTCTTTTGCACTGCACCTCTACTCAATGAGATCTATTTACCTACAATGTTTCATGTTGATATCTCTTATAGTTTTAGAGTTATGCCCCGGACAAGAATTTTCTATAAGGGGAGATAATTAAAAAAACCAGGCAAAATAGAGTTATGGTTCTTTGACACTGCACTCCCCATCAATGCCCTCTACCACTGTATGAAGTTTCAACAAATTATATCCAAGGGTTTTCAAGTTATATTCCTGACAAAGTTCAATTTCAAAGTATTAAAATAAACAAAGGGCAATAACTCCAAAATTAGTACAAAAAGAGTTATTGTTCTTATGCACTGCACATCTACTCATTGAGATGTTTTCACCTACAAAGTTTCATGTTGATATCTCTTATAGTTTTAGAGTTATGCCCCGGACAAGATTTTTCTATAAGGGGAGATAATTCAAAAACCGGGCAAAATAGAGTTATGGTTCTTTGACACTTCACTCCCCCTCGATGCCCTCTACCACTGTATGAAGTTTAAACAAATTATCTCCAAGGGTTTTCAAGTTATGTTCCCGACAAAGTTAAAAGTATTAAAATAAACAAAGGGCAATAACTCCAAAATTAGGATGAAAAGAGTTATTGTTCTTATGCACTGCACATCTACCCATTGAGATCTATTCACCTACAAAGTTTCATGTTGATATCTCTTATAGTTTTAGAGTTATGCCCCAGACAAGATTTTTCTATAAGGGGAGATAATTCAAAAACCAGGCAAAATAGAGTTATGGTTCTTTGACACTGCACTCCGCCTCGATGCCCTCTACCACTGTATGAAGTTTCAACAAATTATCTCTAAGGGTTTTCAAGTTATGTTCCGGACAAAGTTCTAAGTATTAAAATTAACAAAGGGCAATAACTCCAAAATTAGGATGAAAAGAGTTATTGTTCTTATGCACTGCACATCTACCCATTGAGATCTATTCACCTACAAAGTTTCATGTTGATATCTCTTATAGTTTTAGAGTTATGCCCCCAGACAAGATTTTTCTATAAGGGGAGATAATTCAAAAACCAGGCAAAATAGAGTTATGGTTCTTTGACACTGCACTCCCCCTCGATGCCCTCTACCACTGTATGAAGTTTCAACAAATTATCTCCAAGGGTTTTCAAGTTATGCTCCGGACAAGACAACGGACGGACAGACGGACAAGGCGCCGACTATATGCTCCCCTGAAATTTTTCGGGGAGCATAAGAAGGAAAGTCAGTGATCATTGACCTTGAAACTGCCAAATATCTTAAATGGACTTGTCCATCTTTGAACTGGACAAAACCATTCATCAGTTTTAGGTAAATATTCAAAGCATGCACAGACTGAATAGAAAACAGTAAAGACCACAATCAGGCTGAGAATACTTAAGATGCGAGTGCACTGACTCTTACTGTCCATGTTAACCTTTGACCTGGCTGATAGGGGTCTGAATGTTGCACATGACATATTGTTATAATATGGTGAATATTTGATCAAACATATTTTAAAATTATTTGTTGAATAGAAAAGTTGTCAACCATACACAAAACAGGTCCTACAACAAACCATATTAAACCTGACCTCTATGTGTGACCTTGACCTTGGAGGTGGGTGTTGTGTATGACAAATCATCTTATTATTGTGAACATTTGTGCCAAGTTATTTCAAATCCTCCCTTCATGGAAGAAAAGTTATAAACTGGATACCAAATGTACCCTGCAGAGGACAATGTTGACCTTTGATCTGCATGTATGACCTTGAAGGCTAAACTCTAGTTTTATTATGGTGAACATTTGTGCCAAGTTTCATGACCTTGAACTTTCACCAAATGACCTCAAAATTATTGATATATCCATACCAAGATTAGAAAACTTCATGTCTTCTCAAGTGATTGGTAAGACCAGACTTTTACATGTTATGTCACTGTGATCTTGACCTTTGATGTTAGGCCCTAAAAATCAAGACAACATGAATGATAGTCATCTACTAGGTATGACCAAACTTCACACTAAATCTTAAGACTGTTGGCCAAATAATTCTCTAGTTATTGGCTGAACAAACATTTAGTGGTCACTGTCAAGGCCACAGAAACCTTGACCTTTGACCTCAAAATCAATAGGGGTCATATACTAGTCATGACCAACCTTAACAGCAAATCATGGGGATGTAGACCAAAACATTCTATAGTTATTGGTCAAAAAGACCTTTTAGTTGGCAATCAAGCTTTAAGTGGTCAAGGCCAAGATGACCTTTACCTTTGACCAGGCTATTGACCTCAATAAGGGTCATTTATTGGCAATGGGCAATGGTACCAAGTTACATTTTCCAGGACTTATTCTTTTACAGATACTGATAGATATATACAGACAGACAGACAGGCCTGATTACTTTTTAAGTGGAAGCATAAAAATCTACAAGATTTTAAATTTATACTGGGGCCTCATATTTCCGTGGTACCCATATTTCCAAGGTATTAGGTATAATTGACATGTCTATCCTACAATATTCAACATGATTTCCACAATTTTATCCTTTTAATTTTTGTTGTCTGTGTTTAACAGTTAAGTACCACGGAAAAATGAGGCACCAGTATTATGAGTATATATCATAGAAATAAGGCTTAGAACAAGAGCCGGTTGAACCGGGTGATGCTCCCCGAATAGGTTTTGGACACAGGAAGGTATACCTCTTGATGTGTCAGAGTTATGTCACAGACAAAGTTCAAAGTGTAAAAACAACCCAAATATTGTGCACGAGACACTGTCTCAATATGGTGATCATTTTTGTGAAATAGTTGTAAAATCTGACTTCAAATAATGAAGTTATGTGCCGGACACAATTTTGCTGCAAGGTCATGCTGTGACCTTGACCTTAAAGGTAGCGACCCAAATTTTGCATGCGACACATCAATTCAATATGGTGATCATCTCTGTGAAATAATTGTTAAATCCGACTTCCAGTAACGAAGTTATGGGCTGGACACGATTTTTCTGCAAGGTCATGCTGTGACCTTGACCTTCAAGGTAGCGACCCAAATGTCGCGCGCCACACAATGTCTCATTGTGGTGATCATTTCTGTGAAATAGTTGTAAAATCCGACTTCAAATAATGAAGTTACGTGCCGGACACAATTTTGCTGCAAGGTCATGCTGTGACCTTGACCTTAAAGGTAGCGACCCAAATGTTGCGCGCGACCCTTCGTCTCAATATGGTGATCATTTCTGTGAAATAGTTTTAAAATCCGACTTCAAATAACAAAGTTATGGGCCGGACACGAATTTTGGACGTACGTACGTACGGACTGACTGACGGACTACCTTCAAGGTAGCGACCCAAATGTTGCGCGCGACACGTCGTCTCAATATGGTGATCATTTCTGTGAAATATTTTTAAAATCCGACTTCAAATAATGAAGTTATGGACCGGACACGATTTTGCTGCAAGGTCATGTTGTGACCTTGACCTTCAAGGTAGCGACCCAAATGTTGCGTGCGACAGGTTGTCTCAATATGGTGATCATTTCTGTGAAATATTTTTATGTCCGACTTAATATAATGAAGTTATGGACCGGACACGATTTTGCTGCAAGGTCATGCTGTGACCTTGACCTTCAAGGTAGCGACCCAAATGTTGCGCGCGACACGTCGTCTCAATATGGTGATCATTTCTGTGAAATAGTTTTAAAATCCGACTTCCGATAACAAAGTTATGGGCTGGACACAAATTTGGGACGTACGTACGTACGGACGGATAACACGACGACTATATGCTGCCCCGAAATTTTTCGGGGAGCATAAAAACAGGCCATTTTCACATAAAATTGCCTCATATAAGAAAGATTGACATGCTCAATGCCAGAAAGTATGCTTTCTTCCAAATGTGATTTTTTTTATTAAATCTATTAATTTCTGTTAGAACTAATCATGACTCTACTCATACATGTATTTTATTGTCTCTACAGTACAGGCAGTAGTCCTAGAATAATCCAACTAATTCAGTAATAATTTTGTGCGGCACTCATCAAATTGCGCTATTTTGTGCATGTATCATTTGATCTTTAAATTGTCGTTCATGATCAATATTGATGTTCAACATACAGACTACTGGCATGCGAGCAGTTCCCGTACAGAAGCAGTATCCGTATTTTTCATTTAAACGCTTGATTTTTACTTGCATTCTTCAAAAATTCATTTCAAATCAAGCAGATACATAAACAAGACAAAATCTAAGTGTCAGTTGGGCAGTACGTATAAAAAGTCTCATTTTAAATCACTTTCACCTGTGCGTCATCAAAACGTGACCTTGTTTTCTCCGGGGGATTCCGTCCATGCGCGCATGCGCAAAAATACTTACACGTGAGGCTTGTTAAAGGGTTTTCCACTAATACCACCTGTTTACAGATAAGTAGGCAATGTGATGGAAACTTGTTTAATTATCAGAATTTTGACCATAATTACTATATAAAATAATTTTATGGCTTTGATGCGTAAAATATGCATACAAGCATGCTATTGCTTGTGAATGCGTTGGGGTAACGGTACCGGGTAATAGATACCCGCGTTTAGTCTACGCTCTACTTCCTGAATTACATCTATTTATCTCTTAGATAATGGTCTGTTCAACAATTGTAAATGAAAAAAAAGGTCCGATATAATAAAATTATATAATTATAATGGGTTAGATTTTATGTACGGGAACTACTTCTCTTCATACAAAATAATGGATAATTTCGGTACCCCATTTGAGGCCCCATAAGTAAGGGTTATTCTATGTTTAGAACATGATGGAATTTCCATGATTTGTGTGACGAGCGGGAACTGCTCGCATGCCAGTACAGTACCTGGGCCGCCCTAACCCGTCCATTCATAATTATTAACTTCAGGAAGTGACAGGAGTGATTTAGATCTACAGTACAAGTTTATAAACATCAAAAGGAGAAAGAAGATGAAAGTTTCAGCGATTGTGAACATATTATCATAAAGTTTCATCTTACCCACACGTCAGATCCTGGCATTGTGTAGATCTAACTGTTGTCTGTCTCAAAAACTTTTTAAAAAGTGTTTGGTAGGTACCGGCCGGGTTGCCTTTTCACCTGTAGCCCGTTACACCTTTTGGTTTACACTTAACGGCGGGAACGAGCGGAGAACCAATCACGTAAACTTCACGAAAAAAGAAACGAATAAGGTTGAATACCGCTAAATAATTTCCTTCTACGCTGTCCGGTAATATATATAACTGAAAAGGGTAACAATATCGCTATATATATATATAGCAAATTTATTCAAAAGAATAACACTGTATACCAAACAGAAAATGCTTAAAAACTAAAAATGCAATAATTTCCATGAGCATGATAAAACAAGGCTACTGTAGTGCGCTCAATGATAAAATACTTTGTCTCTGTATTTTCTATTGATGATTCCAATTGATATACAGTACATGTACTTCTTTACCTATTTTCAATCTTAAAACAAACGTATCAGTGTGTACCACAGTGACATCAACATAAACGAACAAGAAGTTAAAGATATTCTCTCATGGTTTCACAAGCAAAAGGCTATTGGGCCAGATGGGATAAGACACCGTACACTAAAAGAAACATTTTATAGCATTTGTAAACCTTCATGTTTACTTTTTTAATCGTTCCCTTCGAGAAGACACATATAACAAATGTTTAAAAAGCGCAAGCGTTATACCATTATCTTAATAAAGGCAGTACGATCTTTGTTCAAATAACAGAACAATTTCCCTAATAAGTTGAATCAAAAAATTTATGGGGAGAATAATATTCAAATATATTTATAACCATTTACATACAAACACTCTTACATACAAATATCAATCAGGGCTTATTCCGTGGAATTCCATCTACTGTATATCAATTAATTGACATTTATCATCAAATATGTAAAAGCTTTTGATGAAAAGAAATCAACGTGTATAGTGTTCTGTGATAATTCCAAAGCATTTGGTCGTGTTTCGCATAAAGGTCTTCTGATTTAACTGTGTCAGTACGGCATAACAAGTAATTTGAATTGCGATCTATTTAAATTTTAGTCGGGGAATCAAAAGATTTTTGTTGATTCTATTTTTTTTCTGATACAAAATTCATTAATGATGATGTCCCGCAAGGATCCTTCACTTTTTGATTTACGTCAATGACATCGCTGAAAGCTTACTCTGTTTGACTCGTCTTTTTGCAGGTGAAATCTCTTTATCAATAGCAAGCGAAGATTCAAAATTTATAGGAATGACAATTATAATAAATTTAGATTTTAAAACTTGCTGTATGGGCAAACCAATATGGCTTCTAACCTTTAATCTTAATTAGACAGAAGTATTATTTTGTACTCTTATTAAAAATGAAAGACATTTTTGTACTTTAACAATGTTCAACTTAATTACATTCAACACCACAAGCACCTGGGTTAACCTTCAGTGATGATGGAACTTGGCATATTTGTGATATAACTAAATCCGCGTCTAAAAAGAATTCGGGTCTATGCGTCTATTAAAGTTCAAATTAAATAGAACAGCATTGAATCAAATTTATGTATATATTTCCTACATGATGTCTTTATTAGAATATGTTTTATTATTTAGGACATGAAAGAATGCAATAAAAAGCTGCGTGCTTAGTAACTGGTTCGACTCGCTCGATGTCTATAGAAAGACTTTTGCACGAAATATATGTTGGGTTTCGTTAGCAGATCACCCATGAAGTACAAGTACGTGTACTCTCCTTTATGGAAAAGAAAATTTATCTTCATCAAACTGCTTAACAATCAATTCTGATTATAACTAGCAGGCGATGAAGAAAACTCATTTTTATTCAGTGTCTTATTTAATGTTCTTATATATATTGTACTCAAAGATAATTAAAATGATATTAAACGCTTGTTAGTTATACCTGAACATAAAACCTATAAAGCCCAGTTAAGACTCCTTAATCAACGAGAGTTTGGGATGCCACAGTTTAATTTCCCGTTTGTTTGTGCTGTCTTTAATGCAATGCGTCACTCTCGTAATTAGAAATCTTATTTTACCATTAGAACTATAATTGCATTTGTTCTACAATACGATTATTCCTTTGGTTTACTATTGTACGGTTCTGAGATCTGGAATTGTAAAAGTATTTCTATTATTTCTCAGTTTGATTTAAACTTTTATAATATTGAGTTGCATCCGTACCAGTACTGTGGTCTGGTTTACATTGTGGTTTACAAATGAACGATTATGCCCACCTTATGTGATGACAACACTGTCATGACCTTGGTGATGGTCTGAAAGAAATCACCTTGAAGAAACTCTGGTAAGGCCTGGTTATATACTGGTGTCTAAGGCTACTGACGTGCTGTCTGGCTCGGTGACAAAGACTTATCATGGAGGTTCTGTCTGGCCTTGTGAATTTCTGTGTCAGCGGTTAATGCTAAACCCAATGCAACTGTTAAACGACTGATTCATGCAGTGTCCCAATAAGACATTTCATTAACAAAGATGTTAGATGCACATTTTAAATTTGCAATATACATGTATACAATAATACTTATATTTTATAAATACACGCAACAGAGAACTTTTTTATAGGTTTTATGTGACATAAGTTTAGTTTTGATTTTATTTTGGTATTATTCGCCTTTATTTTGTTTGCTTAAATAGTGAAAGTAGAAACTACGGAAGGCTGACCAAAAACGTTTGCTTCATCTATTCCTCTGATTAATTGGCTTTCAGAGCTTATCCTGGTTGAAGATTTCTTTTAGCTAAAGCCATGTTAATTTCTGACTCGTACACAGCTGCAAAACATACATTGGGGCTCGTGCAATTGTGTTTTCGTCCAATAGAATTCAAAATTGCAGTTTATTTTTACCACACGTAATTTTTTTACTATAAAGCCTAATTTGACGTTCCTGGAAACGTTAATATTTTTTGTGTGCAATATTCCGCAGGGGCGAGTAATCTTTATAGACTTAAGTAAACCAAATTTTATAGTTCTCTCCCCTGGCCCAATCTAGGATGAATGCATAATGGCACTAATATGCACAGCGGCTCCGGCTCTAATATGCATTATTAACCCCGAGAGACAGGTGTAACTTTTTATAATAATTGTACTCAACAGTGTGAAATAACCTCGGAAAGTCACGTATAGTATTGTAAGAAATACAAAGGTACATTATCAAATTTACATGATTATGAAATGGCTGATCTACTAACTAATTTTATTTCATATAAAATACATGTACATATTTACATATCATCTCTGTTTCCATTATCCTCGCGATTAATAAAATATCACGAAAATAACGTGCATATAACAATGGGAAGCATGGTGGCGCTTCAAGCACACGTCATAATTAAGCCCACCAATCAAATGGTTGAAACTTGATATTTATTTACGCATCATTGCCGACCAATCAAATGTTTTAAAACATGATGTTTTAAAGCATGATGTCTATTTACGTATTATTGCCACTTCCGGTGGAAAGTAGTTTGTCAGATTCAATATGTAGTTTAGAACATCCGTTGGCAGCTTTTCTAGTCTTTTCAGTGTTGTCAACAATGACGTCAAAATCAATGTCAACAGCTTCTAGTTCACTGTCGTCTGCTGGATCTGGTGGTGACAGGTTTGCAAATTTTTGAACAACTGCTACACACAAGTTCTGGCTGTAAAGATTTCCGGCTGTGCGACATCTGTCACTGAAATAAATATTTCATTTTACTGCAATATTTCTCAAACCATTACTGCAGTATTTTTATGTAACACTTCAGTTGCTTTAAAGTGAAGTGGCCATAATGGTATTACCATCAATAATTTTGTTGATAGTATTAAAGATCCACTATGTTGTAATTATGAATTTAACATATGGTCTCAACCCGGTACGGAATTAGAAGTAGTTCTTTAAAATTTTGAAGTGGTCCAATTTAACTCATCTCTAGTTAGATTGGTCATAATTAAAGTGTATTTATTGCATGTGTTTAGTTTTTGTGTGTTATATGTGATATATGATGACTTTTAAAGTTGTTTTTGTGTATACTACAGGAACTCATTTGTTGGCGGAAGGATTAAGATGTACTACCCACCAGCAGTCAGGAGTATAAATTTAAAATGGTGAATTTAAATAGTGTTACAACAGAATGAAGATTTCTGAAAAAAGTAGATGGCTAGCCTATTATATTTTTGGCCTCATTTGACTTAGATAGTGTTAATGTTTAAAGTTGAAGACTGTATATAATTCATCAAGAATAGTGAAATCCAGAATTAAGTCTCAAATGTGGCTGATTTACTATAGAACAAAGAATACGAAAATTTATCGGGCCGAGGCCATAATTATACAGTTTATGAAACTTACATATATGTACATTGCATATATGTATGTCAGTTTCCTTCCAACGCAATTTTTAAACATCCATGAATTTATACAACAAGTTTTAACATACTACACGTATATATAATTCATAATTAAACAATATAAGATTGTATTCTAATTGCCTCCTTTTATTTACACGAACTGTTTAAATTCGGTAATATCTTATCCATTTTATAACTTATGATATTAAATTTTTTCAATTGAGCATCAGTTTTGTCATATAAGACAATAGTTTTTTTTAAGGCACAAGGACTTTAAATATTAAATATTATAACAAGAAATCAGGAAAGAATTGTGTAAGGATGTTGTTTGTAAGTGTTGTGAGATACATTATCTATAATATTAACATGCATGTACCTATATATAGCAGATGACAAATTGTTTCCAGAACAAAATATGATTATTCATTAGATAAATGTTCAGAGTAACACACTTAGATCTTTAACAATGTTTTATTCAAATCATATTTTATAAGAATATTCAATATCCAAAATGAGACACTCCTACTGATTTTATTGACGCCGCGTTTTCGAAATTCTTACGGAAAATGTGCCCATTGTAGACCAATCCACTTTAATTGCTTTTTGAATTCTTACCACATCCGAAAAAGAAAACTACTGTTTTTCGTATGTTTTAACACAAACTGAAATATCATGCTTACTTTCATGAATATTCATTATTTAAACAAGCTAAATATAGAATAAAGCTGACATTAACTTTACTATTTGTACTCTTATACGCAATGCTTTTGACATTTAAATATTTGAAAATGTCACTTGGATAATAACTGGACGTTTAAGATGTTTTTGATAAATTTAACAAAAAACTGCAGTCTTCACCAGGGTGTTTCTAATGTTGTCACCAAGTTATTGTAATTAAGGGTGTAACAACGCTTCAGTGAAATTTTATATATGAATACAATTATTCTTCTAAAAAAACCAAACATCTTAGAATATATTAAATATGCACTGCAAATGTTTAAAGCTTTATAAGTAGTCATTAAAATATATGCATTCATTTCTTTTAAGACTCTATCGAAAGTAAATTTTTAATTACCTCCCTTTATTGACAGGAAATAAAACCATAAAAAATTGAGTTACCGGAACTTTGATACCAAGTTATATAAACAAAAGTACTTACAGGAACCATTCTATCGCAAGTAGGAGGCTGACGGCGTCGGTTGGGATCTTCATGGCTGTTAGTAAGATAATGATTGTGACAATACCGGCGCTTGGAACTGACGGCACGGCAAATGTTGATAGTGACGTCAAAATTCTGCAGAATATAAACAGTTATGACGTATGAGCTAGTATTCTATAAGCTGATATAATCATATTAACGTATTGTTCTATTACATTGTACATTATCCAATATACACCAATAACATACAGTAATAGTGTACCAGTTTACATACATCGGTTTTGAGAAACGGAGTAAATAATATTATAGCCAACAGGCGGTCTCTAAAAAGAAATAATTTTGTACTACGGTTGATGAAAGGTTCTACGGTAAACATAATATTTTGATATACGAAAGCGGTCTTTAAGCCAAGTACGATAACATTTGAACAATTTTTTTATGTTTAATTTATGTCACAATATTATAAATACAGTAAACTCCACTTTTAACGAGATCGCCTATAATGATATACCCCTTATAACGATATACCGCTTATAACAATATACCGCTTATAACGATAAACCGCTGATAACGATATTACGATGCTGTTGCAGCGGTCCCAACATTTGATTTTGAAATTGGTTGCCTTCTGGATATTCATGTAATGATATCCGGATATAACGATATAGATTCGACGGTCCCCTGGATGTCGTTATAAGCGGAGTTTACTGTATTTGTATATAAAATGTAATGCATCGGTTTATAAACGTATCTTATTCATGTACATCATATTCTAATACAACATATATTTGTCCTATGGATAACATGTTATACTACAAAGTCACGAAACTTTTTTTATTTTGCTTTGCATGATATAAATACATTATTCATTTATGTGGCATATGAAAACATGTGCATAATATAATTACAATTCTCAAAATAGTTTGCTTCACATAACAGTCAACGTAAATAGGAACAAGGTTAGCTTTTAAAAAAGCTAGTAGCGACTCGCTTCGTAATTTTTTTCAAGGGGTGTGTTTAAATGTAAAAATGACAGTTCTGTTAGCTGAAGAGACTTCAGCGAACATCAAAATGAAAGTGAAGTCAATACTGGTCCGGTGCCCGATGGCCAGTGTAAATAAGTTCAGGCCAGTGTAAATTTAAGAAAATTTTGTTAATTATTTAGTAGAATAAATTCAAAACTGGAATTCGGGCCGGTAAATTCAAAATCTTAAACTCATTGACTGAAAGTGACATATAAAGTTCTCTCAGTTTAACCAAGATGAGTATGAGTATATATGAAGATGCATGTAAACAGATAGAATGAAGTCCCTATGTCTATGCACATTTACCATATGGCCTGTTGACCTTGACCACAAAATGTTAGATAGGTAGATTTCATAAAGCTGTCTCTTTATACAAAATTAAGTTGTAATATGTTATTTAGTATTGGAATGAGAGGCACAAGTCCTAAAGTAAACACAAGTTGTCAATCAATTCAGCCAGAAAAGCCGGGATCCTATTAAAAAATATAGGGATCCCGGAAATTGACCAGTCTAAGAAAATGTTTTTCAGATAAGCCGGGATCCTATTAAAACATATAGGGATCCCGGGAATTAACCAGTTCAAGAATATAGTTTTCAGAAAAGCCAGGATCGTATTAAAATGTAAATAGATCACGGATTGGCCAGTTCAAGTATATAGTTTTCAGAAAAGCTGGGATCGTATTAAAACATATAGGGATCCCGGGATTAGACCAATTCAAGAATATAGTCTTTGATTTTTCCAATAAATTAGGCATATAATTATAAGTATTGTGATTTCCGCATTTTAAGTTTGTTAATAAGTTTGATAAGTTTGATAAGTTTATTTCAATATTCCATTGGACCAAATGGTCCATGAGGATAAACAGATACATAATACATGGCAAGACAGTGTAAAGCATATACATACAATAACATGTGTAAATGGAGAAGGTATACACAAAATTGTATATCATCAATTAAAATGAACATCATAACAAAAGGACATTCAAATTTATCTAATGTTAAATAAATTACCACTGTCTAGCAAAACTTACAGAGAAGTGAATTTCATACATTATTTTGAGTTAATTTGATAAGATACATGTATAAAATATAATGCATCATATAAATTTATATTCATATTTGCTTGAGTATGTATATGCTGTTCTTGTCGAATCAAAATACAAGAACAAACATAACCATTTGTCGGTAAATTTAGATATAGAACGTGAATCAATTTAAAAACGAAATTAAATGAATTTTGACAAAAACTCGGATGTATATACTGTATAATATGAAGTTATATTTATACTTGTTAGAGTACGTGTATGTTGTTCTTGCCGAAACAAAACACAAGAACAACATAACTATTAGTCAGTAAATTTAGCTATAGAGAGTGGTTCGATTTAAAAAGGACGCACAATCTTAAGAATCATTTAGCTATACATTTACAAATATATATCCTTGACATGTATATCTTCTAAACTAAAGCATTCACTAATTCAAAATTATTAAGCAAAATAATTTAACTATGCATTTACATATATATTATTGACATAATTATCCATTTCACTAAAATTTCACTTATTCAAAACAAAATAAATATAATCAACTTAACAATAATGACTACTAATTATTTGTGTATAATCTTTCTTTTCTTAGTGTAAAAGCATTGTTTACAAATTTTCCTAATTTGCGTAATGTGCATACATTTTCAGAATTAATAATTTCAATGAATTTTGGCATATTTGGACGTCTCCAGTAATAAGGCGGTATCAGACTTTTTCTTAAATCATTATATACTTTGCATTCTAATATGAAATGGTATTCGTCTTCTAAGACATTACATGAAAAAACATTTTCTATCATTTAAAGGAGTACTATTTGGTTTAGTCCATCTACCTGCTTCTATATGCAGTCTATGAGATGATACTCTTAGCCTAGTGAGATCTTTACAAAACCGTTCAACATTGATAATATTTAGATATGGTTGAAACTTAAAAACAGAAATATGTCTATAAAATATAGCTCTACTAGAGTTATCTAATCTACTTGACCAGTTTTGTACAAATTGGTCTTTCAAACGTTGTTTCACATAAAATAAAAACAGGTCAGTATTACCAACACTTTGCATTAACCAAGCATCATAAAAACCTAATGTACATAAAAGATTTTTCACTAATGAACACCAATTTGTTTTATTTGGGTAATTTTCACAATCATTTTTTAATAAATTATAAACTTTGTTGACAAATTATTCTCATTTGTATGTAATATTTTAACCCAGTATCTAATAATGTTTATAGTATCGTATTGTCTTGAAAGATATTCTACCGAGTTCACCATATATAAAATCATTCTGAGTTGTTTTTTTAACACCTAACGTACGTTTACAAAATTGCATGTGCACTCTTCAATTGCATTACCATGTATAAAACCCCAGACTTCGCTGCTATAATTGAGTATAGGACTAACTAGTTTTATCAAAAAGATCAAATCTGTGTAAAGTAGAAATATTAACAAATTTATATAGGTATTTGTTCATTTTAAATATTGCTTTCCAACGCTTGTCCAGCAATGGTATTTTGAGCTTCTGCAAAGGACGTCCTCCTGATGTGAAACAGATCCGTAAATACCGGTATAATTTGCTAACTATATCATAGCTAATTTTCTGTAATGAAAAATTCAATTTCTAGGAAGTATCCCCCTGATTCTAAATTAATCATTGATTTTCGATCTTAGATGTTTCACGTTGAAAGTCCATCTTATCTTATGCACGTATATCGTTGCTAAAACATTTAAAGCTCTCTTTTTTTGTAAGTACATCGTCTTTATTTTGCTATAGATTATATTTAGACTATATAAGTTTATGACATTTTAAACATATTCAACCTCAAACTTTCACTTCATGACATTATTATATTTTTTATAAATTACATCTTCCACAGGTTCATCCAGAAACGACTAGGAAGTAGAATGAGGGGTGATATAACTACATCTCTTGTTTTACACAAGTAACATTCGATATATATGTGCACTTTACAGTTCTATAAATATTTTATAAGCAGCATCATGGCATGGATCTCACTGTGTGGTGTGATATCATAGAGGTCTCATTTAATATATTTATGCACTAATGTTATCCATACGTAGTTTCCCAAGTTTTATTCTATACTCTTAAAATTAATCCCTAATTTATTATATCACATTAAGTTTACTGGATACTAGATTTGAGAGGTTCAAGACGCGCACACGTTTTAGATTATAGAGCTTAATTGTCTAAATGACACAAGCACACAACAGAGAGTAGAGAATTCTACTGGTTACGCTAGCAGGCATATTGAGCGTATGACTCCCAATGAGTAAGTTTTATTTAGTTCTCAATTGGCCAAACTAAAACACCAGCTTGGCGCTTCTAACATGAGCTAGCTACCATAGACATCTCAGACCCAGCTGAGGTGACTCACTCCGATATCTATTTAGTACACATGCGGCCAGTACACGAGTAAACCATATTTTACGCTTTAAAATATTGAGGAGTATAAGAGTTTAATAACCGCCACGTCTTTAAGTATCCAAACAGTTGGTCTCATTATCCACGTGAGCACAACGCCGCCACATACACTTTGGGTCTGATTTTATGTCAATGGTATAATCGAGACACTCTATCCCATACGTTTTGCTGCAATATAAGGTCCCTATGTATATAGAAATTTTATTAGGATTATATAATATATATATTTATATGGCAAAGAATAGTGTGATATGTACACTGAGTGTGCTAAATAAAAATATGTCATTCCAGAATAAAGTAGCACTTAGCCATGCGAACTCACGTGCGCCTCGAGCTGCATGAATACTAAGCACTTCTTAGTTGCTGTGATCGTGGCTTTATTTTAAAGAGATGTGTCAAGAGTAATTGTTAATAGGGGGTATTTTACAAGTTATGATAAAACATAGAAGAGCTAAGAAAAATTCATCTCATTTTGACTTTCGGGTTCTATACAAAGCTATTACAACATTCTTCAGGTACTTGGTGTTGTCAAAAATTGATAATGAGGGAGGAGAGGATGGATTATGATAACACCTTTAAAAAAATAGTGTCGCTACACATATATGTGTCCTAAGATTTTAGCTGTTAACTATTTTGATTTTGTTTCAATTATGCAGCACTGCTTGTATTTTCAACATCTACTTCCCACCACTTTATTGTTTGTGGCATTATTTATTGTCATATGGCTTGAACAAGTTTTTATGAGACAGAGTCCACTCTCTTAATTATACCATATTCAAGATTCAGTACATCTTATTACATGTGATCAGACATAGCTTTGGAGATGAGAGTCGGAGACTTGCCGTCTGATCAGAATCACGCAAGATTAACATTCGTCTATTCAATTCACACATTTAGCTTCGCTACTGAATCTATAAATATTCACACAACAACATTGTGATGCAATACACAACCAAGCCACTATCCTATTTTTTCAGAAACATTCTCATTGAACCCATTTGTAGTGCTTAGCTGACACTATATGCAAGAAAAAGGAATCTCTTATGTAAATGGTCAACTCATAATTCCATTTGCTTCGCGTAAATAATAGTGTGGGCGACACCGCAACATCTTCCAAATTGCAAAAAGAGATATCGCAGATGAGATACATTACGTCGATATACTGCTATATCGCTCAGCACTGGTACGTGCTCAGTAAAAATATTCATGTTCTTTAACATACAATTTGTTGACAACCCTGTAGATAACTCATCGCTTATTCATAGTCATTAGACCATACACACCTCATGAGTACGCTGTTTTACGATATATTCATACAAAACTCTTACTATACTATACATTAGTTCATTAATACGCCTTTATCATTGCCAACTCGACCCTTAAATATACGTAATCCAGTCTGTTTACAAAGATCAAGAAGTTATGTCCCGTTATTATTCATATGACCTTTATCTTGAGAAAAACGTTTTATTTCTGTATCAATAATATAGTCATCAGGCAACATGTTCATATGTATAGAATTATCATCAATAACATAGTCCGGACAATCAGAAGTGCGAGAATTCATGTCTCCGCAGAGCAATAGATTTAAATTATTTTCATATTTTGCATCTAGACTGGTTATAAAATCAATAAGTCTATCAAAAACATTAGAGTCTATCATTGACTGCCTGCTACTATCGTCGGGCACTACATAACATAAACAAATAAACAAATCGTTCATTAAAGACAATTTACAACCTTCAATTTTAATGCATAAAATATCATCATTACTTTTGAAAACAAGTGTTTCGTTAGATACATACTCATTTCTTATATATACAACAATACCACCGGACGCTCTTTTACTACTTATTTTATTTTCAGTTCTGTTCAAGACGAAATGTTCGAAATGATTCACATTTAACTGCGAGAATTCATTTGTCCAGCTTTCAGTCAATAACACTATATCACTATTTTTAAATATGTTCTGTGCTTCAGGAGAATCTAATTTATTTGTTCTCTTTGTTGAGATACCCTGTATATTTAATAATGTAAAACGTAACGACACCTTCTCCTGTCCATCCTATTTATCTGTACTATTTATAGTTTGACCTGTGTTATTAATAGATGATTGATCTTCTTCCCCATATAAGAGTCTATTTATAGCCACGGGGGAAAACCTGTCACTGTTCCTAGTTTTTTCGACGCTTCTTTTCCTATACGGACTCGCAGAGTGCAAGCGTCTCTCCGATCTAGACATCGCACGCATATTTCGTGATCTACCTCTGTCTGGGGAAACCGGTTTTTGTGCACAGCTGTTTGACCCATTTTCGGACGTATTATCAATGTGTTGTGTATTTGAAGGATTCACTTTAATTGGGCCATTGACCAACGTAACTGAATCTGTAACTGTCACTGGGTTGATTAACTCGCGATTTACATGTACATGTGATTTTTCAAGCTCCAAGTTACTATGAATTACACCGTTTTCTTGTAATGTATTTTGTTCGCATGAGAGTGATGAGTTGACAGTTGGAGATGGGTCATTTAGTTGTGACAGAAAGGATTCACTATGTCGCAATGGGTCAACCGGATAACTAGTGTCATGGTTCTCGGATATTATAACGCCGTTCGACAATCCTGTTTTGACCAAATGGATGTTATGTTCATCAGAATTTGTTTGTTCGTGTGGAATTTTATCAGTTATTTGGTGATTTAACACTTGTGACCCATGGTAATAATTCCTTTGCTGGAGAGGGCACTGCGCTTGGTTAACGAGAGGTAACTGTGTTGAACTAAAGGGGGGCAACTGTGATTGATTAATGGGAGGCAACTGTGATGGATGTTGAGGATCTTGGACTGGTACAAGGCATGCCTGGCCACCTATATTGGGTAAGTCATTTTGTCTAATACTAGTAACCATACTGTATGTTGGCGGTGGCGGAAAAACAATCCCATCCATGGTTTCTTGTCCAGACTTTTGATTCATGGGTGATCCTGGCCGTGTTTGTTGTTGTCTGTCGATATGCTCAATTTCTAATAATCTGTCATTTCGCATGTATCGGCCCCATTCTGGCATTTCGTCATGTATTAGGCGATGATCCATTATTAATTTTGCAGGGTAAACAATGGTGACCTTTGACCTCGGATTTCTGTTTACATTTTTTTAAATCTTGGCCAGAGTCCCTTGAGCGAGCTTGTTGGATTTCTCGTGGTAAGATCAACATCTACAGAGTATGGTGTGTCTTTTAACATTCTTGCTCTGCCCATAATATTTTCAGTGTCACAAAAGTCCTCGGAACAAACAATAATTGAGCCGGCTTTGTATTTGGGGTTTTTAGCACCTAGTCTATGTGCCCTTGATATGTAGATGTCGCTTGTATTCATGGCTAGGCTACTTTCTAGCAATTCAATATCAAGTTCAAAACAATTTTCACCAATTTTCTCGGGGAGCCCACGAAATATTAAATTATTAACGGCGTGATCTGGCTTCAATATCTATGGACCTGAAACGCTAGTGGTTTTAACAATTCTGTTTGAGATTGGTAACATCAATGAACGACCTTCATGTCCAGTCCTATCAAGTGTTGTGTTGAAAGAGAAAATAAATACTCTAAATTATCTATATTTCTAAGTTAAATTAATTTAACGTTCATTATATACAATAAAAAAAATTAACGTTTAATGGCCTTTCATTACGACAACAATCAACACAAATATAGTTCATTAGGTTTTTCCTCAATATCTTATACGATCCCGGATCCCGGGCGTCCGGATCCCGGCCAGTAAATACCATACACTGAATACCGGAAAGGTAAAAATGACCGAAAAGAAGGAAAAATAAAAAATGCACAGAATCAGATGTACACTTATGTTAATTAACCAAACGAAAAACTTACTACAGAGAAAACAGGTGAAATCGCTAAATCAAAAGTCAGTGTAAATATGATTTAATTGAAAAGAATTCATACAGACAAACATTTAAATCATCATTAATATCTTTGCGCTCAAACAATACTTGCTGATTTTTTAAAAATGGCGTGAAAATTGAAGGTTTTTGACGCTATGTAAGATTAAAATTTGATTGGCTAAATAATTTTGGATCCTAGCCCTGATAGATAAATTTTGTAGAAAGCTGGAAGCCAAGCTTCGATTAAATTTTTGGATTGCTTCGGAGTTTTAGGTTGTTTCTCAGTAAAATCTTAACGTAATACCGGCTCGCCACGGCGAGACGGCAATATGAATGTCTGTTAATTTCGTAAATTAATTAAAATTATTTCACAACATCAGCAAACGTTAAACTATACTGATTAAAGTAATAATAAAATTAAGCAACAAAATATGTAATGAATGTAAATAATGGCAAACTTCGCCACTTTCCGTTTCTAATAGATAACCGTGTTTTTGAAATTTTATCGAGTTAGCAGGATTGACTTTTGCTTACAGTCACGAAGACGCTCATTTGAACTTATACAAACACGGAAAATAACGAAATATGCCGATTTCATCCGAAATATTCATATATGGAATACATTCAAAACTTACATAATGATCAAAACTTTAGGAAAGTTTGTTTCAACGCCTTCCAGCTGACAGATAAAAACACAGGACGCCGCTATATAGAGGGCGCTGCCAGATTTATTCAAAGCAGACGAGAATGGTACAACAAATCGGGAGATGCGCTTGTCAATTTTGTTTTTGTACTCCATGAAATAAAGGGTGTCGGGGATGGCAATGGCTCTGAATTTGAGAAAAGAAATTATATATAAGTGATAACGTTATATATATTTTAACATGTGAATTTAATACCTTATTAATACTGGCTAAACATAACATGAGATAGAAATATAATAGCTACACTAAACAGCTAACACAAAAAACCGACGTGAAACCTATATCTACATGTATTGAGAATATTTCAAAAATTAAAAAAAATAAGTTTTATTTCATTACTTTGCCGTATTTCCATTTGAAAATTGTATTCTTTATGTATTATGTAAATACAATGTACTGTCATGTTACGGTAAATACTCGCATATAGGACGCACACGCAGCACGCAGCATTGAGTTACCGAAAACAACTCGACGCCCTGACAACTAAGAAAAAATTAGAAGATAAACAGATGTAAATAACTCACGAGCTAGCAGTTGCAAAAGTTATCATAAACGGTCTTATCAGGTTGGCGAAGAATATTAAAGGATTACGTCTTATGATGATGAAGAAGGTCAATGGGACGACAAAGAACATGAATATCGCCAAACCCAACATGGACGCCAGTATAAACATTCCAAGACGCTCAAATGTCCCCTCAAGATCACCAGTTTTCGCGAGGACAGTTGCTATGAGACTAGCGACACCTATGGGCGTAAACCTTCAAAAGATAATGAATAATGATCATTTATTTGTATAATTGCTGACAAATGTTCGTTCTTGAAATGTTACAATCTTAGGGACTAAAACAACTATCTAAAATTTGAAATTGCAAATACCATTTAAATAATAACTGACGGCAAGAGTGAGCCTAAATTACACAAAAGAGAAGTATATTGATTACTAGCCTTACCAAATTAGCCATCGTAAAACTCGCAGTATTACTTCCGACGCCGACTGGAAAAACATGAGGAAATGTTTACCATGTTTTCCAACTGATGCTGTGCCGACACCAAACAGTGTACAACATATAATGAGCCCTGAAGAATACAAGATTTTAATGACAATTGTTTTGGCATTTTGGGGGTGGGGTTTATTGAAATTTGCCATTCCATTGTATTACGATTGTGGTTGTGTTGTTATTTTTGTATTGTATTGGTAAATTGTAAATTTTAAGGTATAATTCGTTTCCCTAAACAGGGACTTTTTGTAACCAGAAAAAAAAGCTTGACTGATAATGTACATTTGCACAATGGTTGTTTTTCAATTTTTTTTGTCTCGTTTTGGAGTTTCAATCTGATCAAGTGGTGTAAATACTTATAGGTCGCAAAAAGTTGTTCATTGCAAGAACTTATTTATGTATCAATATTCTAAGCAATTTTAACAATTTAAAACTAATGGTTATCAGGGAACATATTAATATGTATATGTTTATGCAGATGAACTCATGTATTCATTGATTGAGGAAGTAAGAAAGTGTATATACAAACTACCGTGAAAAAATTGACGATTCAACAAATTTTCTTTCAGATCACATACACTCTTACTTTCGTATGTTTCAAATAAAATAGCGAAATTATTGTATAAAAATATGGCGAGGACTCAAATACTGTTTTGTCATGACCTTATCTGTTCAAAGGAAAATAGTAGGTCACATGAAAAATGTATTTCCTCATAAAAACGGACAGGGTGAATTGTTTATGCAAATATAGCGTGCTATATTATAATTTAAGGTTGCAAGCAGGAATTGAAATCTCGGGGAAATTTCATATACAAGCTTTTGTTTACTTTTTGATTTGTACAAGGTTTTAAGTTTTTGAGAATTTTGTGAAGAAATTTCCCTTTGACAACTTATTATAAAGGGCCAATAAAAAATGTTAAATTGGGAAAAAGGAAATATGTATTGACTTATTTTGTATGGAGCGTTTGGTAAGCTCCAAACCGATTGCTGCCTTTTTAAAGGGCAGTTTGGTAAATCCACGCCGAATAAATGGTTCCTATCATTGTCCAAAAATTTAATAATTTGGAAATAAAGAACGCGTTTTAAAACATTATTTTGATATCAATCATGCTTTTAAAAAACAAAATATTAAAAAAGCTGAATTTTTCCCTTAACAATTTAAATTAATTAAATATTATTAATTTTCTTAAAAGTTAAAAAAATTAAGAGCATGAAATATTTACATTTCAGACAACCCAAAACAAATAAAAACTTCTTAAGACAAACTCCCAACAAAATTTAATTTACACCTATGTCCGTTTTAGGCCCGGGAGATAAAAACCGTAAATAGTTACCAATTATTTAATAGTTATTTAACATTGTCAAGATGAAATTAAATAAATCATTACAACAAAGAAAAAAAGTTAGGTATTTTTCCATCACAGGACCGACGACTCTTTGCGTGCATTTAACCGTTGTAAAAAAATTTCCAAAGACTATGAAACAAAGTGATGCTATGCTTATTGATTGACATCATATTTATGCCTAAACAATGTTCTTCTTCGTTCTTATTCTGAAGTATATTAAACGTCGACTTTACTTGGCACATAACAAATAGCATCGTCTTGAATGCCAGAGTTTTAACCCATACATGTATCTGATGAGAAGATTTAAAATTTATTAGATAAACATTGTTTATTTCGTTATCTGTGAAAAGTGATTAATCAATACTTTCCTAATTTTTCTAATTTTAGGCTTGGAGTGCTTATTTTCCTAATAGCCACAGTTTGGATACAATCTAGTATAGACTATAGTATTTATTGTAATATTATATTGACTGCACATTTAAAGCTACAAATCTCCAGATCAGCTAAAATATTTCAAGAAAACCAAACTTAAGAAATATGTATCAACCCTTTAAGAAAAGAAAAAAAATAAGATTCAAGGAATAATATACATAGTATGTGCGATAAGTGACTGATTTGCAGTATTTATCGCGTGACTAACGCAGTAAGGACCATTTTTGCATATTTTGATCTGCTTTTGGTATTTTACGTGGATTGTAAATGCCATTTGAAATGGGTAAATCACTGTCTTTGTTTTCTTGACCTTTTAATACAATTTTCATGAAAATTAGCATGAATCTGAAGACATAAGAAAACCGACCAAAGAAGATGGTTTTGCATAAAAATTAATTAAATGGGAATATTAATTTTTTTAATTGGAAATTAATATTAATTAAATAGGGAATTGTTCTTCACAAAATTCGCTAAAAATAAATTTGCATTACAATTTGAAAACTCTAAAAGCCTTTTGTTTACTTAAAATTTTTTTTGTTTTTTGTTTTTTATTACATTCTCACGTAATTTTGGGGGGAATTCCCTTATTACATTCTGCCATACAACATAACCCAAATTTTCCCCTTCTACCTTTTTTTTAATAATAACAGTTTTTCACACCTTGTGAAATTAAGTGTCATGCAAAGCATTCAAGCAGATCATAACAACAAATTTAAGATCTAGATAGGTGTTTTGTCTCAATAGTGGGGTCAAATTAAGAATAAAGCAAATAATATGAACTGAATCAGGTGGTCTTAAAAGTGGATAAGCGGTTGTTCTTAATTCTGGATCATGTAACCATTGACATAAAGAACCTAAAAAATAGTCTTATTAAGGGGTTGGTCTTAATTCAGGGGTGGTCTTAAGTAGGGATTCTACTTTACATTGAAAGTAATCAATTATCAATCAATTACTCTCTTAAAGTAATTGTAATTCAATTGATTACAGAGGCAAGTCTGAGTAATCAATCTTAATCAATTACAATAAAATCTGAAAGTAATTGTAATTAAATCAATTACTGATCAGCGTAATCATCCCCAGGTCTGATCTTCACAAAGTAATTTACCCATTTCGAACGAGGTAAATTAAGGTCTTAATGTTTAGACGTAAAGATATTAAAAAAAACTATTAAAATTAAGATAGTAGCGTGTTCTGTTGTCATATTTTTTGAGATAATGCTATAGATGGTTGTTCGCATGATTTTCATAAGTTACTAGGAAAGCGTCCTTATTAACAAGATTACGTGAGGATGTCACGATAGTTAATTATTACATGCTGGGAAATAGATCATTTTAAGTCCGAGTTACAAGACAAGACTTAGTTGTAAATAAGAAATAGCTGTAACTTGGTATTTATTTCGTTTGTTTGTTTGGGGTTTACGTCACATCGACACAGTCACGGGGGTGGAACCCCATATGTCTCTCAAAAATGAGCATCGGTTAAAATTATATGTGAATTTCCGCTGCACCAGATATGAAGCATTACACCAGATGTGACTGCTCAGGGTATGTTTTCATCTTTTTAACATTTATTTAAAATTCAATCTTTTTTTATAAATCGAAATGTTATTCTACCCTCCTGATTCTCCTCTACATTACCCATTTTTGTTTTAGATTTCTATGCAGTCTTCATCGAGATATTCTTTCCGTCTTGGGTTCTGGTGTGTCCAAAACATGCAATGTGAATGAAGAAAATGTCACTAAACGGAGCCTCCCACTCCCCCCCAAAAAAACCAAGAGATTTTAATAAATCTCAGTACAGACCGATGCTTACCATTCAAACAAATCCTGATTTAAACATTTAGTGAGATTTGGCTACAAACGAAAGAATCGCTGCTCAAAATTGCATTTGAGCTCCATATATGCTGAAGAGATCCATAAGTGATGTAGAAAACAATCTTCAAAACTACGGGCCACTTCCATATAATCATTAAAAAGACAATGTATAGAACCAATTCAAGTTTCGTAGCTTTGGCTGAAACTTCAATAGTTTCATAAGTGTGTTTGATCACCACAATGACAGGACTCACTAGCTTATGCTAGCATTAGAAATATTAAGGGGTAATCACTGCGTAAAGATTGTCAAATGACAGGCGCATTATTTTTCGTCACGAAAAACTAGTTCCCGATTGGTTGAAGATTTCTTATATTGTGTAATTCTTACAGATTTACATGCTTTTATTCAGCTCCATGATTATTTACTTCAATGTTAAACAACAGCTTTACCGTTAACAAAATATATCGAAATTAAAAAGGGTTACAAACTCTAATTAAGAATAATATGGTATTCTTCAGGCTATTATCTTATAACCCCCATGGTCGGGGGGTTTACACGCTCGCCGTAGAAGCGAAAGGTCCGGTGTTCAAATCCCAGGGAGTTCAAATCCCAGTTTAGGCAACTCATGTTTTTTGTTTTTTTTATTTACAACTGTATTTATTTATTTATTTGTTTATTGATTAAGCCAAATAAACATTAAATTAAATACCAATGTTGCAATTAGTATTATAGCCAATTTACTATGGTTATAACATATAACACTGGAAACAGAATTTGGTTACATTTTACAAACAAATTGGTTTATAATCTCGCAACCTTCAACTTTCTTCAAACAAATTCAGCGCCTTCCGTGCTTTGATTTTTTATGGTCAAAAAACATGGTCTGTAAGGTAAACCTGAGATGCCGCCCAAGGTCATGATATTTCTAAATGTTCGAAATATTATAACTGTTTTATGGCATGATAAACAGAAATAAGTATATAAATAAATATAAAATGGCTTCTCTTCATAAATTTAATTCCCCACTCGGAACCTCGGCCTCTTGACAATGACCAATATATTATAAACCCAACACCATATGAGCCAATCAGAAGGATGTTGGGTGTTCCTGCATGATTGGTTGGGTGATCAAAAACACAGAAAAAATATTGCTGTAAATAATTGGGACGCGCCAGTATTACGCTAACCATTTTTGATGGCATGCTTAAAGATGGATTTTTAAATTAATATCAGTTACAGAGCAGGCATAAAATAAGTCAAATAGACATTGACCCATAATTGCGACTATGGACATGAAGTGAACCATGTAATTATTATGCAAGGACGTTCCTTGATGTGAAAAATAACTATGAAAAGTTTCTTTGATCTTTTTCAAAAAGTTTATCACTTAATTTCTAACAGCTTCATAACAAATTCAAACACGCTTAACATTACTCCCCTATTATAGGCGGACATGTGCAGTGCAGTCGAGTGAACAATTAGTTAATTAATTAATTAATGCATGACGGCATGAAAAGGGAATGATTGCAATAGACATGACGTCAATAAATCAAAATAAGCAAGGTCTTCCCACCATATCTATACGTATTTTCAAAACCTTTCGTATACAGAATGTCTTTTATCTCTTTCTATATAGATGTTTTGTTATTCAAGCTCGTCTGGTGAAAATGTGTCTATTCCGGTTTACCGGAGGGGACTTTAGGTTTACCCTCCGTCCGTCTGTCCGTCCGTCTGTCTGTCAGTCCGTCCGTCCGTCCGTCCACAAAACTGGATCCCGCGATAACTTGAAAAGTGCTGAAAATATTTTTATGAAACTTGGTATATGGATAGATGGCAGTATGGAGATTATGCACGTCTTTTTCTTTTCTTCTTATGTTGAAAATTCTGGTTATTATGGCAACAAATAGGCTGAAAATGTGGCAAATTTTACACATAAACTGGATCCAGTGATAACGCAAAAAGTACTGGAAATATTTTTATGAAACTTGACATATGGGTAGATGGCAGTCTTGGGATTATGCACGTCTTTTTCTTTTCTTCCTATGTTGAAAATTCTGGTTGCTATGGCAACAAATAGGCTGAAAATATGGCAAATTTTACACATAAACTGGATCCAGTGATAAAGCAAAAAGTACTGGAAATATTTTTATGAAACTTGACATATGGGTAGATGGCAGTCTTGAGATTATGCATGTCTTTTTCTTTTCTTCCTATGTTGAGAATTTTGGTTGCTATGGCAACACATAGACTGAAAATATGGCAAATTTTACACATAAACTGAATCCAGTGATAACTCAACCTTTCCAACAAGTTTACTTAAAATAGAGAAAATTGAAACATTAGTGAATGGCCAATGGCCCTTCAGAATGTTGATGGGGTTCTAACCGGTAGGGGACTTATGGATTGCTTGCAATACTATGATAATTGCTTGTTATTACAGAATTATACACAATAGAATAAATTATAGATTGCTTCATGAAAGTGATGCGTAATTGATCATTCAAGCTGGCAGGGGTCTTACAGATAAGCCAGTCGGCGATCGTTATCAGTTTCACGCTATGATGTCATTTTCCTTAGACAACACGCCCGTTTAACTCACAACGAGTGAAAAATGTCCATCGGTTAAAATGTTGTGAGCAACTTCCGTTCCTCGTTGTGAGCACCCATCTTTGACGTGTGACACGATAAACAAGGTGAGTTTTTCATAATTTTAGAAGATTACAGACATTTATGTAAAAATATCGAAATGCAGTTAGCTAGCAATGTGTTTTCTGAGTATGCACATTTAAATATATTGCCTGTTGGTGGACAATTTGATGGAAATACCGTGCGACGCAGTCACTCGGGGTAGCAGGAAAACTGGAGACAACTTCTCTTTGGACCTAATTTAACATTGAAAACGTCGATTCTGGTGACGTTTTGTGCATTCTAACCTAAAACAGATGCCCTCAAGTCTTCAGCGAAAATTATTATCTGAAAGTCTTCATAGAAACGAAGATATACCCTTTTTTGCTTTAATCCTCGTTGTGAGCAGCACCGTCCCGGCTCGTGAAAATATGTGGCATTTTATCATGTTTCGTGAAAATATATTCCATATTTCACTCAAACGAAAAAATATCCTCTTAATATATACATGTATATATATCAGTAACTCTTTATGTATGAAGATAATAAGTTATATAGCAAGTACAAAAGCAGAGACATGGATATTATCTAGACGTTATCTACATCTCTGACGAGAGAAATAAAGAATCCCTAAAGAACGTACAAACTACAAAATGACAAAATTGAAAATGTTGCAGGCTCGGTTTGATTGCGCCTGTTCATGAACGGTAATGCATGGAATGTGCAAGTAACCGTCCACGCCCCCTACCACTGGCTTAAGCAGTACAGTAAACTTCACTTATAGCGAACACGGTTATAGCGAACTTCCGGTTATAAGGAACAATTTATTTTGGCCCGAATTTTGCCCTTCTTTATTTAATATAAAAATATACGGTTATAGCGAACACGGTTATAAGGAATTATCGCTTATAAGGAACTCATTTTTTAGTCCCAACTTAGTTAAAAGTGCATAAAATTACACTTTTATAACGAACTCCAAATTTCGTCTATTCGTAAATATATCCCGCATTTTCAACTTTGGTTTTCATTTGCAAGGAATAAAACTCGCGGAATGTACCGTTTATTGTTGTATGTAATTCAATTTATGAAAATGAATTTGTATAGAAGTATGTAATAGTTTTCTATTTAGGATATTTTTAGCTTGTGTTCTTGTCACAAAGATAAAACGGTAATTCCCTTTATTTTATAATTTCTTTTCTTGAATAGTTTGCTCAAGTAAAATAATTATCGGTTTTCAACATAATCACGCATGCTTGCAAACATAATCCATAGAAAACTACAAAGTATGCTTGATGGAAATGAAAAGAAATATATATGTTATTAGTTAAAGTCACCCTTAAAATATAATAGAAGATATTCAATATAAAAGGAAGAAAAATGGAAAATCTTGTCTATTCTTATTCATTGAAAGAAAACGAAAAGCACAGTGCAGTGAGTTAAGAAACGAAATATGATGTTTTATGAAAAATTGAGAAAGAGAGTAAAACTAAAACTGAAATAGCAAAGGATTTTCAAATTCCAAAATATACGCTCTCGGGTATTGTGTCTAAAAAAAGAAATAAATGATTATTCTTAATCAAATGCCCTTAAAAATGGCGGACAATGTTTAACAATCAGTTCGTTATATGTAAATCTGTTCGCTATAAAAACTCCTGATACAAGGAACTAATTCGCTATATGCTTACAAGGAACTCCGGATATAAGGAACAGATTTTGAATGTCCCAATGAGTGCGTTCTAAGCGGAGTTTACTGTATTTAACATGTCCTGGTAAAATATGGAATTTTGAAATATTCCGCAGATGTGTTCATATGGCGGTTATCATGGCACCTTCAATGTGACACGTTTGTGCCATTCCATGAAAAACGACATATGGTACCCAAGTAAAAAAATGCGTTTGCCTTAAGGGTCGAACGAAATAAAATGGAATTTTGATGGGGATCAGAGGTTATGAAGCCTAGCTTTACCACAATGAAATGAAACAACGAATAAGTTTAAACAAATACTTTATTCCTTCCTTTATTACAATTATGTCAATTGATAATCACATTGTATATTATAAGGCCTGATATAACATTTTTTGTTCCTTTTTAACATAGTGTCAATAAAATGCTGCAGTAGAAAAAGCACTTGCAAGTAGAATGAGAGGATATGCAATGAATATTTAATGTGAAATTATCCTACCTAAATATTTCTATAAAAGCTCATTGAATTAAGATTAAATATCTAGATACATCTGCTTAAAAAACATCATAGGTGATCACCGTTTTGATTTAAAACCGAGGTCTCACCATCTGGTGTATGCGAAACTTATTTTGAAGTGAATTATATTGCGTTTTATCAGGAAACATATCTAATGTACAACTATACATATAATATACAAAGTTATGCAAGGGCAATGCTCCCACTTTATGCACAAATGCATTATACATGTATATTAGTGATTTCGCACATAAAACTCTAGTGTCATTTGTAAAGGTTACTGTGTTATTGATATAATCTTACTATTTATATGTTCCGCTACTTCAATTTTAACTATCTTTGAATTTGTAAACTAAAATTATATTTAGTCAAAAACATCTTCATTGAAGTCAGCGAGAAATACAACACGATCTTTGCCAAACGTTTTATTTATAATTAATGCATGAATACAGTTATCTGTTGCTTTTTAAATTCCATAATACATTGAACTATCCAAGAAAAGCATTAAAAATTTTATATATACCAATTTATATAAGGTAAATTCATTAGTCACTTAAGTGGCATAATAGTTTCCTGTAAACGTCGGTACCGTGTTTTGTCTAAGGTTCTGAATGACCGGGTCACGTGAATCAGTGGGCAGAGCAATCACTTCTCTGGCGTAATGTCAATTATGTTGCTAATTTTTATATTATGCACATATAGATCTCTTCAGCACATATGGAGCTCAGATGCAATTTTGAGCAGCGATTCTCTTTGTTTGCAGCCAAATCTCAATAAATGTTTAAATCAGGAGTTGTCTGAATGTTAAGCATCGGTTTTAGTGAGATTTCGTAAAATCTCTGCTTTTTGAGTCCGTTTTGTGACATTTTCTTTATTCACATTGCATGTTTTGGACACACCAGAACCCACGACGGAAAGAATAGCTCAATGAAGACTACATAGAAATCCAAAACAAAAATGGGTAATATAGAGGAGAATCAGGAGGGTAGAATCGATTTTCTTAAAAAAAAAAGCATTGAATTTTAAATAAATGTTTAAAAAGATGAAAACATACCCTGCGATTGACCTATTTTTACGGTCACATCTGTTGTTATGCTTCACATCTGGTGCAGCGGTAATTCACATATAATTTTTACCGATATACATATGGGGTTCCACTCGCGTGAGTATAGGTCATATAGCGACGTTTCAGCTTTACTGGTGGAGGAAGACCTAAGGTGCCCTTCCGAGTATTATTTCAGGCACGAGCGGGCATCTAAGTAGTACCACCGACGTTCCGTAAGCTAGCTGGATAGCTTCCTCACATAAAAGGATCCAAAGTCCCTGTCGGGATTCGAACTCACAACGTTGAGGTAAAAACTAGGTAAATTGCAAAGAAAGTAGATCCAGTTCAAATGTAGACTTTTCATAAATGACACTCAATGGAAATGTAAAAGTTATCCGGCGAGGATATACACTTTTAATTTAGTACTTTCTCTGCCTGTAAGTCTTTTTTATTTAGAACTATTTTCTTGGCGTTCATACCTTCTTGACATACACATGAGTGAGTAAGTATCAAAATTCATACCTAGGACATTTGTGCCATTGGTTTTCCCGAGTTTCTTGACGATAGCCGTTACGTTATTGTCGTTTGCTTCATCATAAAGCATTACCTCGTCATACTCTGTTATCGTCTGCAATTATTGAAGCCAACTATTAATAGTTATTCAATTAAGTTCATGCTAAAAACGAGAGCATATCAAACGAAATTAATGAAAGACCTTTTTTGAAATTTGATGACAGCATCTGTGAAGAAAAAGGAAGATTAAATGTGTACCCAAAACCCGTTAAGATATATAAAATGTATGTTAATGAAGAAAACCGGATATGACGAACAATCGCGCATGCCCAGTGATGTTCGCTATGGCCGGAAATACAAATAGCTGCAAATGCAAGAATTTATTTACAAATTAGAAGGGAAAACTTGTTACGCTACACAAATATGATAAGAAAATTTGAAAACTAGAAATAAGAGACCAGTTATAGATCATTGACACCAATCATAATCATTTTAAGTCCATCTATAGGCGCCATTTTATTACTTTTTTGTTATGTCTTTTAAAAAATGATATCCTACTACCGAACCCAAAGAAAATGAATTTAAATCACAATTCAGGACTGCAAATCATAGTGAAGGTTAGTTTAACATGAACTGATCACTGCAATTTCTAGTTATCGTTTTATTTTAGTTGAAAATTAAGAGAAAATCATCATTATATTAATGATGCACATTTACAAACCTGGTGAAACGCAGCAGTTATCAAATTGTCGGGGAATAGATTTCTGAAAATAATATTATATCAAACATATATTAATCATTGCATAAAATCATTACAAACATCACTAAATATAGCAGAATATTCGTATTTTTATCAACATGAAAGTGCATATATATAGAAAATCAAAATGACGTTCATTGTTCACAGATACAGAGCTGCTTAGCTCCAAACGCCTTTAACACCAAACAAATTGTATAATTGTCGATATCAGTACATACATGTACCATATGTAATCAATAAAACCCTATACATTTTTATAAATACGCTATTCTTAAAAAGAAAATCTTATAGATATGCATTTTAAGCTGAACACCGGCATTGTTCATTTATATTTGCGCGCGCAGACAAACATGACGTCATCGAAAATAAGCCATGAGAACTTCTGTTGACAAGCAGTCCCTTTACGTCTCATTTTCATTTCATTCCCTTAAGCTTTATTTTAAACAAATAGTTTTCTATCTTTACAAAGCGATTTGTTTTAAACAATTATTGATATTCAAAAATATTACATGTCTCCAATGGCATAATGGTCAACTAATCCATTTGGAATGTTTTTAAGAAAAGAAAGAAAAAACATCAACAAAGAAACCACCAACATAACAGAAATGAAAAGAAACATATCTGGTACCTGATTAGGTCCGCAAAAATATCTTGCGTCTGCATGACACGCGAGCTGGTTTTACGCTCAGTAAGAGCTTTCTTCACACTAGACCCTGTAAAACGGAACCAGAGTACATGTATCCCCCATGTCATTATGGTGACTTAATTTTATCCCCCACACATAATGATAAAAAAATTTGGTAGATCTACCCTGACATCATGAGAGTGAAATAGTTAATCCCCTACAAACCATAATAGTGAAATATTTTATCCCCTTCAAACCATAATAGTGAAATATTTTATCCCCTTCAACCCATAATAGTGAAATATTTTATTCCCTGCAAACCATAACAGTGAAATACTTTATCCCCTACAAACCATTATAGTGATATAGCTTATCCCCTACAAACCGTAATAGTGATAAAGTTTATCCCCTACAAACCATGAAAGTGAAATAGTATATCCCCTACAAACCATGACAGTGAAATAGTGTATCCCCTACGGACCATGACAGTGAAATAGTTCATCCCCTTCAAACCATGACAGTGAAATAGTTTATCCCCTACGGACCATGATAGTGAAATAGTTTATCCCCTACAAACCATGACAGTGAAATAGTTTATCCCCTTCAAACCATGACAGTGAAATAGTTTATCCCCTTCAAACCATGACAGTGAAATAGTTCATCCCCTTCAAACCATGACAGTGAAATAGTTTATCCCCTACGGACGATGATAATGAAATAGTGTATCCCCTTCAAACCATGACAGTGAAATAGTTTATCCCCTTCAAACCATGACAGTGAAATAGTTTATCCCCTTCAAACCATGACAGTGAAATAGTTCATCCCCTTCAAACCATGACAGTGAAATAGTTTATCCCCTACGGACCATGATAGTGAAATAGTATATCCCCTTCAAACCATGACAGTGAAATAGTTTATCCCCTACAAACCATGACAGTGAAATAGTTTATCCCCTACGGACCATGATAGTTAAATAGTGTATCCCCTTCAAACCATGAAAGTGAAATAGTATATCACCTACAAACCATCATAGTGAAATAGTTTATCCCCTACGGACCATGATAGTGAAATAGTTTATCCCCTACAAACCATGACAGTGAAATAGTGTATCCTCTACAAACCATAATAGTGAAATAGTTTATCCCCTACAAACCATGACAGTGAAATAGTTTATCCCCTTCAAACCATGACAGTGAAACAGTGTATCCCCTTCAAACCATGACAGTGAAATAGTGTATCCCCTTCAAACCATGACAGTGAAATAGTGTATCCCCTACAAACCATGATAGTGAAATAGTTTATCCCCTAAAAACCATGATAGTGAAATAGTTTATCCCCAACAAACCATAATAGTGAAATATTTTATCCCCTTCAAACCATAATAGTGAAATATTTTATCCCCTTCAAACCATAATAGTGAAATATTTTATTCCCTGCAAACCATGACAGTGAAATACTTTATCACCTGCAAACTGTTATAGTGATATAGCTTATCCCCTACAAACCATAATAGTGATAAAGTTTATCCCCTACAAACCATGAAAGTGAAATAGTATATCCCCTACAAACCATAATAGTGAAATAGTTTATCCCCTACGGACCATGATAGTGAAATAGTTTATCCCCTACAAACCATGACAGTGAAATAGTTTATCCCCTTCAAACCATGACAGTGAAATAGTTTATCCCCTTCAAACCATGACAGTGAAATAGTGTATCCCCTTCAAACCATGACAGTGAAATAGTGTATCCCCTACAAACCATGATAGTGAAATAGTTTATCCCCTAAAAACCATAATAGTGAAATAGTGTATCCCCTACAAACCATAATAGTGAAATATTTTTATCCCCTTCAAACCATAATAATGAAATATTTTATCCCCTTCAAACCATAATAGTGAAATATTTTATTCCCTGCAAACCATGACAGTGAAATACTTTATCACCTGCAAACTGTTATAGTGATATAGCTTATCCCCTACAAACCATAATAGTGATATAGTATATCCCCTACAAACCATGAAAGTGAAATAGTATATCCCCTACAAACCGTAATAGTGATATAGTATATCCCCTACAAACCATGAAAGTGAAATAGTATATCCCCTACAAACCGTAATAGTGATATAGTATATCCCCTACAAACCATGAAAGTGAAATAGTTTATCCCCTACAAACCAAGAAAGTGAAATAGTTTATCCCCTACAAACCGTAATAGTGATATAGTATATCCCCTACAAACCGTAATAGTGAAATAGTATCCTACAAACCATGACAGTGAAATAGTATATCCCCTACAAACCGTAATACTGATATAGTATATCCCCTACAAACCATGAAAGTGAAATAGTTTATCCCCTACAAACCATATGACAGTGAAATAGGTTATCCCCTACAAACCATGACAGTGAAATAGGTTATCCCCTTCAAACCATATGACAGTGAAATAGGTTATCCCCTACGAACCATATGACAGTGAAATAGTTTATCCCCTACAAACCATGAAAGTGAAATAGTTTATCCCCTACAAACCATGAAAGTGAAATAGTTTATCCCCTACAAACCATGATAGTGATATAGTATATCCCCTACAAACCATGAAAGTGAAATAGTTTATCCCCTACAAACCATGAAAGTGAAATAGTTTATCCCCTACAAACCGTAATAGTGATATAGTATATCCCCTACAAACCTTAATAGTGAAATAGTTTATCCCCTACAAACCATGACAGTGAAATAGTTTATCCCCTACAAACCATGACAGTGAAATAGTTTATCCCCTTACAAACCATGACAGTGAAATAGTTTATCCCCTACAAACCATGACAGTGAAATAGTTTATCCCCTACAAACCATGACAGTGAAATAGTGTATCCCCTACAAACCATGACAGTGAAATAGTGTATCCCCTTCAAACCATGACAGTGAATAGTTTATCCCCTTTAAACCATGAAAGTGAAATAGTGTATCCTCTACAAACCATGACAGTGAATAGTTTATCCCCTACAAACCATTACAGTGAATAGTTTATCCCCTTTAAACCATGACAGTGAAATAGTTTATCCCCTACAAACCGTAATAGTGATATAGTATATCCCCTACAAACCATGAAAGTGAAATAGTATATCCCCTACAAACCGTAATAGTGATATAGTATATCCCCTACAAACCATGACAGTGAAATAGTATATCCCCTACAAACCATGAAAGTGAAATAGTTTATCCCCTACAAACCATGACAGTGAATAGTTTATCCCCTACAAACCATTACAGTGAATAGTTTATCCCCTTTAAACCATGAAAGTGAAATAGTGTATCCTCTACAAACCATGACAGTGAATAGTTTATCCCCTACAAACCATTACAGTGAATAGTTTATCCCCTTTAAACCATGACAGTGAAATAGTTTATCCCCTACGAACCATGACAGTGAATAGTTTATCCCCTTCAAACCATGAAAGTGAAATAGTGTATCCTCTACAAACCATGATAGTGAAATAGTGTATCCCCTTCAAACCATGACAGTGAAATAGTGTATCCCCTTCAAACCATGATAGTGGAATACTTTATCCCCTTCAAACCATGACAGTGAAATAGTGTATCCTCACAAACCATGATAGTGAAATAGTTTATCCCCTTCAAACCATGACAGTGAAATAGTGTATCCCCTTCAAACCATGATAGTGGAATACTTTATCCCCTTCAAACCATGACAGAGAAATAGTGTATCCCCTTCAAACCATGATAGTGGAATACTTTATCCCCTTCAAACCATGACAGAGAAATAGTGTATCCCCTTCAAACCATGATAGTGAAATAGTGTATCCCCTTCAAACCATGACAGTGAAACAGTGTATCCCCTTCAAACCATGACAGTGAAATAGTGTATCCCCTTCAAACCATGATAGTGGAATACTTTATCCCCTTCAAACCATGACAGTGAAATAGTGTATCCTCACAAACCATGATAGTGAAATAGTTTATCCCCTTCAAACCATGACAGTGAAATAGTGTATCCCCTTCAAACCATGATAGTGGAATACTTTATCCCCTTCAAACCATGACAGAGAAATAGTGTATCCCCTTCAAACCATGATAGTGAAATAGTGTATCCCCTTCAAACCATGACAGTGAAACAGTGTATCCCCTTCAAACCATGACAGTGAAATAGTGTATCCTCACAAACCATGATAGTGAAATAGTTTATCCCCTTCAAACCATGACAGTGAAATAGTGTATCCCCTTCAAACCATGATAGTGGAATACTTTATCCCCTTCAAACCATGACAGAGAAATAGTGTATCCCCTTCAAACCATGATAGTGAAATAGTGTATCCCCTTCAAACCATGATAGTGAAACAGTGTATCCCCTTCAAACCATGATAGTGGAATACTTTATCCCCTTCAAACCATGACAGAGAAATAGTGTATCCCCTTCAAACCATGATAGTGAAATAGTGTATCCCCTTCAAACCATGATAGTGAAACAGTGTATCCCCTTCAAACCATGACAGTGAAATAGTGTATCCTCACAAACCATGATAGTGAAATAGTTTATCCCCTTCAAACCATGACAGTGAAATAGTTTATCCCCTTCAAACCATGACAGTGAAATAGTGTATCCCCTACAAACCATGACAGTGAAAAAGTTTATCCCCTACAAACTATGCTAGTGAAATCATGTTGCGTGACATGTGGAGTTATGTCAAACAGCTCTTCTGCTGGATATAAAGTTGACATATCATTAGCATAATTATATTCAAATGAAAAAAGAAGATGCAAAACGTTTAAAGTTATTTATACGAAACGCAATTACATGTATTACACTTGACTCCGAAAATTAATGGGCGACTTATTTAATTTGTCATGGATTTTTACTAAAATACTCGTGTATATTTTAATTTTATTTATGCATGTGTATACATTTTCGTTTCATCATATGGTACTTCAGGTAATAATCATATAATCTTAAGCCGAAATTATCATTAAAATGGCCGAGAATTTGCGATTGATCCTTCTATAAGTATGTGTCCGGTACATACCTGGATTCAAGAGAAGGACAATTACAGCCCCTATGACTGGTGGAACGGTGTTTGCTATGGCAATAAACGTCACAGATACCATGCTGATACGTCCTTGAGACTTTGGATTTAAAGCAGCCGTACCTAAAATAAGAGTAATTAATGTAGTTAGTCAGAAAATGTCTAAACCGAGTATCATCTCGACAGAAAAAAATTAATTCAGAATTTTTGGGGATTTTCCTATGAACTTTCAATGCACCTTTTGAAGAATGTACATTAAGATGACTAACGTGTAGACAACATTGCTATTTAACAATTTTATTATGAGTGTCCTATATTACACTATAGTTAAGTACATAACTCGACAGAATAGAAATGTAATATAAAACATGCCTTCATAAACACAGTTCATGAAAATATAGAAAATTACGGAAGCATGGAGAGGACATAGTCGATTTATTTTAATAATCTGTGGGAACAACTTATTTGTCGAAATATTTTTTATTAATCTGTGGGAACAACATGTTTTGTGAGAAAAATCTTTTTTTATTCTGTGGGAACAACATATTTTGTGAGAAAAATCTTTTTTTATTCTGTGGGAACAACATATTTTGTGAGAAAAATCTTTTTTTATTCTGTGGGAACAACATATTTTGTGAGAAAAATCTTTTTTTATTCTGTGGGAACAACTTAATTTGAGTAAAAAAAAAATTTTATTCTGTGGGAACAACTTATTTTGTGAGAAAAATCTTTTTTTTACTCTGTGGGAACAAACTATTTTCTGCGATATTTTTTACAATATCTTGTTCCCTCAAGATAATAAGTTGTGCGAACAAATTAATTATGTTGTTCCCACAACATAATTCAACCAATCAAAATAGCGATTGCCACAAAGAGTGACTGCAAAGTTAAGTCCCTTTTTAAAAAGTCGCCATTTGCACACAATTGCAATAATGGTAGAAGAAATGTTTAGAAAAACATCTCTATCCATTTTTCTGACAACAAGATGCAAGAATTTGATTGGTTGAATTATGTTGTGGGAACAACATAATTAATTTGTTCGCTCAACTTATTATCTTGAGGGAACAAGATATTGAAAAAAATATAGCAGAAAATAAGTTGTTCCCACAGATTAAAAAAAGATTTTTCTCACAAAATATGTTGTTCCCACAGAATAAAAAAAGATTTTTCTCACAAAATATGTTGTTCCCACAGAATAAAAAAAGATTTTTCTCACAAAATATGTTGTTCCCACAGAATAAAAAAAGATTTTTCTCACAAAACATGTTGTTCCCACAGATTAATAAAAAATACTTCGACAAATAAGTTGTTCCCACAGATTATTAAAATAAATCGACTATGTCCTCTCCATGCTCCCGTAGAAAATAGAACCTTGCAATATTTTATTTATTTGAATTCCTTTTACCGGAGTTTGCCGGAAAGAACCGAAAAGTAGCGATTTTTATGACGTACAATTTAATTTTATATTAAGAAATCGAACAGATCAATATATTCTACCTGTTATAACTGTAGAAATGATTAATGGTAAAATCATCATTTTCAACATTCTCATATAAACCTCGCCAGGTAAACCTAAATAAAAAAACATGACAGAAATTAATTATATGCAAATATTTCTAAATATTTTTACGCAATAAATTAAACATTTATTTTTTTTTCAATGTATAATTGTAGAAAAATGCATATTTTATTATATACTTATAAATGAAATATTGAGAAATAGTAATGAAATAAAATGCGTATTTTCATTTTTCGTGTTTTCACTGTAAAAAAATTATTTTTCACTGCAGTGAAACATATTTTCCGTATTTTCACTGGTGTTTTGCTGGACTACTTTCTTTTAAATTACGAATCAAAAAATTTGAGGCGAAATCTTTCAAATTATAATATCAAAAAGAAAAATATACACAATGAACAGAAAGTTTTTCTCTATATGATGCTTATTTTCATACCACTCGATGAAAATAAAGAAAAAAAAAACTTGAATATCCTCTATTTATTTATATATGCATTCAATATTTCCGTCATCTTGTTCTATGACTGCTTTTAGAGTAATACCTATAGTTGGTATCTAGTTGGTAATCTATATAGAAAGAAATTCTTGTAATTTAGATTTAAATCTAAAATACAACATAACTATTTTGCCATAAAATTATTTTATTGACATTTATGAAACGCTATTTGCAGCTGCATTTATGTCTCCGAAGGTTTGACTCAAATCATGTCATAAATTGTATTATAAGGTCAAGTTAACTGTGAAAAGTCAAGGTAACTGTGTATAGTCAAGTACAGTATACTGACTAATCATTGTTTATTTTGTCTAGTCAAATTAACAATGAACAGTCAAGGTAACAATGTATAGTCAAGTTAACAGTGAAAGGTCAAGTTAACAGTGTATAGTAAATAAACAATGATTAGTCAAATTAACAGTGTATAGTCAAGATAACCGTGATCAGTCAAGTAATAGTGAAAATTACAGTGTATAGTCAAATTAGCAGTGTTTAGTCAAATTAACATTGAAAAGTCAAAGTCAAATTAACAGTGAATAGTCAAATTAACATTAGTCAAATTATAGTGAGTAGGGAAATTAACAATGAATAGTCAAGTATTTAACGTTGGCATCTATAGACATGTCATCGTCACGGTAAGTTCTCTTGATTTATCGAAATAAAAACAAATAAACAAATATGGTCTTTAGTTTTACCTATCCACATGATGGCGTCATCCGACGGGCTGGCCTCTCGTATACCAAATCCTAGAGCTAGGCCGAATATCACACCAATAATAGTTAAAACCACTAAAAGATTATTTTTCAAAATTCTGAAAATCGCATTCTTCCCCGACGAATTTTGTTTTTCCATTACGTTTTACTACCACGTTAAAATATTTAATGTAATTAAAATATTTATTTATTTGTATTTATTAAAATCCAGCACAATATCGCGGCCGTTGTGATGTTTTGGTAAATTGTTTACTTTGAATTGTTTATTTATACTATGTGCGGCACTGTTTTTTCCGCAATGACCTCCGCGCGTTACAATTCAAACATGCATGCTGGTTTTTCAACAACTGCAGTGAAATAACGCTAGTCGCGTGTTTCGCTGGCAAGAGGTTGAACGTAGTTTACGTCGGGACTTTTGTTATATATATGTCGTTTAATTAGTTCAAGTTCACCTACATAATTTACAAAAAAAGATATACCCATACATTTTGAATTTACTTTTGCAAAATAACTAATGAGGTCATCTAATGTCCCTTCAAATGCCGTTGTTATCCACAATGTTTATTAAATCCTAAACTGCTTAGAAAGTTTCGACCAAACTTCGCAGAAACATGTTCCTATAAATTTAATCAGGTCAGAAGCTATAATAGATCAATATTTGGAAAAAGGATATAATTTTTTGGTCAAAATCTTAGTCTTAGATATTTAGCGTTAAAGCATCGCTTAGTAATCATTTTAATACGCAAGTTTTGTAAATCATAGCTCTTTTAAAGATCGAGTCTCGGATTCACTTTAATATAAAAACTTATTTACATACATCTTATCTTTTGATTTATACAAGGCCGTTTTGAGTCCTGCATGTCACACACGTTGTATGTAATATTCTCACCGAGAAAACAGACATTATTATTAATACGCCCCATTTCAACTTCATAGTCATTGTTATCAAATGAATATAAGAAGCATCCTTATTTGTTTAGACGACTTTTCCGGTGTATGAATACTGTTTAAATACATTTCTTGAAAATCGGGAAATTTTATACTGTTTTTGTATTGAGGTAGTTGATACACAGAGGGAAATTTTACACTGTTGTTGTACTGAGGTAGTTGATGTACAAAGGGCCCGCTCTGTCGGGTTACACTGTATGTAGCATTGTCTTGTCTAATTGGTCCCATATGCTGTATGGAGTACCCGAGTTCCAACAGAGTTATGGGCCTTCCAGCTTATTTATGATCGAATATCGAAAATTGCTAGCCAGTTGCATATCTTTATTAGGTTTCCGGAGAAAATTCGCAATCGGAGATTATAGTACACCATGCCCTTGAACTTTTCATACCATTGTGTTATATTGTATATGCTGCCTGTAAAGTCACAGCATAAATAGATTTAGAGCCGTGCTTAAAAAATTACTCTTATAATTACCAAAGGTTCATAACACACAAAACAGCTGCTGGTTAAATTAGGGCATCGTATTATTAAAACATCCAGTTAGTAAAGGTTTATATGTATAATTATACTGTTAGTTTGCCAACCAAGCAAAAGCGGTATATAAGGGGAGGTAATTAGTGTCAATATTTTGGAGCTTGTATGCTCATTCTATTAGTGACCCGTGATAAACAAGTATACGATGTAGATGAATGAAAATAATTTGTGTTTAGTACAAAATTATATTTTTCCATGACAATTTTGATGCATAAATGCATTTAATTAAAACTTATCTTTTTACTTGAGACATCGATTGCCGATAATTGGGCGGGAATATAATGGGGAACGAATCAGCGATCCCTTATGTTGTTAATAAGATGCTCTTTCTAAAAACATTATATCATGGAAAATCACGACTGGCATCACACCACTACCATTATAATAAGATACTTCATAAGATAAAATAAAGTAAGACTCTCAGGCTGTTTGTGATCGAGTTAAGGTCGTTTATACCGCCAGTATTGGTTCGAATCTCGCCAACAAGATCAAGGTCGGTACCAAAACTCAGCAACTCTGCCGTGCCTTAAGTAATGCCCGAGTAAATCTGAGATTTTCTTTCATCAGTGTTTCATTATAACAGAGAAATATAACTTTACATGTATAGCTCTGTGACTATAACAATAAAGCTGGAAAAGTCACCATAAATCAAAGAATGATATATTGCGGAAATATTCGAAAGTATGCTAAAGAAAAACTAAATTTTAATGAAATTATTTTATTATCACAATAAACATAGCACAAAAACATACAATTACTATCAAAAACCAACAAATTAAGTACTACTAGAATATGCGGGTGTATAATTATTATATATAATATTAGTAAAAGAAAACCAGACAATTTAGAGAAAGTGTCTTTTTTACGAGTGAACAAAAACCCAATGAAAATCGAAAAAGATTTAGATCAAAGCAACATTTTGATTGTCGAAATATCTTCTGAAATATGATGTAAAGATAATAAATACAATTCTTGATATGCATACTGTTTTTTCATGGGAGATAATTAATATTGTACACATTATCTTTTTAATTAAATCTCTAGGAATAAGTAGTATTACACTGGTTATTTTATAGATTATATTGAATAAATTCAATGCATTTTCATATGAATAAAATATCTCTTTACTATTAATTGTAAAACGGTCAGAGAAATAAGAAAAAGCAGGATTTTTTACCATAAAAACAATACCTCATAAATTGCAATGATCATTAAAATGACATTTTATCAATTAGGAATATACATGTAATATATTTGAAGAATCATAATGAACACATTAAATTATAGCAGTTTTTTTTCTGAAAAACGTTCCCGAGTCAGTTGCCTATGTTTAGGACAATTATAACTACCACAATTGTAACTACCACAACTGTAACTACCACAATTGTAACTACCACAATTGTAACTATCACAATTGTAACTACCACAACTGTAACTACCACAACTGTAACTACCACAATTGTAACTACCACAACTGTAACTACCACAAGTGTAACTACCACAATTGTAACTACCACAATTGTAACTACCACAACTGTAACTACCACAAGTGTAACTACCACAATTGTAACTACCACAATTGTAACTACCACAATTGTAACTACCACAACTGTAACTACCACAAGTGTAACTACCACAACTGTAACTACCACAACTGTAACTACCCCAATTGTAACTACCACAATTGTAACTACCACAACTGTAACTACCACAAGTGTAACTACCACAACTGTAACTACCACAACTGTAACTACCCCAATTGTAACTACCACAATTGTAACTACCACAATTGTAACTACCACAATTGTAACTACCTTCTGGTAGTTCGGTAAGAAAAGAACGTTGAGAGGCAGTTTTTTTTTTAACAAAAAAATTAACATAATGCCAATATAAACATATTTGTAAACGAAAACTTATAAATAAGGTCAACATAAAAAGATTCAAAAAGTTTATCAAATTCTGAAAATATAATCAGTCTCTCCTCTATATTTTATTATTACTATGTGCATTCTTTTTTCTCGGAGAAGAAAAAACAAACAAACAAAAAAACCAACGTTCAAACAATTAAATAAACCAATACAATTTTATCAGAGTTAGGGAAACAAGAAAATACTAGGAGCGCTACCACAAATCTGGACATAATTTCTCTCAAGCTATTAATTATACCCCCGTGCACCCCATTAAGTTTTTAGGGAACTTTATTCACAATCTATACTATTTGAGCAAAGGAATACATAAATGCCCGTACATATGTAAATTAATTTGTTACCCTGATCGTATATAACAGTAAAATAAGTTGCTAACAACAATTCTTTGAAATAAATTACATGTATATCTTATAATAATACAACTTTTATTCGCGGTCCCTTCTTTCTCAAATATTAAAATATTATTTTTCAGTACAAAATGTATCTTGATCCGGCTCGGGTGGATTTTACTAGCCCAGGATCTAACGAAACGCGGCAGCTCCGAGTTTGACCCGCCTTTAATTATATACCTCATCGAATCTGTTAATTACATCAGCACGTATTTCTGAATCACACTAGCATACAATACGGATTTCCATGTGATATATTGCAGTAAATACAAAATATGAACAGGTATGTGATAGAACTGTTAACGTTATAATACAAATAAATTAATAGTAAAAACTGATCATTAAACTAGTAAATATTGGCAGTTTTAACAACACATTGAGTATCAAATAAATAAAACACAATAAAGTGTATGTACAAGATCGTAATACCGGAAGTGACATGATATGAAACAGTATATAGGTCCACATTTCGCTTGAATCTGAAGTATTTCAGTACATTGCAAAATGCAAAATTGATTTCTACGTTACTTTACATTTTTCAAAATTTTGAAAATAATTTAAGCCAGGTCCCACATACTAACATCAATTATTCTAAAACTAGAAAATAATCTGTCTGAAAGACATATAATGCGCGGAATATTTTAACCCTATTTGTTGTAAATGTACTTATATTTGAGCAAACACTATATCTAACAAAAGTTGAACACAAATTATGTATAAACTTCACAACATCGGAGAACTGTCCATTGTGTCTGTCTCTTTTACTACGTTACAATTTCCATTTTGAACACATCCATTTGGCACATCCGGTGTTGGCAGTGTCTCATCTGACGTCACATCCTGTTTGATCGTCTGCTTCGTGTCATTCAATGACTGACCCGCAGTTTCGGATGTGAGGCCGAAAGTGAACAAAAATTGTAACGAGAAGAAACCGGCGGCCACTGTAGGATATAACCACGAGATGTTTGTAGAAAGTACGGTTGCTCCAATAAATGCAGTTATAATGCCCGGAAACGCTATGACCATGTACATGGATGCCATGGCGATGCTACGGCTGTCTGTAGGATACAGCTCCGGTGTATAGGTGTTTAGTATTGAGTAAATCGGTACCATAAAGAAGTAAACTAATATAACAAAGACTGTCTTTACAATGGGAACTCCAATAAATGCAAACAAAAGTAGTCCTAGCGCTGTTGCAAATGAAAACAATCGTAAACAACGAATCCTTCCGAATTTTCTATGCTCTATAATTACCATTGTTAAACAAAGTCCAGGTATTTCACCAATGTATACGGCAAACATATTAAAATAAGGGTCAATTTCTATGGACATTAAATATTCGGGTAAGTACATCGTAACACCCCAAAATCCCATTGACTGGAAAAACCAAACGAGCATTGAAAAAGTTGTCCTTTTGCGCAGGTCCTTGGAAAATAGATCTTGTACTCTTCCGCGTTCAGCACTGGGAGGACAAACTATTTCTCCTAAAATTGGAAGGAATATGTTTAACATTGATTATAATACGCAATGAAAATTTTCGGTAAATAATCAAAACAGCTTTCATAAAGTCACTTTAACTTTGAAAGCGTTGCTGTTGACTAAAAATCCTAGATAAAAAATGACAATATAATAAATATACAAGTTTACACTTTTATCACATTTTGAAAGTATTTTTCACTTATTTTGACATTTTATACAAAGGAAAGCTAATGTCATCTATGTTCTGTATGTCATGGTGTAATTCGGTCAAACGCTTTGGATAGTCAGTCAACCATTTCCAGAACAACGAGAAGCCACTAGTTACCAGAAACCAAATGGTTAAAGTGTAAAAAGTATGACAGGTTTCTCATTAGACCATCGATTTTCTGGGCAAACAAAATGACGCTCCAATCGACAGTGTCACCTGGTGATTGGTCAAAAGGACTTTTCGTCCTTCAAGTCTCAGTGAACCATCAACAGTCAGATAGACCATAGACTCTGATTTAAAACCTGACTTAGAATAATACATTTATACTTGTAAAACAAAATCACCATTATTGCCTTCTGAAAGTTTTGTGTTGGGTTTCACGTCGCACAAACACTGTAAAGAACGGTAAAGCGACGTACCAGCTTTACTGGTGAAGGAAAGCTGAAGGTGCCTCTTTGCACCAACGGACACCTGAGTAGAACCACCGACGTTACATTAACCAGATGCATAATTTCCTCACACGAAAGAGTCCAAAGTCCCTGGTGGGATTCGTAACCACAGAGGTGAGGGGCTTTCTTGAGTAATGTTACATATAATGTGTATACATGTACTTGGAACTATACCTTGGGGTAAGCTGGTGTTACTTTGATTGGCAATTTTCTTCAGAACCTCATACCCTCGATCTGTTTGTCCACTTATATACAGATACCGCGGCGACTCGAAGCTGAACCAAAGCCTATAAGCTAAAATAACGCATGACGGCACGGCGCATGCGCCAATAAACCAGCGCCAACCGAACTTAGGCAAGATGATCCAAGCAAGTGCAGCAGACAAGAGTGTTCCGAATGCACCACATAATGTGATCACAACCATCGTGCATCCCCGGTTCTTCTTTGGTAAACATTCTGAAAAGATTATTGATAATATTTACCAAGAAGAGATGAGTGTACCAGCTATCATGCATGCAATTTTTACAACTGATACAGAAGTTTAATCTACACTGAAAAGAATTTGAACTAAACACAGTGTCTGGCTTGCCCGTAGTCCTGAGTGGGGTTTGGTGGGGGATGATGACCCCATCTCCCGAGGCTTTGACTAGTACGTGAACCCCCTCTGAGATCTGGATATCAATTTATGTTTTTTTTAATTAAAACTCGCGAAATATAAACTAGAGAAAATCAGCAAAAAATGACCCATGACCACCGTGGAAGGCTAGTAAAATGCCAACCCCTTCTGGAATTAATATGCGCTTTACCCCCGTTGCAATTGTGCGACCCCCTGGCACTGTTTAAAATATTCTTGACCCGGGCATGTTTGGTAAGATTACATGTGCAGCTGATATATAGCAACTCAATCATAGAATTCACTTTTCAACATCCAGAAATGTCATCATTTTTTCGCATTCATAGTCACGTTCCAACGTAACTTACTAATCATGTACAATATATACATTTGCGTGTAATTTCATAATTGGACAATAAACAAAAATGAGACTTTTATTCCCGATAGACAAATTCTGTAATAGTATAGACATCTCAAAAGCAAAATTAAATGGGTGTAAACTGCAGACTCGGTTTGAGGCGGGTCAAGAAATAACGAGATGTGCTAACAACGGCAAAAATAATGAAGAAAAGATAAATGGTCCCGAATCCAAGCTGTAGCATCCTTAATGATTGTGTTTCACAAACATATAACTTCAAAACATTATCAAGTGACTCCACTCAGGTCCAAAAGCCTAAAACAAATTTGAATTTCTTACACAGTTCAGCAGGGGGAATATATGCAAAAGATAAAAAGAAGTAAAACAAAGAAATAAACTGAAAATCGTATGTTTGTGCTATTTAGAGCCAGATTTGAGTAAAAAGCGTTGCAACGCTTTCCAATTATTGGTCATTTTCCACATTTTTTCCTGGAAAACGGAGCGAGCTAATGATCTGAGATTTCGCACAAAAGTTTATAGTTTAGACCTATATCAAATGAAACATTAATTTCGAAAATTATTTCCAGTGCAGTCATGCCCAAAAAACTCAGTGGAGTTCTTTTAATCATCAAGTTGGTTCAAAGTAGGATCCAAATGACATGTGACGCACAACTATAAATATGATCATCCTTTTCTCCGTAGCCTTAAAATCGACTCATGCCTAGTTTTAAAAGTTCATAGAACCTAAAGTACCAACATGCCAAATATCTAAGATAAAAATCTGATTAAAGTTTGACTGGCATTAACTATGTTACATTGGTCTTTATCTAGTAATCGACCTATTTTAAGCTGGTAAATGCATTTTATTAATTAACTGTGCATTTTTTCATCGGATGAAAATACATTTGACCGTCTTCATCTTAATTTAGTGCAACAGATATGTTGTTTTTTCCGCCTTATCTGTGACAATCAGTGCACTTGTCAACACTTGTGACAGCCATTACGTTCATGCTAAACTTGAATTTTAAACGATAACCTTTGACAATCTAATCCGCACTGTAAAGTTTAAACTAAGTTATCATAAACATGATTCAGTTCTAACATTTCTAGTTTGCCATCTGTTACATGTCAAACACTTTTCAAGAATGCATATGTAGCAAATTGTGCGCATTTTAACTAACTGAAGATTCTACATAAATGTCCTCGTCAAAGTGCTAAAAAATGACATGTCTTCCATTAATACTAATTAATTTACTTACATTACAAAGTAATGTGTATCTATCTTTACATGCTGATACATGAGTCAGGCAGTGATCCTTTAGGCTTGGGTGCTTGAATTAGGAATAACCCCTTCGACTTACGGGTGGTCTCCCCCCCCCCCCCGGAAAAAAGAAATCTGCATATTTAATGGTGGCTTCTGGTGCATTTTAGGTGCACATTTAAAGATATATGTGTTTACATTTTTTCAAGAAGATGTCAGTCTTAAAAACAAATTAAGGTTGTAAAATTCTAATCGTTTTCGGGGGGAAAAAAGAATTTCTACATTAGTAAATGGAGGCTTCTGGTGTATATATTCAGCAACTTACATTTATTTTTAGCCAGTTTTTTCCTGATATTTTACAATTTTAAATAGGGATCCACGGCTATGCGCAAGTGCAAATTAATATTTTGTTTAACAGTACATGTAATTACTGCGCTAGTGCAATTTAATATTTTGTTTAACATAACATGTAATTACATGTATATATAGCTTTGCTAAAAATAATTTGAAATCAGTCGATATGTTTGTAATATGATCCGGTAAAAACAACGACAAGAAATTATCTCTAACAAGCTTTAATGCTGGAGTGTCCTTGAAAGAAGCAAAGACGGAAGTATGAATAAGTAGATTTATCAATTTCAAGGATAATTTTCAACTTACATGTACATTGTATAACTTGTTACGACAGAGTATTGTTAAAAGCAAATACCTGGTCGCATAACATAATAATTTCGTTAAAAGACTCGGCCATGTAAATGTGACTTTAAAGAAATCAGGCTCTTTAAAATAGAAAGACCCTGAAGACCCTGAAGAAATATAGAAATATTTTATAACATTTTACAGACATTCTTGATACACGCTTGTAAAAGAATTTCATCACCACTCTTAAATTAATAATGCAAATCCCATATGAATACAATTAAATTTGTATTCTGAATAAAGATCAACCAACGTGATAGTTTAACATTATCTGTACTAAATCCAGATTAAAATCAAACTAATTCTATACATGTGCAGTACAGTATACATGATACATATGTATACAGGTAGGCCTGCATGCTTGAATTATAAGTTCAGATCGGTGCACACGTGAATAAAATTAGCATAACGTAATGCTAATTATTCATTAGCATATTCAGTCGAATACGTACCTAAAAGAAGAACAAAGTCTACGGTTTCTATCCCTGAAGTTCCTAAGGAAACAAATGCTCGTAAAATCACAAATAGCCAAAAGTATGGTGCAAAAGCGGACGCAATACCAAACACGGAGACGAATAACAATGCCACTAGCAACGGTTTCTGTCTACCAAATTTATCACTAAGAGATCCAAATGAAAAGCTACTTATTAAACTTATAATGCCTCCACAGAATGGCAACAAAGGAAATGTCATATCATTTAAATTCCACTCAGATTTCACCGGTTTACTTAGGAACACTATGGACATCATTTCCGTGCAAGCAGCAAAATAAGCTCCGCATGTCAAAATCATCATTTTTAAATGAAACTTTCCGAATTTTATTGATGATATAACTTCATCTAGGTGAATTTCTGCACGTGCAGATGTCAGTGGTACTTCTTCGTCCCTTTGTTTCATTCTTACACCAATTCAAAGTCTAAATGTGAAGTAACTTTCGCTAAATTTTGACCTTTCCATATACCCCTTTCCATGCCGCTTTGTTTACATGTTGAAGGTCAAGGCCGCGCACTCTTCAGTATGAAGATAGCAGTGCAAAACGAAAGTAGAAAATGTTATTTTTTTGTCATCTATTTAATTGTAAACATTTTGCCGTTTAGATTGAGAAATGATGTAGGTTGTTTACATTTTTGAAATACTGTTATTATGTTCAAGATTATCTCACGATCTATACTGTATTGTATAAAGTTTTTGTGTACTGTAGTTTAATATTTTACATTTTATTTGTGATGGCGTGATTGCATGGTCATATTATGAACTGACTTAAAGGGAAGGGCGCAAGTGGTATCACGCCATAAACAATGTGTGAAAGATCCGCTTTAGATAAAGCCATGCACCATTACATGCATTATTGTATTTGAATCTTTAAAGCACAATATTAACAAAATGATTACAAGTACCTAAAGAATACAGAGAAAAATATATTGGTTTCAAGCACATCAGTTATTTAGCACTGAAGTCTGAATGTTGCATTTTAACGTGCACATTGTTGAAAGTGCACATGAACTATGGGTGCAAAAGATTTTTAACACCAGTCGCCAGTGTACGTATAAACAATGAAGTTACAACAACAACAAATCAATATAACAATGACTTTCAAACAATTTTGAAAGTATACAGACCCGGTATACAATATCTATCTGATGTATTCCTACAGAATTTAATTAAATAATCATTTATCTGAAATCAATTTGCAGTTTTGAATATCTGATGTAGAGTAAAAAGATTCTTTATAAATGTCAAAAGTCAATTTATAATTGTCACAATTCACACAACTGATTGTCACTAATTATGCCACAACTCACATTATAAATGCCAAAAATCACATTATTTATGTCACAAGTCTATAACTGTCACAACTCACATGTTATAAATGTCACAGCTCACATATTATAAATGTCATAACTCACATATTATAAATGTCACAATTAACTAATATATAATATACATGTATTTCATAACTCACATACCATAAATGTCACAGCTCACATACTATAAATGTCAAAACTCACCTGTTATAAATGTAACACCTCACATATTATAAATGTCTCAACTATCATATTATAAAATGTCACAGCTCACATAGTTTAAATGTCACAGCTCATATGTTATAAATGTCACAACTCACATGTTATAAATGTCACAACTCACATATAATAAATGTTGCAACTCGCATGTTTTTAATGTCACAGCACATATATTATAAATGTCACAACTCACAAGTTTTAAATGTCACAACTCACATATAATAAATATCATAACTCACGTACCATAAATGTCACAGCTCACATAATATAAATGTCACAGCTCACATGTTATAAATGCTACATTTCACACATTATAAATACCATATCTCACAAGGCCTAAATGCTACATCTTGTACATTATAAATGCCAAAGGCCGAAATGCTAAATCTCACATATTATAAATGTCACAACTCACATATTATAAATTCCACTTCTCACATATTATAAGTGTCACTCCTCATATATTATAAATGTCATGAAAGTAATGATAAAACTAACATCTTAAAATATTGGTATTGTTATCTCAATATGTTGATGTCATAGTCTCAGAATACTGGTGCAACAACTCAATATATTGGTGTCATAGAACTCAGTTGAAACAGATTCTTAAATAAACAGAAAACAAACATGTCCAAAACAGATATTACATTGTGACAAAAATGGCATTTTCAATTGTTTTAATGTAAATTTAAATTATAAAGAAAGCTACAAGAATAATTATTAGACTTATGTAATCTGATTCTGTTTATTGCAGGTAATGCAGAAGTAGTGGATGTTCAGGCTGGTGAATAGTTTCCTTCCTAACACAATAAGGATGAAGCAAGTGCTTGTGTATAAAGGTTTGGGGATGTATGAGAAAGACACGGCCATTATAGAGAGGGTAATGAATGAACATGTGAACTGTGACCTCTACAAGGTGGACACTGTTTCACCAACAGAAATTATCAGAGGTAATTGGATAAAGATCATTTCATATTGAGTGGCCTTTAATACCTACCAGAATAAGTACAGAATGGGTTTTTTTCTAGAATGTCTGAAATTATATTTATACATGTAGATTATATCAAGTATCAAAATCAAGTTATGAATATAATTATTTTCTTAACCCTTACAATGCTAAATATCTTTAATGGACGTGACTCCTTCTTTTAATCTGAGCAAAACTGTTTATCATTGTTTGGAGAAACTGTCCTGTCTCAATTTTCATGGTCTACACTGTTCACTTTTCAGTTAGTATTTATTATGAAATTTTCACTAAGAATGGTGAATGGTTAAGTCCAGATTGAAAAATGGACAAATAATTTAGATACCCAGCTGAGTAAAGGTATTTATCTTTTATCAATTTTCTAGGTAGACTATCAGAAGGAACAGCTTTGTTAGCAATAGGAGGGGGATATGACCTTGGCTTGATTGAGGCTTTAGGTGTAGAGGGTATGGCTAATATTAAAGAGTATGTGAGCGCTGGAGGAAGTTATCTTGGTATTTGTGCCGGGGCATACTTTGCTTGTGACAGTATAGAGTTTGACCGAGGTGGACCACTAGAGGTTGTTGGAGAACGCTCGCTTAAATTCTGTTCAGGTATATGGTGATTTTGCTTTAGTTTTTAAGTTACGCTTTATGAAAGAAAAAAATCTAGATATGCTGAAATTAATTCACAGAAACACCGTAAATACAGACTGCTCTGCTAGTGTCAATGATCACTTATACATTTATCATTAGTTCTATACAATATAGGGCTATCTTGCACATTTTTTAGCATTTTGATATTAAAATACTTCTGAATAGCAAAGAATACTTCCAAAGTCCAAGAAGGTTAATCAAGGTCATAATAAAATTATGGACACTAACTGGCTTGTTGGAAGATGACTCATGGATTTCCATTTGTGCATGCAACATGAGTAATTATAATGCAAGAGTAAAACTACACTTAACGAAACTTATAAGTACTCCGATTTCAAACTTGCAGGAAAACTCCGGTTTTCAAAATACATGTATTTGATTTTTTTACAATGGTGATCTCAGTTACTGATTTTCTGTTAAGTTTGAGTTATTGTAAAATGCATTTACTATTATAAAATGATGATACAATGATTAAATTTTAAACAGTACTGACTTAGACTAGTTATAGTTATTCTAACACAATATAATAAAAAAAATTGTCGGAGTACTTATAAGTTTCGTTAAGTATATGTGCATCGATAGTCTGTTAAATAACTAGAGTTTTCCTCCACAAGAGATATGTATATTAAGGGTGGCAACATAGTCAACATATTTGGATGTTGCGGACAGGGTTGTAAAGCTGTTGGAAAATGTTAACCTTGTAATCAGCTGAAAGTTATGGGACATTATGATGCTAATATTGAATTTATCTTCAGAAATTAAATGGCTTAGGGCTAGTTATAAATTGAGTCAAGTTGGCCATTTTAAGAAGTTATCAATGGTTGAAATGAATTAATGTCCCCAAAAGATAAAACTTTTGGCTTATCATTCATGTCATTATGACATGCATATACTACATCATATATTCCATAATGTCCCAGACGTCTGGGACTGTCCCGGAAATCTAGCGACTGTCCCGCATGCGTCCCGGATCTTGATTTATGTCCCGGTAGTCTACATGCATATCAATAATTTACATTTGTATATTTTTTCAGGGGTTGGTATTGGACCTTTATTCAAGCCCTATGATTATAAAAGTAGGAAAGGTGCGTCTGCAGTAAATATTGATTTTTTATTGGACAAAACTGTAAAGTCTAATGGATTATTTAAAGGTCAAAAAGATCAAATAGAATCTCAAAATGCACAAAAGGAATCTCAAATCTCTGTAAATGGCATGGAATCTGGAAAAAAGACCTCGAAGGAATCTCAATTTAGGGAATCTCTGGTTTCTAATACCATGTCTTCATCTTTGAACACAAAAGTTTACTTTAATGGTGGCTGCTATTTCAAAATGGATGAAGAAAGAAGTTCAGATGAAACCACAGTTTTGTCTAGGTATTTAGACTTGCCGGACTCTTCTGCTGCCATTGTTTGGTGTCAGGTTCAAGCTGGTATTGCTGTACTCAGTGGAGCACACTTGGAGTATGATTCTGAAGACATAGATGATGGGGATGAAGATGTTTTAGATATTATACCCGTCCTCCGAGAAACTTCAAAGGACAGACGATCAGTGATAAAGTCTTTATTACAGCAACTAAATATTACTGTTAAGTAATTTAATCACTTGTAGAACAATACAATCAGTTTATAACAGTGACCATCTTGGTTGAACGAAGGTTTAAAGTTATTTATAAAAGAAAGACCTTGTAATATAATAGCAATGTATATTCTGAAAAAATGGTGGGAATAACTCTTATATAATGCTTTTTTGATGATAAAAATTAAATACACTCATATGAACATCTTGAAACCAACATGTCTTGAAACATCAAAATATGAAAAATTTTAAATGTGTTCAAACCATTTGAATTTATGTCAAATGCTTTGCATTTATTTGCTAGTCTTAGAATTTGTAAATCTCTTACTGCTTTTGCAGTGTACAGTGTATATGCCCAGTAGACAAAACTAAATCTTCATAACATGTTGCATTTTACCTGATTGATTATGCATTAAAATTATTTAAGCAGACATTTAGTTAAGCCAATACAAGTTTTTAGTAGTGATAATGCTTAGATTTTGAAAGTTTGATTTTTAAGTTAAAGATTTATGACAAAGCTTACAAGATATGTTAAGAAGATCTATATATTAAGAAAGCAGCATTGACTTAATTCAAAGTTAAGTGTTACAGTAATGTCATTAACCCCTTTCAAATGTGATGACCATCTGCCACTAATATGAAGCCAGGCCAAAATGCAGTCTGTCCAGGCTTTATACTTAATTGGAAGTTCAATTTCTGTATTTTAATAATGAAATTCCTTAAAATTCAAATGGATTTTACAACTTAGCAGGTCAAATCCATTATACAAGAATCTATCTCATAAAATCGCAGTGTGATTTCATTTTTATTACCGTAAATAAAGCCATTTACGGTAATAAAAATGAAATCACACTAGTGTAACAACACTTAGAAGTGACATCATTTGCAAATTACATGTAATTACAAACACACTGTTAAATTTTGCTAATGTTAGCATTACACTATAGGGGTGTCAATGAAAAAATGGCTCTTTTTAACAGTTTACCATTCTTATTTTATATATATGTGATAAATAGAATATTATATTTGTGTGAGATTCAATATATTAAATTTATTGAACTTGTTGAATAAAAAGAATAAAACAATATTATGCTCGCAAGAGGCTCACTTGATATGATTTTATTCAACTTGTTCAATAAATTAAGTATTAAAGCTACACTCATTAAATATCCTCTATTAAGCATATTAATGGTTATTAGGTTTTTATATTACAAGTGTTCCTGGAGTCTTTATAGATTCAGATGTGTTCTATCTTTTGTACAGCAAAATCATTATCATTTGTAACACACTAAATTTCATGATTTTCATGAATTTAAATCCACAAATTTAAGATCCAATGAAAATTTTATTGTGTCTGCTGTGCTTTGAGATTATTAATATTTAATTAAGAACCCACAAAATTTTTGATAAAACCATGAAATTTAATGCCCACAAAATTAATGAAGTTAAAAGTATCTGCCAACTTCTCTACACAAACATTGAACGATAATTGGCATGGCATTATTTTCAGCAAAATTGTCCTGGACAACTGTAATTTATGTAAGACAACTCTTTTTGTGTCGCCTCTACGGAGTAGTGGCGACATATAGGGATCACTTCTCTGTCCGTCTGTCTGTCCGTCTGTCTGTCCGTCCGTCACAAAACTTGTCCGGACTATTCCTTATAAACTACTGGTGCAATTTCATCCAAACTTTACAGGAATGATCAGTACCAAGTCTAGTTGTGCATATTGTCAGCATTTTCCGGTTCAATGATTTTTGTCAGAGTTATGGCCCTTTAATAATTTTTATTTTTAAAGTTTGTCCGGACTACTTCTCTTATACCACTAATGCAATTTCAATGAAACTTTACAGGATTGATCTGTAGCTCAAGTCCTTGCGCATATTGAACGGGTTTTCAGGTTCAATGTTTTTTTGCAGAGTTATGGCCCTTTGATAAAAAGGTGTTTTTTTCTGCGTGTTGCCAGATACACAAAAGCTTGTCCGGACTACTCCTCATAAAGTACCTGTGCAATTTTATCCAAACTTTACAGGAATGATCAGTACCAAGTCTAGTTGTGCATATTGTCAGCATTTTCCGGTTCAATGATTTTTGTCAGAGTTATGGCCCTTTAATAATTTTTATTTTTAAAGTTTGTCGAGACTACTTCTCTTATACCACTAATGCAATTTCAATGAAACTTTACAGGATTGATCTGTAGCTCAAGTCCTTGCGCATTTTGCAGGGGTTTTCAGGTTGAATGATTTTTGGCCGAGTTATGGCCCTTTGATAAAAAGGTGTTTTTTTCTGTGTGTTGCCAGATACACAAAAGCTTGTCTGAACTACTCCTCATGAAGTACCTGTGCAATTTTATCCAAACTTTACAGGAATGATCAGTACCAAGTCTAGTTATGCACTGTCCATCTGTCTGTTCGTCTGTCACAAAACTTGTCCCAACATGAAATTGGCCATCATGAGGCGACACATGTGATCACTGATCGCTCTTGTTTTTTGTAGATTTTGTCTTTTCCATTTAAGTATATATTCTTAAAGTTGCTTTTGCTTTTATTTATTTATCTTTTTTTAAGTGCTTTTGCTGTTGTTTTTATACACAATAAAGTTAATTTAAATAACTTCTTGTCCCTCATATTTTTTCGTCATGACTGCAATATAATTATTGTTGTTCACTTTTCAGTACAAACAACTTCAGATTTGTTTTTCAATGAATTATTTCCCTTTTAAAACTGCGATTCTTTTAGGGGCCTTTGCAGCTGAGTGGTTACAGTCACTAACCTCTTGCCTGGGATTTAAAATCCTGCCAGGGACTTTGGATTCTTTCATGTGAGGTAGCTATCCAGCAAGCCAATGGAAGGTTTGTGGTTCTATTCAGTTGCCCGTTTAAGCCTGAATGCATGAAGGGGCACCCAAAGTCTCCTTCCACCAGACTAGTAGGAAAATTGCCATATGACCTTAATAATGTCAGAGTAACTTACAACCCAACAAATGACAGCAAAAAAAACCCTGAAAGACTTGATACTGGCAATACTTTAAAGCACTGAGAATAGCAAAATCCTGCTGTTCTTGCAAGTCTTATATTTATAATACTGGAAGTATGTGAATTTATTGTCTCCTGACCTGCCTGCATGATGTTTGTGGTGTTGGTAGTTTTTCACTCGGGATCATGGCAGTAAGTCACACTGAATTAACTAGAGCAGTTCAACCATCACAATGTTCCTGGGCAGGCTGTCAAGCAGTTTCCCAATACAAGTTGCCTAAAATTTCGCTAGGAACTGATTACTTCTGTACATGCCAGTGCAGAGATGCTGTGCGAATGACAGTAGAAAGGATTTCATGATCAATCACAACGAAAGTAATCTGCACCATATGTGTCAAACCCAGGTCGCCCAAGTCAGAGTCCAACGCTCTATCTATTGAGCTAACCTGACGGCTCTGTATGCGCGATGAACATTCTTCTACTAAAAATTCTAACACTTCAGTCCAGTTTATTCACAAAATAAAACTAAACTAAGCTGTGATCCATATCATAAGCTTTAGAAATCCATAAGAAAAAAAATATAAATTTTCCTTCAGTTTATTATCAATTGCCAGGACACATTACAATTTTTTGTTTTCAGAAACATTAATAACTTACTTATATCACAGAGTAACATATAAATAAATACGTTAACAATACACATAAATAATGATATCATACAAACAAACGCAATCAAGTTTTAATACAATCTTGGGATGATTAAAAAGAGCACTTGTTAATAATAACTTAAACTAAGTGTAAGGGAAACATCTAATGTAACAAAGAGGAAGTTTACAAAAGATGATTTTAAAAGGGACTGATTTCACGTCATATACAAAATTACTAATAATATTTTATTGTAAGTACAGTACAACCACAGTACCAACATCCGTCATGAGACCAAGACTTTGGATGTTGATGAGAGGTGTTGTTGTAGAGAAGTTTAATGTATTGCAAAGTCTTCCTTCAGAAAGAAATGATATTGTAGAGAGGTAAATGCTGTACAGAGGTTATTGTTGTACAGAGGGTCGCTCTGCAGAGGTTTTGGTGTATGATATTTCCTCTTTCGAAAACCTTTCAAATTTTACTTGACAACAATAACCATTTTTTTCTCTCTAATTATTTAGATACTGATATTTTACTCCAGTCCGACATTTAGCCCCCAATTTTTCTCCTGTTCTCTCTATTTAGATACTGATATTTCACACAAGTCTGACTTAAACACACTTTTATACGGTAAAAGTATTTCAATATATATATATATATGTATGAATCACTATCTCTGTCAGTACAGTATAAAATTGTTTATCATTTTATTATTTCATGATATGGACGGAATGTAAAATGTCACGTCTGTATAAATATACGTAAACAGTTTTGTTGATATGTCACAAAATATCACTCAGCTTCCTCCAGTTTTTATGATCTTGAAAAGTGCATTTACGTTGTTGCTTTTAATGGCAGCTCGACACGCGTTCACAACTTGAGTCTTAAACTTCCCGACTGAAATTGAACAAAAATAAAAATTTGTAATATATTTGTTTACTCTGGGCAATTTTCTAGTAAATTACATTTTTTTTTTGGTTTTCTAAATATATGTATATCAAAATTAGTTATTTTCTTAATTTTTAACATATTTATTTAAATTGTTAAGTAAGTTCTTGCAACTAACCAGAACAGCTATCTTATGAGGAAATAGGGTAGGTCTTGAACAAGGTCTCTGGGTTTAGAGGCTGGAGGCAGATATACCTTTACCAGAAGGCCAACACTATCCTTTTATTATTTTCTTTGGTTATGCACAGACAAGCACCTGAGTGGTATCTCTTATTCCAAAAGATTTCTTATATAACTAAACATTAAATAATTTTACATCTCAGATTAGGATTTTAACCAACATAAGTGACTGACAAGTAAGATAATGTAACCCCCCACACCCACCTTCATCTATGATTTTGGCGTCAGTACCTTTTTTTTTTGGTTGGGTTTCATGTCGCACCAACACTGTAAAACCCAGCTGTAGTGGTGAAGGAATGCCCCTCCATGCATTAATTCAGACACAAACAAGTAAAACCACCGATGTCCTTAAGCTGCCTGGACAGCTTCCTCACATGAAATAATCAAAGTCCCTGACAAGATTCGAACCTACAGCGGTGAGGGGCAAGTGGTTTGAAGTCGATAGCCTTAACCACTTGGCCATGGAAGCCCCCTGCATCAGTACCTATGACTATTTGAATACCAGTGGTGATCATAACACACATGCCAGGTCTGCTCACACTTACATGCTGTCAGACCAGGACCTATACTGATGCTGCTTTATTTTAAACATTTACAAATCTGAACTCTGTTTATTTATATCAAAAACTGAAAAGTTCATCATATTCAAATTTACGCAATTAACAAGAACTGTCAGAAGACAGTAACGCTCGACTATTCGAAAAGTTGTCACAAGGGTGTTTCATTCATAAAATTGTCCGCAAAGGTACAAACCCTTCAGTTGTTATGGAGATACCAACTTACAAGCAAAAATTTACCTAGAATTTCTAAGTCGAAAAAGGGGAATAATTATGCAAAAAAGCAATCAGAGTTATGGAACTTGTGCCAATCATCTTAGATAATCACAGACAACAAGTGTGTGAAGTTTCAATCCATTCCCTTAAGTAGTTATGGAGATACCAGCTTACACGCAAAAACTTAACCAAGAATTTCTAAGTCAAAAAAGGGGCATAATTATGCAAAAAAGTGAATCAGCGTTATGGGACTTGTGCCAATCATCTTAGATAGTCACAGAGAACAAGTGTGTGAAGTTTCAATCCATTCCCTTCAGTAGTTATGGAGATACTAGCTTACAGGCAAAAACTTAACCAAGAATTTCTAAGTCGAAAAAGGGGAATAATTATGCAAAAAAGCAAATCAGAGTTATGGGACTTGTGCCAATCATCTTAGATAGTCACAGAGAACAAGTGTGTGAAGTTTCAATCCATTCCCTTCAGTAGTTATGGAGATACCAGCTTACACGCAAAAACTTAACCAAGAATTTCTAAGTCGAAAAAGGGGCATTATTATGTAAAAAAGCAAATCAGAGTTATGGGACTTGTGCCAATCATCTTAGATAATCACAGAGAACAAGTGTGTGAAGTTTCAATCCATTCCCTTCAGTAGTTATGGAGATACCAGCTTACATGCAAAAACTTAACCACAGGGACCCCTACGCTGACAAATGGGTGACTGCATTAGCTCGATTATTCTGCGAAAAGTCGAGCTAAAAATGAATTCAATTTACAAATACATGTAATAATAAATTGCCCCCAAAAATTAGAATCAATAAATGTGTCTTTATTCCAGATAGTTACCTCTCATTCTGCCAGCTTTTTGTATGATCAGGTTAACTTGTTTAAGTGCGGCCAGTAACTCTTGATGATTACCACATCTTATCTTGTATCCATTAATCAGGTCACGATTCATGTTGTATAACTCTGTATAGCCTTTCTTCATGTTACCCCTGTTTATATGGGTAAAATAAAAATTGAGCCGCGCCACGACTAAACCAACATAATTGGTTTGCGACCAGCATGGATCCAGACCAGCCTGTGCATCTGCACAGTCTGATCAGGATCCATGCTGTTCGCTTACCAACCCTATTACAAGTAGCGAAACTGATAGCGAACAACATGGACCCTGATCAGACTGCGCAAACGCACTAAGTTGGTTTTGTCCTGGCGCGGCTCAAATGTTACAATATTTCAAAACACTCAACCATATGACAAACATTTTGTATTAGATCTACTTTGACATATAAAACTAGTCGGCATCAACATGTTAAATGACATTTCTAAGTATATGAAAAATGCAAAGACAGATGTAAACAAAATGTTGACATTATCTACAGTTTGTATTTTCTGATACCAATTTATGAACTTATCTACTATCAGTGCTTTAACATAACAAAACATGTCATAGATTGCAAGTTTAAGCTATGGATTTAAGCTATTTTCATTGGTTTGTTCATCAAGGAAGTAAGGATGGTAACTTTGTTCTGACCCTTGAAAATATGAACCCATGGTCAGTCAAACCCTTATATCCCAGTCCTAACTCATTAACAATGGTAGGTTAAGCCCATTAACCCGATGGTCAGAAAAACCCAAAAATTATTGGTCAATTAAACCCATTAACACATGGTCAGTCAAACACATTACCCCATGGTTAGTCAGACCTAATAAGTCATAGTAAGTCAACCCATTAACCAATAGTCAATAATAACAAATTTTTTATGGTCAGTCAAACCCATTAAATATTGGAGAGTTAAAGTCAATAACCCATGGTCAGTCAAACCCATTAACTCATGGACAGTTTAAACCTTTAAATTATGGCCTGTCACACCCATGAATCTTTGGTCAGTTAATCCCATCTGGACGTCGCAACATAATATTCCAAACTGTAAAAGAGAAAGCTATCATCTAGTAAATTACTTACATATCTCCCATAAGTCTGGCGTCTTCGGCACGTACAACAAGACTACGTATCAAATTAGAATGATCAGCCATCTCTGCCGTCAATTTCTGTCTTACTGCATGGTACTCATCTACCTTTATACAAGAATAGAAGACAAGTCAGTTCACACAAACGTGACAAACAAATGTTTCCAGTTTCCTTCCCCAAAAAAGATTTTTCTATAAAGATGGTAGTTAGCTTTATCAAATGTAGATGGTTTTTGTTAAAAATATATGCTCTTGGATGTACAATTAAGTTGTACAAGTATTTTTATGTGCACTCAAGAATAATCCATGCATGATTATGTTTCATGACTGAGGATATTAAACAAAGTTTAGATTTTGTTCAACTTTCATAAATGTGAAATGTTTAATTATCTTTCTTATACTCATTTAAAAGAAAGCCATTGCCTCTAGCTGACCATGTACATAACTAGAAGTACATATATACCTTAACAAGAACTTCTCTAAGTCTCTCCATTTCATCAGGGTAGTCTATGGTTGTATGTAGATCTTCTAGGTTGAGGAAGTTGGCCACAGCTTGTACAACATCACCTGCCAGATCCATGTCATCTGTCTTCAATGTCACCTGATAATAACATGTTAATTATACATGTAAGGGTATGATAATTATTAACATGAATTTATATAAATTTTAGGAAAATTAGAGGTTTAATAGGAGCTGCAACACATCAGAAACAAGAGTAAGCAGTGATCACATATGTCACCTGAAGACAGCAAATTAAGCAGTATTATTGAGGGGTAATGAACCAATATGTTCTCTATATGCCACGCTACTTATAGCATGTCAAATATATCATGTAGCAAGCGACACAAAAACTATACACAGGCCAAAACACCTTTTTTATTCAAAGGCTATAACTCTGTAGCAGGTAATACAGAAATATAGCACCGTGAAGGATTTGAACTCCCAAACTCTGGCTTTAAACGCAATTGTAGACAATACTTTAGACCACAAAGCCATAAAATTTATTCGTCAAGGTTCTATTATAGCAAATAATGCAAGTGCGCTCAAGTGTACCAGTGATTATATTGTTGCCATTAGTTACACTTATGGACAACTGCAATAAAAAAAGACTTTGATGCTATAGCTTTTGGAAGGTTAACCTTCAATGTCAAGGTCAATGAAATCACACTTACAGTTCCGGATGTGTCCATTTTAAAATGGAAGGGTCCAGTGGCTCGTAAAGATAAGAAAGCAAAGTTGATACTTCCATCAGCGTCCACCTGTACATCATCTTGTAGAAGAAAATTCTGATTTATCCACATAACAATCTGAAATTAATACAAAATTATACAACAATATTTTATGAACAAACACTAGCATGCAGATGTTTTTCCCTTACACAGGTTTTCTGTTTCCCTTCTTTGATACAGTTTTGGTCCCAGGACTGCCATTTTTACAACAGTAGTGCATACCAAGGACCCTCAAAACTCACCAACCATTTTAGAATTTCCATTCCTTTGTGGTAATTTTGTACCTTTTGTATAAATAAAATTTTGATTTGCTGTATTATTAAGGCACCTTTTCTCTTCAATATATACCCAGTTTACAGGCTCTAAAGTTTTACCTCTAAAATGGCTGTCCTTGAAATAGAAGCCTACAACAGAAATGTATAAAAATTTAAGATTGTTTTCAGTTGCTGAATTGGGGACCCCTAAAAACTTCATCAGACTCCAAGAATCTCAAACATGAGGGGCCCATTCTTAATACAAAAAAGATACTTAATTAAATGTATGTACTGTTAATGTTAAGTTACTGGTTTTTGTTATTGTTTTTTTTATACCTGATAGACGATTATACAAACAATTGACAATTTTCTTTCACTACTTCATGTATTAACCAAACCATAAGCCTTGTACAGTCTGGCCAAGCAAAATATTTTTAGGCATTTTGACTAGCAAATTCATCTGGACCCAGCAAATCCACTTTGGAATAACATAATCCATTTGTGCTTTAAAAATCCACTTACTCTAAGGCCTAGCAAAATCAACTTGGACCTAGTATAATCAACTTGGGCTAAGCAAGATTTGTTTAGGCCTAACATAATCCATTTCTGCCTAACAAATCCACTTAGGCCTAGCAAAATCCAATTTAGCCTGATACAATCCATTTCTGTGCTGAAGAATCCATTGAAGCCTTGCAAAATTCATTCAGCTTAATAGAATCCACTTGGGCATAACAAATTCTCCTGGACCAAGTAGAATCCATTAAAATCCAATACTTGTTCCTGAATGTAGTAACAGTGCTTGCCTATTTGTTGCAATAATTGACTTACTCTTTGTACACGTTCATTAACTTGGAAGGTACAGGTGCCCTTGGCTTCTTGCTGATCTTCACCACATAACACGTACATAGAAAACCTCGGTAACTGTCTCGTTAACTCAAACACATGATACTGAGAACTGAAAAATAAATAGATCAGACTGGATATACTGTTTTACTACCATATTATGGGAAGTGGTCAATGTCTGTCCAATAAGAAATCTTTTAAATGTCCATTATGCTTCAGAAATGCTTTCATTTTTATTGTCCAAAAACTTTTTATGTCTGGTATTTTGTTACACTTTCCAAAAGAATACTCATTTGCGACATATATTTACATATATCTTTTTACTTGCTTTGTTCTGCTGGCAATGGGGATAATCATAGTGAATGAATAGTTAGGATGGAAGTCAGAATACTACTTTGTTTACATTTTGCTATCTTTACAACACCTTACTGCACATTCCATGCAACTTTCTTCACTTGTTAAACATCTAATATGCTCTAAATCCATTTTTAAAACATGTCATTTCTAAAGAATTTTAGCAAATATGAATTTCTGAGGCATAATGAGCCTTTAAAAAAGCTAGAAAAGGAAAAAATCATTCCAGAGAAATGAAAACAAAAAAATTTTGTATAGATCTGATCCAAGTCTGTTCATAACCAATATAACAATCAAACATATCTTACACCCTCTAGCATTGACTTCAGCGGTATTTAACCTTCAACATTAAACATATTAATGGAATCAATCACCCAAATCACACTTAATCCTTGTTGGTTTTTACTCAAAAGTGAGGGGTAACATGCATTTTCTTTATAATCAAAATGTAAGTGGTAAAATTAATGAAAAGCATTTTGCTTTGTATCACATTAAACAAGAGGGCCATGATGGCCCTGAGGTCGCTCACCTGTATATAGCCCCCCCCCCCCCCCCCGGGCCAATTTTTACCCAAGGGCTTTTATTTGAACAGACTTGGTAGACACCCATAAGAAGATGTTTCATGCTAAACATCTAAGTTCTAGCTCATTGGGTTTTTAAAAGAAGATTTTTTTAAGTTTTTACTATACACATATAGTTAAAAACAATGACACCCCTGGGGCAGGGCCAGTTTTGACCCCTGGGCTTTTTATTTGAACAAACTTTGTAGATATTTACTTAAAATGTTTCATGGTATAATATCTAAACTCAAGCTATTTGGGTTTTTCAAAGAAGATTTTTAAGTTTTTTGCTATACACATATAAGGAAAATCAATGACCCCGGGGGGCAGTTTTGACCCCAGGGCTTTTATTTGAACATACTTGGTAGACACCCATTAGAACATGTTTCATGCTAAATATCTTAGCTCTAGCTCTTTGAGTTCTTTAAAAGAAGATTTTTTAAGTTTTTACTATATGCAGCGCATATAGGGAAAATCAATGACCCCCCCTCCCGGGCGGGCCAGTTTTGACCCCAGGGCTTTTATTTGAACAAAATTGGTAGACACTCATTAGAAGATGTTTCATGCTAAATATCTTAGCTCTAGCTCTTTGGGTTCTTTAAAAGAAGATTTTTTAAGTTTTTACTATATGCATATAGGGAAAATCTATGACCCCCTGGGACAGGGGCCAATTTTTGACCCAGGGCTTTTATTTGAACAAACTTGGTAGACATTCACTAGAAGATGTTTCATGTCAAATATCTAAGCTCTAGACATTTCATAGA